GCTTCGGGGAAGAGGTCTATATCATGAAGTGGAAGATCGGAATGCGGGAATGCGATGGGAGAAAGAACCCTGTACAGGTAAAGGAGTGGCAGTGGGAATCACACGAAAAAGAAAGGAAAGACTGTGATGATACCCGGTGTTAAGGAGAGACTTGGGTCGGTAACAAAAAGAGAGTGTGGAAGAAAAAGCAAAGAGAGGGCGAGAGAGTGTGTGAGAGGAGAAAAGAAGATGTCGAGAGCTGGGGGGGATCTGGTAAGGGGCGGTACAGTGACGTCTGATCCCGAGGTTTAATTGGGCGATGAGCGGGTATTGTCCGGTAACGGGTGGTAAGAAAGGTCTGTGTGGCACAGAGCAGGAGGATGCAGTGATCTAATAAGAATAATAAGAATAATCGGAGTACATATACTCTGTTCTAGAATGACAACTGATTTAATAGGATCAGTGAATTATAATAAAATATAATAAAATAAATAGAACAGAGACCCGAATTCTCAGATCCGGCATCCCAATTGGGAAACAAACGGACCCGTATGAGCGGAGTAGGGGGTGGCGGTAGGTCACATTGACAGCAACTCGATACACTACTAGATTATATTAAACCCATAGGCATCTAAGTATATCAATGGCACTTTGTATCTATTCTATTCTACTTGATGTTCTATGAAAGTAGAGTAAACAAGAAGTGATCCAAGGTTGACTGCGGAGACTCGGGAACAAACCCGCGGAACCAGATATTTCCAGATTCACCTATCAGACACTGGCGTCATATCTGCAGAGCCGTATTCCGAGTTCCTGCATTAGTGTATTTATATATGATTACACTGGATACTGTATGGCCGTCTCAAGTATATTGTACTGTTACTTAGAATAACTCATGTGAGGGCTCGGCTAAGTGGCTATTCCCACACATGCAGGTATGTTCTTCTTCCGGTCCCCTGGGTCACCCGATCTACTACACAATGATGTCCTAAGGTAACTATTGATTTCTGAAGCACACTACTATCTATTTCCCCGTGAACATTTCCCCCTTCCGCTAGCACGAATCGAAGCTAGTGAGGGCGCATGGCAGTCAGCCAAGACTCACTAAACATCAATAGTCGACAGATCCCGTCGATCACTTCAAGGATCTGCCGAGATTTTTTAATTTATTTTTCAGCCCGGATTTTGGGCTCTCCAGTACCGTCTGTGGTTCCCCATTTCCTGGTTGGCCCCTGTCCAGCGCTAAACGTCTTGGAATTAGAGGCTCCATGCAAGCAAGTCACGAGGGGTCTGAACTTTGCCCCCTTAACTTGTACTAAAAGGAGATCATTGCACCGGTTTCGGGAACCCGGACGTACATGACTGTGCATAGACTGTGCCCCTTTGTTACTACTTACCACGTAGAGCTGTATATACTGTACTTTGTATACACGGCTCGGTAGAGACATTACCATGGAATATATCGCCATCTCCTCAGAACTATTGACAGCAAAACGTTCAAAACAAGCAAAGTCAAAACAATGGAGTCGGGTGCCCGAATGATCTTACCACGATGATAGGATATAGAGCCCAACGCCTACGGCACGTTAGGTTGAGTAGATATCCAACAATGACCCGTTCCAGCGGAACTACCCCTCCTAATGATCGACCTTCTTCTCTGTTCCGGACAATGATCGGGCCCGAACAGCCAACGCTCTAAGGCTGATCAGCCAATCCAAATCGGGAGTGACAGTGGAGATGTCAGGGCCAGGGCCAGGACCAGGACCAGGACCAGGATGAACACCCATCCTCTCCACCACCCACTCTCCTCCCCCGGAGACACACTCAAGTCCGCTTTGGAGCCTTGAGAGGGCCCACGTCGATCATAGGACAAAACGTGGCCCTTAGCTCGTCACAAACTTTGTTCTCCCTAATAGCGTGCTCGCAAGTCTCCGCAGAGTCAAATGCCGTGTGTGACGGCGACAATCACACTTCCAATTCAAGCTTCGGGTGCAGCACGGCGCCTATCAGGATTGATCGTCCCTTTTCCGAGAACGAGCCTTCGGAAGAGAGCGTCAATGCTGCTTGGCATACTCCGTATACAGTAGTTCCAAGACCCTGCTCCGTCTTATCCGGCTCCTACTGAATATTGTACTGTATAATTTCATAGAGTCTCATGGGAGAAAGATCACGGTCCGAGCAACGGGGATGTGGACCAGTTTGATATTCGCCTGACCGAGAAACCCCGATAACCTGAACTGTACTCTGTTCACACAGTGACAATGTACAGATCTAAGGGGATCTGCCCCTGGGTAGATCATGCAGCTCGCACGGATCGCTTGACCCCATTCGACTATTGGATCTGAGGTGAACCGTTGCGCTGGGAATCTCAAATTCTGTACGGATGGCGGGACTGACTCCGGTAAAAGGAGAAGAAAAGAATCTCCCGATAGTTACCACTGCCTCATTCGGACTAGTTTGATTGACATGACAGCACATCCTCTCATGATCGACTTACAAATCGGATCTCCATCCCTGTTGCCTGTGCTGTTTCGGAGCATTTCGGTGGCTGAGCGGGCTGGCTAGCTGGTTATGGAGACTGGTACTATGAAGCTCTGTGACATATCAACTTCCCCCCCCCCTTGTGGCGCACCTGAGTGGCGGTGTCCAGGTTTATCCCTTGTATTTGTCAAATCTCGAGCCTCGAACCTCCCCGTTCTGGTGCATCTCGATTCTCCTGCAGCCCAGATCGGAAGTGCTTTCGGAAAACCTTGTAACGAGATTGCAGTCTAGTTCATCACGCATCTCCAGCTGTTCGCATTTGCAGTTCGTGCGCGAGACCCGTTCCATTAGACACAACTGTCAACTGTGACTGTGACAATGTAACTTCACTTAACCTGGCTTGACATGACCTCTCTGCACTCTACGACCCGTGCGCAGCACCACCCCTTGCATACTGTACCTCTCCCTCTCACACTCTCTGTCGTTCACCGCTGCCCGTCCATTGGGCACTATACACAGCAGAAATGATTTCGTCCCGAGCTTCCCTTCCTCTTCCCCTGCCGGAAAGATGAATTCGATCCGCGAAACACAAAGACAGAAAGTCACACCAGGTCCACCAATTATAGTCAAATCCTGTTGATGCACGTCGGGAACAAGGTACTGTACATGTACACCGGCACAAACACTTATCCTCGTGAGCTCGAGCGTTTCCTTTCGTTCGGTTCGGTTTGGTTTCGTTTGGTGTCGTCTTGTCTCATCTGCACTGTTACTATAACTGTACCAAGTATCTATATATCTACACCCACACAACTACATATCTACAGTACATCTACATACCATCTCAAACCCAACGAACCTACCCCCAACCTCTTACCCAACCCATTTCATCACGGCGACAATTTTCGAGTCGCACAGTCCAATTCAAGATCCACCCAAGGCTCAAGCGTGCATGAACCGTCGTTCGCAGCCTTGTTAGGCTGATTGGTTCTGGAGAACCCAAGGTGCACCTACAGCACAGTGCATTGTGCACCTACATGCAGTCCAGCCGTGCCCACTGTAAACCAGACCAGACCCTGGCCCCGATCAAATCCGGCTTTTGGGCCGCCCGTCCCCTGCAAGGATGCTTGTGGGTGGGATTTGGTTCTTGTACTTTACCATTTACTTTACGTGGCACCATGCACCATTTACCGTCCAGGTCCACCGCCTTCTGTTCTGTAGAATATTATATACCGTACTGCAACCTCGATACCGTGGAGATACCTTATGCACAATGTAACAGAGTCCCGACCCGCCACCCACGCCATACTTATGCACCCACTCAAGCTTCACTGCGAATCACATTTTGTTTAATAGCTGGAAGCTGGAAGCTGGAAGATCCGTGCAGAGCTGTAAGCCTGTAAGCCTGTAACATACCAAGCTCTGCCATACAGTACATGGAGCTGTATCCCCATCTGTATCTCCAGCTGTATCTCCAGCCCCAGCTCCTTCTATTAGCTCCCCTAGTAGCCAGTTTACCCATTCGCCATTTCTTGCGTGGAGTTGGTCATCGTACAGTTTGCTTTGTAGACTACTGCACACTATGACTTATGCCCTGTACTGTACATATGGCGACGCCGGTTTGCTCTTACTTGCTCATGCTGCTTGATCATGCTCATGTTGCTTGCTACTTCTTGCCTAGTGATTGCTGTCTGCCTTCTAAGATCCGGGGATCTCCTGAGGAAATGAACCTGCACATGGCTACCATATGCCAGATACTCTGCGTATACTCTTCTTATACTGTATGCCGTGTACGTTCCGACCCGTCTTGTCCCGTCCTGCAGTTATGTATATGTATATGTACATGTCCTGTCCTGTCCTGTCCTGTACCTGGTTGCACCTTACTTGTCCTTATAACCAACCATATAAAACCCAGGTACGCCACCAGCAAGCTTTGTCTACTTTGTCAACTTGTATCCTGTTTCAGGGCCCGGCGACTGAGAGCCGGAGCCGGGAACCATCCAGCCCTGTCTAGAAGAGTCCCGATCCAATCGGCGTGCTGATGGTGAATATCATTCCCCGAGACTATGCAGACTTCGGGCTTTGGAGCTGGGCTTATACTGGTTTCGTGGTGTTTTCCTCGCCACCACAATCTACGCATGTACGTATGTAAGTTGGGGACGGAGCTAAGGCATCCCGGTTTTGGATGCGCAATACGAACGAGAGGGGTCATGCTCATGCTCCTGCTCGGTCTGGATGTTTAGTCTGCTTCTTGGAAACGAGATGTCAACCAAATTCGAGTACATGTACATGTGACGTTATGCACAAAAGTATGATCATCACATCCGAGAAAGAGAAAAATACAGCCAGTAACAGCCAAGTATGTAGTGCACGTTTATCTAGATCAAAGTCCTGTTCTATCAATGCCGTGTAACCCAACTCCGATCCGAAGAACCCGTTGAGATGCAGCCTGCACAACCCCTGTCCCCATGCAGATGCAGCCCACGCCAACCACAATCCTCAACCTCAAAAACTAGAGGTCAAAGCAAAGCCCAATCCCAAACCTATTGCAACGCATCCCGAATCTCAAGCTTGACCTTGCCTCCCTCAACAGAAACAACACGCAAGCTCCTCAGATCCTGCACAATCCAGTCCGCACCAGCCTCCTGCAACTTCTCCAGCGAGTGCGTAGTGCTGAGCGCAATAACCTTGTACCCAGCAGCCTTGCCAGCCTTGATACCTGAGGGTGCATCCTCAAGTACGACAATCGACTTGGACTCTTCCAGTCCGAGCTTCTTTGCGCCGAGGAGGTAACAGCGCGGGTCTGGCTTGCCCAGTGGCACGTCTTCGGCCACTACTAGCATCTCTGGATGTGTGAGGCCGAGGACTTCGAGCCAGCCGTCGATCAGGGCGCGTGTGCCGGATGTGACGACGCCCCAGCGTGCCTTGTTGTCTTCCAGGGCTGTGAGGAGGTCGCGGCCGCCGGGGATTTCAACGGCGTCGGAGCCGTATTTTTTGGGGATTTGGCCTTCGATGTAATTTACGTCTGGGAGGTGTTAGTTAGATGCGGAGTGGAGATGTGGATGTAGGTGTATATTTGAGGTAGTGGTAGGTGTCGGTGTAACTCACAATCCCAGTTGGCCTTAGTCTGGTCGTAAAGTGCCATTGTGTCAATGCTGCGGCGGCCATGGGAGGTTGCCAGGATAGTCTTGGGGTCGACGCCCAGCTCGGTGCCGATTCTGAAAAAAAAAAAAGGGTTAAAGGGCGATTTTAAAGTATGTTTAGGATTGTTTGTCACTAACTCGTGCCAATGTTTCACAATTGCTGTTTAGAACGGATAGTCAGCATTCGCTTCGATTGCTTCGGAGGGATTGGAATTGGGCTTGCATACCGTCTGTGGAATCGATAATCGTGCCGTCAAAGTCAGAAAGAACGCCATCGAACTCTTGGACCTGCGCAGGCGCAGAGAAAGATCCTCTTGAGGATGACATGGTGGGGGAGGGGTGATGCGGGGAGTGTAGATATGCAAGATGAATGAGATGGAATGAAGAGAGAGAATTGTCTGCTCCCAGAAGTTGCTTTGAGGGTGTTTTAAACCTGTCAACGATCTCGCCACTGATATGTCAAGGCCAGTTAATTGGCAACCTTGGAAGTGTCGTACGTTCGTTCGCTGACTCCGGCTTCTTACCCAATCTGGTAATGGGCCCGCAGCTGAGTCATCAATCACGGAGATCGGCCCAACACATAATCCGCTTATCGGCTGTGGAAATCTTGGCGCTCAACTTTTTCTATTCCCCGTAGCAGACGGACTTTGAGGGTTTGCTGTGCACCTTTTTGCGATATACAAAGACGTGCATTCAAAATGGTCAAGCTCGGTGAGACATACTTATTGCTATATGCTTATGAAGTTTTGAACCAATATTAACGGTCTACAGGCAAGCATTCCAAGCGGACACCCGTCCGCCTCAGGCACAAGATTGAAAAGGCCTCAGTTGCCAAGGCGAAGAAGCAGAGAAAGCTCGCAAAGAAGGTAATTTAACATGATTTCTCATCCTGTTTAATTGACAACATCTGACTCCTCTTTGCAGAACCCAGAATGGCGGTCTAAGATCAAGAAGGACCCCGGCATTCCTAATCTCTTCCCCCACAAGGACAAGCTCCTTCATGAGATGGAAGAGCGGAAGCGCATGAAGGCAGAGGAACAACAGCGCATCCGTGAAGAGGCTCGCGCCCGCAAGGCTGAAGGCCTCCCGGTACAGGACAACCACGGTGTTGAAATCAATGAGGACGATATGCTGGATGAGGATATGGAAGGCGATGGCAACGACTCAAACCCCATGGCTGCCCTTCTCGCCTCAGCACGGGCTCGCGCCCAGGAATATGATGACAACGAGAGCGACGATGAGGATATGGATGAGGATGACGATGACGACGATGAGATGGATGAAGATGATGAGGAGGGCGGTGCCGTGATCGACGATGCCCCTCCTCTGATCACAGCAAAGTCATTCTCCAAGGAGAGCTCACGGCGTCAATTCGACAAGGTCTTCAAGCAGGTTACTGACAACGCTGATGTGGTGCTGTACGTGCTTGATGCCCGTGACCCGGAGGGAACTCGCTCCAAGGACATTGAGCGCGAGATCATGGCCGCTGACGGTGGCTCCAAGCGTTTGATCCTCATCTTGAACAAGATCGACCTGGTCCCTCCCCCAGTTCTCAAGGCCTGGTTGATCCACCTGCGCCGTTACTTCCCCACTCTCCCTCTCAAGGCCACCAGTGGCTCTGGCACCGCACACAGCTTCGACCACAAGCAGTTGACCGTCAAGGGCACCTCTGATACTCTCTTCCGCGCTCTTAAGTCATACGCCGGTAGCAAGCAGCTGAAGCGCTCCATCTCCGTCGGTGTCATTGGATACCCCAACGTCGGAAAGTCCTCCGTGATCAACGCCCTCACCGCACGCCTGAACAAGGGCTCAAGCAATGCTTGCCCTACCGGCGCTGAGGCCGGTGTCACCACCAACCTCCGTGAGGTCAAGCTGGACAACAAGCTGAAGCTGATCGACTCCCCCGGAATCGTCTTCCCCACTGCCAGCGACAAGACCAACAAGAAGAGCAAGAAGGTTGAAGAGCAGGCTCGCCTTATCCTCCTCAACGCCATTCCTCCCAAGCAGATTGAGGACCCCATTCCCGCAGTCAACCTCCTGATGAAGCGTCTATCCAGCTCAGAGAACCTCATCCAAAAGATGCTCGACCTGTACGGCATCAACGCCCTCTTCCCTAGCGGCGGCGACAAGACCACCGACTTCCTAGTCCAGGTTGCCCGCAAGCGCGGCCGTCTTGGAAAGGGCGGTGTCCCCAACATCGAGAGCGCCGCCATGACCGTCATCAACGACTGGAGAGATGGTCGCATTCAGGGCTGGGCTAACGCACCCGCTCTTTCCGTCGTCTCCTCCACAGACGCCCCGGCCGCTGCTGCTGCCGAGCCTGGTGCGGACACTGCCCAGGTCGTCACGGAGTGGGCCAAGGAGTTCAAGATCGAGGGCCTGTGGGGCAACGGCGAGGGTGAGGATGATGAGATGGCCGAGTAAGGGCTATAATCTCCTTGCTCGTGTTACGAAGTCATTATCTCATTTGATTATACTTTCTGGATACCAAAAAGTGGGCGTTTATGTCGGCATTCCATCGTTCCCTAGATTTGACTTGAAATATTAGGTGCAAAAATACCATTGAAATGAATCCCAGATATCAATCAGCGTAATAAATCAATTTCCTCGTAGAATCAACGGATATATACCAATATGAGTAAGTGAAGTCGGAAGTATAAACCCGCCAAGCCTCCACACTCGCGCATCCCGAGAAATCCAACGCGTTCGCGCGCCCCCTTGTGACCTCCGAACATCAAAGCCCACCAACCCCAAACCCAACAGAAAACCTACAACCTCATAGCTCCTCCATTTGAGTGTCAATATAAGGGAGGGACACAGCTCGTCAATCCCCGATCCCTTGCGATCACCAAACCACCAAAATGCCACCACGCAAATCAACCTCCTCAGTGACCCCAGCCGACCCAGACGACTCCCTCCTCCAGTCATCGCCAGCACAACGAACAGATAAACCCGTCTTTGCGACGGAACAGCAGTTGAAGGCGCGGGCTGAGGCTGGTGTCAGCGTTGAGGTAAGCCAAGCCGTTTCTGGAGCTGGAGTATACATATCCTGTGGCATATCTATGGACAGGGGCATTTGTGATGGCATAGTATGGCTAACACGATTTATTACTTTTTTTTAGGACTATCTACTCCCACGCTCATTGACAATCCGTCTCGCAAAGGCTGTCCTCCCGCCGAATACAACTATCCAGAAAGATGCCGTGCTAGCCATGCAAAAGGCGGCGACGGTCTTCGTTTCGTATTTGTCTTCGAAGTATGGCTTTCCTTTCCTTTAATTTCTTTCCCTCTCGTCATACCCAACCCTGTTCCATCTCCTTTGTTGAACGCGATTCCTCTTCGACACAATCACATACTCCATGCTAGTACTCAGAGTGAAGGACATATACACCACATACCTCAATACACACTCTGCAGCACAAGAATCCAGCAACTAACAACAAACAGTGCCAACGACGCAACCCTCAAACGAACAATCGCCCCATTAGACGTCTTCAACGCCCTCTCAGAGCTAGAACTCGATTCCTTCCGCGGCCGCCTCGAGCAGGAATTAGAAGCGTATACCGATATCAAAGCCGGCAAGCGCAAGCCCAAGAAGACTGATAATGGCGTTGCGCCTGATGCCGGGGGTGATGTTTCTGGTATTGCTGCTGGCGGTGGAGATGGAGATGGGGATGTGGAGATGACCGATAACCCCGCTAAAAGGGTGAAGCGTGATGGGGAGGATGGTGCTGCACCTGCAGCAGGCGCAGGCGCAGATGCAGATGGAGATGAGACGCAGGAGGATGAGGTCGAAGAAGAAGACGAAGAGGAGGAAGAAGATGAGGAGGAGGATGAGGAGGAAGGGGAGGGCGAGGCGCGCCCTAGACCTGAGGATGATCTTGAGCTTGTTGAGGATCTGGATCGTGAGCCTGGGGCTCCGAGGGGGCCTTTTGATCCTGATGCTGAGGAGACGGACGAGGATGAGGCTGGGCCTGGTAGTCAGTTGCGGGATAATCTTGGGCTTGGTTAATTGCGTTCAAGTTGCAATGCTATTCTGTATGGCGTTTGTATTCTTCGTCCGGCAAAAATGGGTTATAAGGGTTGGGAAAAGAAGCAGAAATGTTGTTGCTGTACTATATACATAATGATCAATGGGTTTCATGTGCGAGCTTTATATACTGGGAGTTTATGGAGATGCTATGTTTATATGGAGCAAGTACCAATATCTACACGCCATAGTCCTCTCACTCAAACTAATAGGTAGGTGTATAATTTAGACCAAATACTAGCATTATAACTCCCTACAACAAGCAATTCATCAAACAATATCCAGGGAAACCGAGGAACTGTATTAAATGATACAATGCCAGGAGGTATAACATCCCAAGCCATGGGTCCCAACCAAACATCCACAAGAACACCCAAGCAGAATGAAATCCACGAGGTAAAAGAGAATTTAGAAGAAGAAGTGAAAAAAGAGAAGAAGAATAGAATAGTAACAGAATAATAAAAACCCCATCATATGCCGGGAAAAAGCCAGCCTCAAATAAACGCCTAAACCAGCCCATGCAAGAGAAGCCCTGGTCTATCAATGGTATCTTTCGAAAAAGAACAGCAAATATCATCCCAGAGAGGAAACGCAGGGGATGCAAGTAAGAATAAAGTACAGAAGGAGAAGGGAAAACAAAAGGCGAAGAAATGGTAAAGTGGTATACCAAGTGTTGAAAGCGAAGAAGAGAAATTGACCAAGGAACCCAAGAAGGCGAAAAGGCAAGAAAGAAGAGAAGAAAAAGCAAGCCGATACTCCAATACCATGCATCATGTCATGACATGCGGTCGATTAAAAATCAAAAGATCATGAGAGTGTTGAGAACATTTAGGAGGATACCACAGGCTGAGGACGAGGCTCTGTGTCGAGTTGGCCTGCTTTGCCGGATTGTCTGGTGACTTTGGTGATGGGACCGTTGTTCTTTGGCGCACCAGCGGGGACGGGGCGCATTGCTTTGCCGGTCTTGATATTGGTTGTGGCAGCCTTGATTGAAGTCTTTGTGACTCGGGTGAACGAGGTGATAGAAGCGTTGGGTTTGGCAGGTGCCTTGGCTCCCTTCTTTGGAGCAGCGGCTGCGACCTTGCTCCGGGGTTTGGGAGCAGCTTTGGAGGCAACCTTTGGCGCAGGCTTGGGTGCACTCCTCGCTGCAGTCTTTGGTACAGCCTTTGCTGGAGCCGCCTTCTGCGATTTGAGAAGTTCCGTGATGCTGCGACCCTTGCTGGCTGGGTTTGTGACCTTCTTGGCGGCCTTTGTGGCTGCTCTTTTCGCGGGTTTCTCGTCCTGATCGGATGAAGGTGTGATAAGACCAGAGTCGGTCCGAGGTCGCTTTTTCGGCGTAACGACAACTGCGAAGGACTCCATAGTGGGTGCATGTAGGGAACTGGAGAGTTGGGGGATTGGCTCTGGAGAGGATTCGTATGCGCACTCGCTAATATCATCTGAGGTCCATGACTTCAGGTTCACCTGGCGTGCAACTTCATCACAGGAACCCTGAACGATCAAGTCAAAGCAGTCATCGAATTCCTTTCCACTTGGTGGTTCGTTATTAATAAACATTGTCACGCCATCCTTGCGACTCCGAATCATGGCACACATGCTCTTGACGAGGCGACGAACTCCGGGAATCTTTAAGCTGGTACCAGCAACGACGAGAACACGAGGGCGGGACTTTATATCTGAGTTCATAACTGATGTAATAGCCTCTTCGTCGGGGTTGTGTTCGTTGTAGAGAACGATGCGAGGGCGCATACGTCCTATTCCGTGGCTCCGGTAACCCCCAATGAGGCGAACCGTGTCGGTCTCCTCGCATTTAGTGCAAGCGGGCGGATCTGCTTCTGTGAACATGTCGCCGTTGAAGTCACACAGGAAGCAACACTTCTGGCAAACCATTTTCTCAATACTGCCGTGCAATTGGATCGTCACGGGCCATTGGCCCTTGACGTTGAGCGGGACCTCGGTGGCCAAGGGACCCATAGAGGTTTCAATGCCATCAATATTCTGGGTGTACAGTCGTTTCAGACGAGACTCGGTACCTAGCCGAGCGAGCATCTCATGGAAGGCGGTGGGTTTGGTCTTGGCAGCTTCCTGGGACAGCGACCGGACCATTTCGTGGAACGGTAGGGTCAATGCGTCATCTTGGTAGACAGCAGCATCGAAGAGGAGCTTGCCAGAAGCCTTCAAATTATGCTTCTTCTGTAAAGATTTGAACAGACCATCAGTGGAACGGAAGTCCGGGACTATATATATATTAGCCGGAGCTCATGTGGCAGAATATCAGCAGAAACTTACTACCGGCGGCAGTAGAAATGCCCGCACCAGCGATGACGACAATATCCTTCTGGTGGCGAAGAGTTTGGACGAGCAGGTTGTGCTGGTCATTTTGTTCGTAGAGACATTTAGATAGATCGAGATATTGGGTGGTCCGTTCCTTCGGTAGGGGGTTTCGTCTCCTCTTTGCGGGACGGGCTTGGCGTGCAGAACCCTCAGCGCCAGATTCAGCTTGGGAGGACGGGGTCGGGTAGCGTTCCGCAGGTTCTGGTGAGGATGCCCGAGATGAGGGGACAGAACTCAAGTCCGAACATTCGGAAAGCGTATCAAAGTCGTAGCCCATGACGAATTTGAGGAATCTGGTGAGGAGAGATGCGGTCATGTAACAAGGAGCGTCAAGGTGGTCACTCCCCCAGGAGAAATAGTCGGGGAGAAAGACCGAATGGATAGCTCCAGCTTATGTTAGAGACCAGAGAAAAGGACGAATGAATGAATCATGGGTAGAGCAGTCGACCATAAATATTTGGAAAAGGAGAAAAGAAGAGGAGAGGGATGTGTGTAGGAGTAGAGGTGTGCAGAAGGGGACGATGAGGTCAGGGTTGGAGGGGGAGCGTTTAATGAAACGGACAGAGGAAAAAAAGACCTGGCCCGCTCCTCACACGTTTGTTTTGACCCGAAGCGAGCTTGGATTCCCCGTGAAAGAATGTGGTTGTGTGGTAGAGACGGGGGAACTAGGAATTGCGATCTGCGGACTCGAGGGATAGAGTCAAACAGATATGGACAATTGCTTACATGCGAACCTGTGGGCCCAGGTCGTTTTTTCACTCACAGCATCAGAATGTTTTGCTGTCTTTCGATATTGAACCGCCAAAGTTGAGATGATTCGCTGGACTTGATAGCGGGTCACCTGATGTCAGCTGATTGGCCCGATCGCGTTGGCAGGGCTACGTGCTGACTCAGCAGGCCGGGTTGACTCCTGTCAGGACGTGACGGTATCTTTAGTTTAGATCTATAAAGAACGTTGGCAGTCTGGCTGATCTATCTGGTGCTTGGTGGCTTCATTGAGTGTGAAGTATCTTGCAAAGGGAACAAAGGCTGTCTTTTGGACTCTGACCGCCTCCCAGCCAAATAATAAAGCCTATTTGATATTCAATGCGCTGGGGAACACTATAGAGCTATGCTAGGTAGACTATATTGATCCCCTGATTGGAACGTCTTGATTATAGTCTGCCAGAAAGTATGCCCTTGATGATGGATGCGGGCATCAATGTGGACGATCTCTTTGGCGAGTCCAACTCCCTGGAATTGGGCTTGCCAGCCGCCTCTCCTACCAAAGGACTCGCGCAATGCCTGGACGAGATGCGCCTTTTAGGATGCTGCCAGTAAGTTGAACATTCCAGAGGTATGTGAGGGTATCTAACAACCGGATAGCAAGATAGCCTGGTCCCGGATGGGTTGCATTGCGTCGATCTCCCAGGATGGACTCAGGGTCAATATCCGCCATCTCCAGTGCAGTACTTTGGAGGGCAAATGGAACTTAGGCAAAGAAACACCTCTTACGACATCAATAGAGGCCCACCACGGGAACCAATTGGCTCATTTATCATGGAATGAAACCGGGTCGGAGCTGGCCGTTGTGGACTGCTCTGGTCGCATATCCATCTATTCTATCTCTATTGCTTTGAACAGCCTCTCAATTCTTCGTCAAGCATCTTTTGAATCTGGCGATGATAACAGCCAGGTCGTTGGTCTGATGTGGTTGAACTCCCAACGTTTTGTATGTCCCATTTCATCCAATTTTCCCAGGGAACAAAACTCTGACACCCCAATATAGATACACGCATTCCACCAAGCAGCCAAGGTGAATGGAAGATGGGCCTACACTCCTTTCCGCAGACGCCCAATTGGGCCCTTCCACCCAGCCAACAAAGGCGCCTTGATCTGTGTGACTAGAGCCGGCCAGATCAAGCTCATATATCAGAATCCCAATAGCACATGGGCTGAGCTTCCTGCTGAGTTGAAGAACACAGGATATTCGGACAGGCTATTAACACATGCCTCCATGGTCGCCACGCAAGGTAGCTTATCCCCCACGGAGATTTATATCGCAGTTCTAACATCGATGCAGCGGGGATCCTCCTCGCCACCTACTCTGCATGCCAAAAGATGTGTTTGTACAGAGTTCATATTGCCTGGAATCCACCGCAGTGGGAACCCACTCAAGGGAAACAGCAGCCTCCACCCGTCCCCAGTTTTCGCTTGAACCATTGCAAGGTGGATATGCCAGGAAATATACTGAATGTGAACCGCGGCCCAGAGCATGCAGATCAGTCTATCCCATTCATGAACTCTGTATACTCATTGACACGGCTGGAAATCATGCCAGCGCAGTCTGACAGTCCTCAGGGATCCACTGCCAATCCGTGGATTCTCGCGGTCTTCTCCAAGCCTCTCCATGCCATCCCAGACTACCAAGAGCAGCAAGGTCCGCCAACTGTAATGCTCAGGTGGCATTTGGAATCTACACCGCAAACACTCCATCCCAAATTTGATGAGGTGGCATCGAAGAAGAGCAATACCCAAGTGAAGGTATGTTTATATAGATTCCTGTTTGTGTACCAAGTCTGACTTGTACTCAGCCTAAATTGGAGTTGCGCCGACTGGATGATATCCATTGCGATAAATACGTTGTCTCGGTCGACTTGATCGAGCATGGAACTGTCTTGGCCGTCACGCACGACGACAGTTCCATAACATGCTATGATACGAGGACGATGACCATATTTAGTGGGATGGATGACTCGAACACTGTAACCTGTCTGGCCCAGGCGGGATTCCAGTATCCAGTAGAACCATCAGGTATGAGAATTGGTCCATCCTGCTTTCGATTGCGCAAGTTGACATATTCAGGTCTCCACCTCGCTTTCTCGCCTAACTCTTGCGTTGCTGTTACGCTGGATAGTGACGGAAATATGCAACTGAGAGTGATGGTGCATTCATTCGGATCAACAGATGGACTATATGATGAGAGTATATGCATCCCAAACCTATCAAAACGACAAAGCTGACCAAACGTACAGCCAAATTCTCCGCTGCCGTTGCTGCTTTGACAGTGGCATTCTGTCGAGGCTGTGGAAGTGAATGCAATACAGACGATGTTCTTATGGTAGCTCTCCGGCAGCTGTCACCGGGTAAGTCCACGGTCTTGACATAATGAGACTAACGAACTACACTGACAACCATGAAGAGGCTCAAACTACATTCATCAGTGAGGTGTATCGTGCACTGCCGGTCAATTGCAACTTTACCGCTGATCAGGAGAAGCTCATGAGCCACCCGTACATCCCTCGTTGTCTGAGTTTGCAGGCCGCACTGGGCTACAAAGGAAGACTCAAGCGCCGCAACCTTACGTCCTCCGTGCCATGGGCGATTCTTCAACTACGACATTCCTCGGTCCTATTTGCTTATTTCTTCCAGTATAACAAAGGCGTCCAGCCAGAGACACATGATCCAGGTATGCCAGACCCCCATCTCAACCCCCATGTCAACCCCAAAAGTCAATCGCTAATAACAAAAGATGTCCTACGCTTGGTATTGGGCAACGCGAAATGGACACTGGATTTCTCCCACTGGCTCCTAAATGAAATCTTCGACATGGCGGACGACTTCGAAAGTGTCTTCAACGACCAAGAAGCCTTCACCCAGAAATGTACGCCTAGCCACCCTCTTTCCCTAAACCCTCAAACAGAAAGTCTAACCAACACTAGTGAAAACAAGCTCCTCTCTCCCCCTCCTCATCCTCCTTTCAAGTATGTCGAGAGCCTTCCTCCGCTTCATCTGCCGCGGCCTCCGAGGCGTACACGCGGGCTTCGCAACTGCAAACCCAGCCTCCCTCTTCGGCGACAGCAGAATCTACTTTACAGAAATCTGTCAAACAATCGAAACCTCACCGGTACGGATAGACGTCTACGAGAAATTCCTCGCAGGAGTCGACTCCGCCGTGAAACACGCCTACCAAGGCGCAGGCTTCGGTGACGCCGAAAGACCAGGCCCGGAGAAAGAACTACTCGTCAACGCACGCATTCCCCCGGTCCTAATATCAGCCGTGGCAACGCTACTGCGGCAGACTGTACCAGCGCTGAAAATGGAGATCAATCGGATGGCGATTTACCTGGGTGACTATTCTTGGTTAGGCTTTGGGAATGATTCGAGGACCGCGCTTTATCGCAAACAGCGGGATGTTGATATTCTGAAGAAGTGTCCGCTTAGGCCGCCGCTTTTGTTGGGTTCTGATGGGCGTGTTGCGCCACTTAAGAAGAGACGCTGTGCACGGTGTTGTGAGGTTTCTGGGGATACGAGTTTGCCTAGGTCTATGCTTTCTTTCAAGATGACTGCTAAGTTGGGACTGTTGAGGTCTTGTCTTTGTGGGGGGATGTGGATTCTTGAGGTTGATTCTGGGGATGCTGGGGGAAGTGGGAGTGGGAGTGGAAATGGAAGCGGACATGGACATGGACATGGGCATGGGGCTTAGGGTTGATTTTTTTGCTTGGGAGATTTGTATTGGGATTTATTGTGGTGTGATGCCTCTCAACAGTTGATAGAAGAAGAGCGATTTTGTACGATATACCTTGCAAGTAAGAGACCATATAAGGTTGAGATGTAAAGGGACCAAAAGTAGGGACTGGGGATGAATGGGGTTGTGTGGGTATAAGTGGACAACTAGATTGGCGTTTTTATATGGACAGCACATGCATAGAGCAATATTTATCCTTGATCCGATAGGCATCGTCGACATGTCTATGTTGACGGCTGAAGAGGAACACATCCCTGAGTACGGCTTAATTGACCACAAGTTCCTTACCCAACCTTGGGAAACAAAAAATGTCTAAGTCATGTCATGTCAAGAGTCGATTTGCATCCTATTTAGATACATAATCAAATTCCATTTTTTGGATGTAAAAAAAAGAGAAAACCGACCCCTCCACAAGCTCTCGGGTCCACACTGTTCACGTCCTGCTTGTGTCCAAGGCCAGCAACGTCTTCCCACAAAACTCCATATCCGAACAAGTTCTGCGTTTAAGCCTGCAGAATATTAGTCAGTATTGTGTTCGGTTCGGATGGTGGCAAAGACCTTGGCAAAAATTGGCAGACAGAACAAGATATAAAATCCCATCACTATTCTCCCAATTCATAACAAGGACTGATCGAGATGATCATACCTTAACAGCGTACTTCCGCTGGGGGAAGTGAGTGGCGCGCTTCTGCTGACGCTCGGTGGTGCGGGTAGCCTCGTGCTTGGTGAGACGGCGACGGATCTCACGGGTGAGCTTGGGGCGGAGGTCGAGGGGAAGGTACTTCTTGTTCTTGTAGAACAGACGCAGCTGGGCGCGCTGGTTGGCGTTGATGACGGTGAGGACACGAGCGATCGACTTGCGAACCTCGCCGCTAAAAAAAAAAGTCAGCATCGATTTCAGATGACTTGATATACCCCGTCTCGGTTCATTGCAATCGTAGTGTCCGTCTCTTCCTCCTTGATCCCATTGGTGATTTGCTGGTGTAATCCTCTTGTTTCGTTTTCCCGATCGGGGGGTTCGATTGTTTCCATCCCGCAAATCTCCAAATCCATTCGCACAAAAAGGAAAGTCGGGGGTGTCGAATACGCACATCTTCTGAGTCTTCGTGGAAGCACCGCTGGAGATCTTCTGAACGCGGAGCTGGTTGAGCTCCAGCTTCAACTCCTCGAGCTGCTTGGCGAGCTCATCCTTGTTCTTGCCCCAGAGCTGACCGGCCTTGACCTTGGACGACTGTAAAAAAAGAGAGGTTCATCAGCATGCATTCAGAGGTTCTACCTGGCAGCACGTACCATAGTGGCGGCGATTTGTGTGGGTTGTCGACGTTGAGAATTGAAGATGTCCGAGGGTCAATTTGCGACTGGTTGTGGGACTAGGGCTAAGCGAATTCTGCGACACTAAGCGGGCACGTGATGAGCGCGGCACTTAATGCCTGGGTGCCTGAATAGTGGTGCCTGGATTTCCTGCCCCGAGCGTAAGGTGTCAGCTTACTGTATCCGGTTAGTCAATTATTCCCGTCCAACTTACGTAGGTGTAGCACCTCGGCCCTTGCACGGTCTGGAGATTAATTCTAAACAGTTGTGACCCCCTGTCAATTCCTCTCCTCTAAACCACCTCCTACATACCGGTCATGACGTCTTCTACTGGCTCTGGGTGGACACAGCTCCGGCAACAAGCCCGGTCTCTCGAGACTCAGGTACCAACATATTCAGGAACCTCGCTATAGAATGTGACTGATGCCATCAATAGACTGAGAACCTCTTCCACACCTACTCACAATTTGCATCTATCACCAAGCCCCCACAGACACCCACCGAGGAAGAGCTGCGCCTCGAATCGCAATTGAAAGACCTCCTCGAAAGAGTAAGCCAACAACGGCGAGCAGCCAGCCTACCAAAAAAAGAACCGCAACAGCTAACTATCCTCCGCGCAGCGTGAATCTCTCATCGCCCAACTATCTCGACTTCTTGACTCAGAAGCCACCCTCACATCCTCCGCCCTGAAACAGAACAACGTCTCCCGCCATCGCGAAGTACTCCAAGACCACCGCCGTGAGCTTGCACGACTAACCTCCGCCATCGCCGAATCGCGCGATCGCGCAAATCTCCTCTCGAATGTCCGCTCAGACATTGACTCCTACCGCGCATCCAACCCCGCCGCCGCCGAGGCCGAGTACATGCTCGAGGAGCGGGGGCGAGTCGAGAACAGCCACAACATGATGGACGGAGTGTTGAGCCAGGCGTATGCTATCAACGAGAACTTCGGTGTCCAGCGTGAGACCATTGCCAACATCAACCGGCGTATTGTCGGCGCTGCCAGTAATGTTCCCGGCATGAATTATCTCATTGGAAAGATTGGAAACAAGAAGAGGCGGGATGCTATCATCCTTGGATGCTTTATCGGATTCTGTTTCTTGATGTTACTGTTCTTCCGGTGATATGTCGAACTGTTATTCTGAGGGTACGCTGTCTCATCTTATTGTTCTCGCGTCGATTGCTGCTATCCAGCGAGTGGACTTTTGTTACCAAGGCGTTCGGGTTTGGGCATTTCTGTGTCCCTCTTGATGGGGGATACGATGATAATTCTTGCACGTCAACTGGCGGCTATTCTTTATGCTCTCTATTATACACATTCTCTATTGTATGTACAAATTTAACTGAGAGGGGAATCACATCATATACAAGTCTCGATCCGGTACTGGTACACTCACCACAGACTGACCCATCCTAATACTTTTTCGAGCCGGGCATTTCAGAAAGGGCATTCTTCTCCTCAATCAGTTTCCTCAAACCAGCGTTGAGTCCCTCCAACTCCTCCGCATCCGCCGGCCCACTCCCCGCCCAGCGAATCCGACACTCCTCATCAACAAGGTAAACATACCCAACCTTGGAGTTCATCATACCAACAGTCTCCTTAAGCGCCTGGTCAAAGCCTTTCTGCACCAAGAAATACCGCGAATGCTGCTCCTTCGGCAACTTCTGACGCATACGCCACATAAATGTCTTAACCAACCACGCCTTCATGCGGTTCTCCTCGAGGTTGATATCAATTCTCTGAACATGTTTCCCGCCGCTAGATAGCGCCTCCACAAGACCTGGGTTCTGCTGCGGGCCTGTGAATGTCGCAACCTGGCCTTCGGCCCAGACGCTGGAAAACAGGTTGATGACGGAGATGCTGCCGCGCAACTGGGTTGTTGTGTTCTGGGCATCTTTTGGGGTTGCGAGGGTTATGCCGTGCATGTTGGGGAAGTAGAGGGATCTGTCGGCTTTGAAGAGTCGGGGGTTTGAGATAAAGGTCTTGCCTTCGTGGTGGCGGAGGTTGGACCATTCGCGGAAGTAGGGTTTGGCGACTTGCTTTGTCCTGTAAGTGGCTACTGTTAGCATTGCGTTCTTGTTCCATCTATTGACTGCCAGTTGGGGAAAGATAGGTTGGGTCAGTACAATTCTTTGCGCCGCTTGATGTGTCGGTCATAGTTGGTGAAGTCGTCGCGCCGCTGGGACATAGAGCGCGTGTCGATTCCTGTGTTCTGTCCCTCTAAGGGTGGCAGCGGACTTCCAATGGGTCGGTCTAGTCTGGGGGGAGCGAAGTCTGCGTCGCCGGGTTGAGGGCCATCCTTTTGGTTCTGTTGGAATTCGATGGAGCTGGTCAGGCGTTGCCTCGCGAGAGATTGAGTCTCGGTCTTCGTATTCCGCTTCACTGGAGAAAATGTCTTGCTAGGATCCTCGGAAGTAGCATAGTGGCGCGGGAAGAAGGGTCTGACTCGGAGCTGGGCGAGTCTCGCTGGGTTGCGGAATTGGCAGCTTAGACAGCGGCTGGTCTGGAGGAGTGGGAGGTCGGCAACCAGGGTCGTGGGGAGGGCAGATCTCCACATCTTGATTGGGCCAGGCCAATGTGTCGAGAACGCTGAGCTGTAAAGATGTTGGGTTCTCCAGCTTTCTCGCAACAATATCTCCGTCTCAGAAACCCATGGTCACGTGAGTCAATGTTACCCCTTTGGGGATGGCCGCCATGCAAGCGTGCAGTTCTACGTGCATTTGCATTTAAATTGAATGAACACGAGGAGAATGGAACCCCCCAGATATTGGAAACATACTATGAGAGCGCTAAGTCCTCGCTCTTTCTATATGTTGAGATATGTTGCTTATGGCAGCTGATTCTATACTTCTGGAGACATTAGCGCACAACCATGGGTCTACGAGATCGCTACCGTGACCACAGCAACATCCGAGACCCAAAGTCCCCTCGGCGCCAAAAACCTCAAAATCAGGCAGCAGAGACGCCTCGCAGTCGATGATGAAAGGTTGAGATAGCAACTGATCCCGTGACCTGGCGCCGCTTTCGCGCAAGTCAATCGCGTCCACTTGCAACCACTGACAACCTTGTCTGCCTGAAGACTTGTGTCACTGTGATCCTATCATGAAGTCTATTTGGTCTAATCTGTCGACTCTCGATTGGACTCCGGACTAAAATGGCGGGCACTCACAGCAAGGAGAGCTTCTTTGTGTCGCTGGAGCGACTGGATGAACAGGATAACCTTGATAACCAAGACGAGGAATACGACAAATGGGAGTGTCTTTTATACTCAAAATATAAGGCACCAGCTCCGGTCGTGCCTGCTTCAGTTGCAGAACGAATCTCACTTCTTCGAGCGAGTTCAGATCCTCAACCTTCTTCAGACAATCATCGGTATAATCCGAACAGATTGTCAAATGACTCGAATCCTGCTCCTTTGATCCGGCATCAGACGACTGGAAATATGCCTGCTACCAAGAGTGGGGGTCCCCCCAGAAGAAGAAGAGAATCAACAGCGCGAAGGTTGTACCTGAAGATCAGAAAATCTTCAAAGACTTAGTCTTTTGTGAGTACTTCATGGCTTTCACTTAATTGACTTTCACTAACCTATCGAGTCTAGTTTTTTTTCCGAATAACGATATCTCCCCGCTTCGACGGCTACGTATCCAACGATCCCAAGAATACGGAGCTCAATGGAGTCGAGTGTGGGCTAAGACTGTCACCCATGTGATCGTCGAGAAAGACTTGCTTCTCAATGACCTTCTCAGTTCCATCAAGCTAGAGGCTTTACCAGTCAGTTCACTTGTCAAACTCTGGTTTCAGCACTGACTAGTTCGCAGACGACAGTCATTCTCGTCAATGAATCCTACCCTTCCGACTGTATCCAGTTTCGATCGGTTTTAAATCCTTTACAGCTTCGTTTCAGGGTCCAGGGAGTCCCTAACCCCAACACAGATAAGAAGAAGAAGGAGGAGGAGGAGGAGGAGGAGGAGGAGGAGGAAAAACAAGAGCAGCCACCTGTTCTAACGGAGCCAACCTCGGTGAACGATTTACCGCTGAAGCCCTCGCGGCGGGAACAAACCCTGTGTCCGGAATCGTCTCAGCTTTCGGTCGAAAAAGATATACAAGCAGCTACCACTGAGCCAGCCGAAGAACCCGCTGGCGAAGTGGACGGCAGGATCATTCGGGAGCGTGATGCTTTGGATGAGATTATCGATGAGGCAAGGGCAATAAGTCATCTGGTAGGTCATGTCATCCGTCTACCGGGGGTCAAGCAACTAATCTTTATTCCTAGCCCTTGGACCCTCTAGAGTCGTTGGACGATGACCATACTGCCACTCCATCCAATGAGGAAACCCCAAATGGCTCAGAGTCAGACTGTGAACCACGGCCATCAAAAGAGCCCCAGGAAAAGGGTACATCGAACTGGACGAAGGGCTTCTCTTGCATGCAGAAGTATAATCCAGACGAGAAGCTCGACAACCCGAATAGCCGGACCATTGAAGTTCTTCGACAAATGCTGGACTACTATACCCAAACCGCAGACCATTGGCGGAGTCTAGGTTACCGCAAGGCAATCATTGCGTTGCGAACGCAGCCAACGAAGATTTCCACGCGAGCCCAGGCGCGGGCTCTCCCTGGAATTGGAGAGCGACTTGCCGACAAAATCGAAGAAATCGTCTTGACCAACCGTCTTCGTCGTTTGGAAAATACAAATGATACTCCTGAAGACCGACTTATCCAAGAATTCCTCGGCGTCTATGGTGCCGGTCTCACCCAGGCGTCCAAATGGGTGGCGCAGGGTTATAAGTCTTTATATGATTTGCTCGAAAGGGCCCCTTTGAGCAAGCAACAACGCATTGGGGTAGAGAGATACAGCGACTTTGCCCAGCGCATCCCTCGAAAGGAGGTAGAAGCCCATGGCGCGATTGTGCGAAAGGCGGTGCAAATCGAAGACAGGGATATGCGGGTCATCATCTCAGGCTCTTACCGCCGCGGGGCAACAACCTGCGGGGACATAGACTGCCTGATAACAAAGCCTGGTGCCACTTTGGATCAGATCCGCACCACCATGCTTGGGCTTGTGGTCCCAAAGTTGTTCCGCTGTGGGTTTCTGCAAGCTAGCCTTGCCCTGTCGTCGCATCAAGATGGGTCAAAATGGCATGGTGCATCGACGATACCTGGCACCAATCTGTGGCGTCGTATCGATCTACTATTCGTCCCTGATGCCGAGATTGGGGCGGCCTTGCTATATTTCACTGGCAATGACATTTTTAATCGGAGCATGAGATTATTGGCACGGAAGAAGGGGATGTGTCTAAATCAAAAAGGATTATTTGCTAATGTTCTTAGAACACAGCAGGTCAAGCTCAACGCGGGTCGATTGGTGGAGGGTCGAAATGAGCGACGAATCTTTGCTGTACTGGGGGTACCCTGGCGGCCTCCCGAGCACCGGATCTGTTGAGCTTGCCGGCAGCTGGTGATGGGATAGGCGAATAGTTATTATTATGTAGTAGCTTATTTGCTTAACATCAACATGGCCACTATATTCCAGTGGCTGGTATTGTTCTTGTTCGTGAATCAGTTGGCTTATAGTAGATCGCCACCCAGTGAGCGATGATGAGATATATCTTTGCACCGATGACGATAACATCAGAGATTTCAGTCAGGTCCAACCTGCATATATACTCAAATGCAAAGCAATATATCGTAAAGGCTGATCTCATGTTATCCGATACCCAAAAATAAAAAAATGAAATAAAATAGCTGCATACAGATGTACATAAAGTTTTTCGCCTACATTCTGGAGAGACAAGTGTAGCAGTCACAGTGGCACAAGTGACTAAGACTTCCTCTCTTCCCCAACTTCTCTTCCCATCAACAACATCAACAACATCAGACCTGAAACTTCTCATAGTTCCAAAGTTGATATTCCTTGATCTTGATCACCGCCTTTCCGTGACCGCCCTGCAGCATCACCGCCTTTCGTGCGGTGAAGCCTCCATCGCGTGTTCCTCCCCTTGCGATTGCCAGACCGCCCTCTACTGCCCAGGTTTTGCCCGCACATCTTCGTTTGAATCGTCTTGATATTGTGATTGTTCAGTCTCGAGTCTTCTCTTTGAGCCTTGTATTTCGAGGTTCACGGACTGGGCTTCCCAGTCCCCAGTGACTGTGCACGTGTTTTTTTGCACGATCCTCCTCCCACCCCTCTGTCTTTCTTCCATACACACACCACAACTCGGTGGGATCCAGTGCTCCTTTCAGACAAGACATTGGTCACTTTTGATCGGTTCTTTACATTCGTCAATTATCTGGTTTACACGTGAAACCGTCATCAACCACGTCCACAACACCTTGCAAAATGGGTCGCAAGCCCAACCAACTCATCCTCGAGTTCTTCCACCGAGGTCCCAAGTTGGAAGACGCGAGCAATCGGTACCAACATACATGCAAAGCCTGCGGGGAGATCTTCCCCAAGGGTCGCATTGACAGCCTCACCAACCATCTTGTAAAAAAATGCCAGGCCATCCCTCTCCGCGACCGTCAACGCGTGTTGTTGCGACTCCACGAACTCCCGGACCTCACCGACGGCGACTCGAACAAGGATTCACCATCTGGTAAACAAGGAAAGTCAGGTGAAGGCGGTTTTCCCAACCGACCCAACTTCGATGGTCTCAATGTGCTTGCCGAAGCGTCGCGACAAGTTGGCGCCTCGGATGTCAACAAACGTGGCCCCGGATACACTCAGTCTGTGACTGCTGGAGGGAAGACAGTCATTGTTGACCCTGCGCTGGAGGCTGAGGGCTTCCAGGGACAATCGCAAGGATCTGATGGCAAGATCGAAGGCACCGGAAATGCTGAAGGTTTGTTTTCTCCACTGTGCATCGTCGCACGCCCACAGTTTGCTAACATTTCTTAGGAACTCCTCAATCGTCCAACGCTCCTAGTATTCCTGCCCTTCCGAGCCACACCCCTGGTGAACACCCCGCTTCCATGTCTCCGCCCCTAGGCGATGCCTCCATGTCGCCTGAGTCGACCTCCAACGCGCGTCAGTCGCAACTGTCGATGATCGCCGCTTCTGCCAACGAGATGGTTCCCCAGGGACTGTCGATTGATGGCGATAACATTAGCTCTGATGGTTTAAAGCTTGGCCAGTGGGGTGGACAGTTGTCAACACACGAGCAGCTTCTTTTCGACAGCTTGCATGAGCATGACCCATCTCTGACCGCTGCGACTCAGCGCGCTGCGTCTTATCCACGCCCCATTGCTATGAACCCGAATACCCAGGCGAAGGGCTTTGTCAATGAGTTTGGCAACTCAACCAAGCCCATGAAACCCAAGGTGCGCGGCCGATTCACTGCCGAGCGACGCCGTGAAGTTCAGGATGTGCGGAAGAAGGGTGCCTGTCTTCGTTGCCGAATGCTGAAGAAGCCTGTACGTATTCGCGAATCCGTGGCGTGGGTTGAATTGTTACTGACTTTGATAGTGTTCTGGCGATACCCCTTGCACCACTTGCGCTAGCGTGGAGAGCGCTCGCCTGTGGAAGCATCCCTGCTTGCGCACTCGCCTTTCCGACGAGTTTGAACTTTATAATGCCAGTAAGTCGTTGGTCTTTTCGTCTTGCAAAATATGAGTCTGACAAGAATTCAGACTTGAATTCAACACTTGCCTACCATGACACCAACAGCATCAAGAACCAGGTCAAGTTCGAGCACTACTCGGGCCGAATCGAGGTCACCCACTTTGAAGAGAGTAACTCCTTCATGACCTTTAGTGGACTGCAGGGCCACCGTGCTTCGGTGTCTGCTCTCGATCCCCAGCTACAGGGTCTTGGTGATGATCAGTTCTCTAGCCCCGCTCAAGAGGTTTACCTCCTGGATGCCGATGCCGATGATATTCCCAGCAAGCTTGAGCTGTACATCAAGAAGAACGCACACCTTTTCTATGAGCGAGAGACTTCGAATTTCATGAAGTCTACCCTGATGCTCGCTGCCGAGATTAACCAACAGAAGAAGGCAAGTTACTTGATATTCGATGTGTAGACGTCTGCTGACATGGAACAGGACATCCTTCTCGAGCGTGTGCTTGAGCTTTGGGTTGCTACTCACATCCTTGTCGACACTGAACTTACCTGGAAGACTTACTACAACCCCACTCTCCCTCCCAACTCATTACACTCTCTTTCCCAGCCTTCGGACGAGGGCCGTCTGCCGATCGAGGAAGTTTCCGATCCCGAGTCGTACGGTCTTCTCTGCAGCCAGCTGCGTTCCGCCATGGAGAAGCGTGCCATGGCCTTGAGCAAGTTCGTCATCAACGATCTCGAGCGTCGCCTTCTTCAGCGCCAGAAGTGCGGCTGGTTCGATACCTTTATTACTGCTATTATCCTTCTGAACTGCGTGGAGCGCACCTGCTGGCTCTTCCGCTCATGGGACAACGAGAACTTTTCTGGCCGCGTATGTTGTTACTCTTGACATCCATTGCATCCCTACTAACAGCTTTTCAGTGGCCTCTGGACAAGCGTCCTCCCTACTACTTCAACCAGTCCGACCGCTTCTCCGACATCCTGGAGATGCTTCTGCGCATGCGCCACATCCCTCCCAAGGCTACTTTCCGTCCCGAAAACGGCATTCTCAAGGCCGTGGACGGCAGCGACGAGTGGGCTGTCCGTTGGTTTGACATGATCCAACTTACTCGTAAGTTAACAGCTGATTCGATCAACTCAAAAACTCCTTACTAACTCAATTTCACAGCATACTACATCGAAGAGCGCAAGAACGCCGTCTTCGACCCATCCGACTCGCGCTCCCTGGATTGCCACCACAGTGCCAACCTCCTCGAGCCCAACAACGCTACTTGATCCCTCAAAAAAAAAAAAAAAAAAAAAAAAAAAAGAAAAACAAAATGTCCGAGACACACTATTTGCCAAGAGGGCCACACGCTGGCGACCATCAGTGATCCATTACGATATGATAGCGACAGCAAAACACACATGCAACGAATCTGTTCGAGTACACTTCCCGTTTCCCATACCCAATGGAGATGGACGCGGACATCTTGTCCGATTTGCTAAACGGAGTTGAAATATCTTAGTAGGGGTAGAAATGTTTTCAAGCGAAGAAATGATTAAGGGGGATATCTTCTGTTGTCCTTAATGGTTTCCCGGCTGTTCTTTTTTCTTCTTTTCTGTTCTTTCTCGGGGGTGTTTGTAGGTGTTCGGGTTGGATGTGGGATCGGATTTGGTTATTTGTAGCTAAGGCTTTTTATCACTATGGTCAAGTTTTGTATCGAGTGGAAATGCTATCTTTTATCTATTTCATGCCCATCTCTGCATTTATAGTAATGTTAACTCCCGGATCATAATGTTAGTGCACGGTCGAGTAGTCCGAAAGGGACCGAGACGATAAACGCCGGCTCGGGGAGCAATATTTCAGAGCTAGAACTTGGTAATTGAGTCAGGCTTAGGTATTCATAGTGCACTCAAAAGCTTAAGCATTCACATGTTTTATTCGAGCCTTTATTTCAACCCTATCGCAAGCCAAATAAATAGCTGGTACCCTTGAACCGTTTGAATGTGAAGGTCGACTGCGCATTCCATCATGATAAGTATAGATTCGGTTTCCCTCCAGACCGTTGAATAAAGAATAGGGATACAAACCATCGACACCTGCTGAAGTGGATCAAGTACAGGAAGGTATGTTCCATCTAGCTTCGATCCATGATTTGATATGTCCCAATGAGGACCCTCAAGTGTACGGCATATACACAGGATACTGTGTGGTAAACCTTGGTGTAAAGTATAAGAAGTTGCCGTCTTTCTGAGATAATCCCTGTCAACTAGTTTAGATGAAGGTAGTCCTGGAATGACTGTATCGCAAGTATCAATCGGCCATGAATACCCCCCGGGGTGGGGGGAGGGTAAATTATGAGGCATACTTATCACATTATTGGCCAATGTCTGGAGGCTTATTCTCTGTATTCTAAAAGTCTCCGAAGTCTCCGAGACTAGTCTCAAAATGCGCGACTAGCATCTATATAAATCATCACGAACCGGCAACTCTAGTCTCATCTCAATACCAGATACAGCCCAAAATCAAAATGAGCGAGTTCACCGAAGCCAACCGCAAACACTTTGAGTAGGACTCTAGATTACTATACCACAAGAAACCTACTAACTACAGCCGTCCCATAGCAAAGTCGCCTCTAACCACCAAAATGACTTCGGCGACCTCATCAACAGCACCATCACCGAACTCAATACCCGCCGCAAATGGATCAGTTCTAAATTAGCTGATTCAGACCCAGCAGACGACGTCCGTCTGCTCGATTATGCCTGTGGCGCGGGGACAGTCTCCAAGGTACTTGCGTACCAACCACCACAATGTACAATCTAATATCTGAAAATATAGGCTCTAGCGTCTTATACATCCTGTACAATCGGCCTGGATCTATCCAAAAACATGGTCGCGGAGTACAACAAAGCCGCGGAAGCAGGGCTTGGACCTGATCGCATGCAAGGGTACCAATATGACATCCTCTCGCCGGACACAACATCCCCTCCCGGCGGATCGCTGGTGCCCTTTGACGTAGTAGTCACAAGCATGGCATTACACCACGTCGCCGATCCAGACCAGCTACTGCAGGCGTTCAGTGAGCTGCTCAAGCCCGGCGGAGTGTGTGTTGTGGTTGATATGGTCCCGGGGTCTGCTTTTCATGAGGGCAACGAGGAGAAGTTTGATTCTGATATATCAGAAGCCCTGCAGCCTGAACAACGGGAAGTGTTCAATACGATTGGGAAGCATGGATTTGACGAGGGGGAGACGAGGGCTTTGTATGAGGGTGCCGGGATAGGGACGGGATTTGAGTATGTAGTCTTTGACAAGCCATTTCGGTTTACGATGTTTGGTGAGAGGTTTGGGACGACGGGATTTATTGCGAGAGACGTGAAGGCTTGATGCATTTTGCCCTTTACCCTAAGTATTGAATGGAGAGATTGGAGGGAATGATGTCGTGGTGCTATCTGTAGCCAACAAGCTGGGCTCCCTTTTATCATAAAACGGCATAATATAAAACTCAAACAACACTGCTTTTCCTCCACGATATCGTCCTGGCCGCCAATTAGCGCTGTGGTGTAGTCTGTGGACAGTCGGTCTATTCGGTGTGATATACTCGACAAAGAGTCCTTCTTCGCATCAACTTTTCAAGAAAGTAGCACAAAGCCCACCCGCTCTTCCTTGACAGCCATATTATCCTGGGCGCAACATAACCCTCACCTCAACAACTTTCCCAAACCATCGGTCTCTGATAGTATTGATGCACCATGGGAACGGGAAACACATGGAAGTGCGCGAGGGAAAATCAAAAGTGAGTGTTAGGGGTGCTCTGAAGTATTCAAGCTATAAAGCGAAGAAATTATCGAGGATCAATTTGATGCCGCGTGTAAATCAGAGGACAAGGAAAATTGTGGTGCATGCAAATGTACAGACCGATTGCCTCTCCTTCCCCGAATTGGAAGATGCTCGCGGCGAACATGGGAGCTCCTTTTTCTAATGGATTGTGCTCGACCATGTCCGAGATTGGACAGAGGTCTGAAGGGATGTATGATGAAGGCATGCCGGTGGCTGATAGATCTTTGTATGGATTGTCTAGGATACCTTTGCCGATCAAGGTTAGTGTGTGTGTATTTTAACGCATCTCGAGAGATGGGTTGTTGTTTTCTTGGGTTATTGGAAATACTTGGCCTGAGGATCAGGGGATCCGGTTTGCGAGATTTTCCAGGCCTTTTTCGAGGGTGTTCTGGACTGTTGTAGTAGATTCTGTTGTTCCAAATTTCGATATCGCTGCAATGTAGACCTTTGGCATGATCAGGTCTAGCGGCGTTAGCCGCTCAGCATTCGAGAAAGACATTGCTTGGGTGCACTGCCAGAAGGAAGATCTGGTAGAAAATACTGGGATTGTTTGCCTTTTACGGATCGTTCAGTCGAAATGACCCATTCTGGGCCCGCGGGCCCGTCGCCCTGAGCAAACAAGGCCAAGGGGAGTTACGAGGGCCACATCACATATATAGAGCCACTGGAGGTGAAAGGTCTCCATAATTTAAATGGAATGAGTTCAGTATATGTTCCTTTACATTCTATTGTATCTCCTTCTGACTTCCTTTTGTCCGTTGTTCGTTGTTCAACGTTAACCTAGAGACTGTTGATGGTACTTATATCATGAAAAGCTCCCCGCACATTCAAGAGCATTGTCATAGCCGGAAAATGTACTGATGAGTAAAACTTTGGACTAGAATACCTCATTTTGTTCAAATGACGCCCTTATCTTACGTATAATAGGGGACATGAATCTGTTGACAGTGCCATGAATTACTAGACGATTTCTATATGAAATCGTCGCAGTGAGTGTTTTATTTCATACATTTTCTGAGCCACGACTTGACCTTTATTTTGAAACACCTTTGCCCATTCTCGAGAGCTGTAGGGAAATCAATTAGAAAATTTGAAGATGAGCATGTAAACGGACTTCTGACCGTTGTTGTGACAGTTAAGCTTGAAGATATTCGCAACAATCATTCTGGAATAGAGATATAGATACAAGCTATTACCATACAAGAGATAGAAGGTCGATGCCAGTCCACCAGAAACCTCTTTCAAAAGCATCTACCATTCAATTTCATCGGGCTCGTCCACGTGAATCGATGCCTTGACATCACGGAATTTCCGCGGCCCCTTGTTTCCACCACTCGACCTCTCTTTCGATTCCAAATATGAAGCTTTTACCCACTTCACTAGTAACTCCCATTCTTGAATGGTTCAAGAGTATGTTTTCTGTATCCTCATTCCCAATATAATCATCTGCCAAAGCACGTCGCCCCATACTTCTATTTTCCTACGACAGACCTGGAGTTTGTCGAGAATCTATGCCAAAAGTGTATTTCCCCATGGCTTCAAATAGCATCGGCCACGTTACTAGCACGTATGGGCTCCTCAACCTTCTTCCATGCGATAGCAACAAATAACCCAGAAGATCTTCAGCTCCTCGGCGATGTAGTAAGCACCCTCAAACATACCCAAGAAGAGTCATGAATATCCAAACGCCTCAACCAAATATCCAGTACCTACGCACAAGTCACGAAAGAGCCATCGAAAACCAGAATCTCGGCTGTCGGGGTTTACTACTCGCAGGACGATTCATTGCCACTAGTAGATAGCCAAGGCCACCCTTCATTCCAGGCTGATACCTTCCAAGAAGCATGAGGACCTGATTGTGAGGACTACCTGAGTCCATCGGGGGCATATGATATTCTAGATGGATGGACTACCAGACGACCCCTCACGATGAACTTGTTTGCGATAAGTTCTGGAGGGGCTATGATGGAACAATGGCTCTAACAGCCTAAACGCTTTTCGTCTAGCTATATTGAAACAAAAAGATGGTATATCTACATTCGAAACACATGATTAATTCAACGCGTTGAATTGCGATCGATCGGGAGACATGCTAATGGTAATACTTGCACGAAGCATAAAATAATATACAAACGAAGACAAAATGAGAAAAAGAAGACAAACATAACCAAATCCCCATCCCCGTCCCCGTCCCCGTCCCAGTCCCCGTCCCAGTCCCAAAACAAGATCAAGGTCCAGATCAAGGCGTACTCTGAATCATGTTATCAGGCTGAACCCCCGCAACTTGCTGCATCTGCTCCAGGACAACAGCATAAAACTTCCCTTCTTCAGAAGTATCATGGTAAGGACCCGCAGAAAGAACAGCCCTGAAAAAAAATCCCCTTCAATCAGTACATGTGCATCAAATTCAACAACGTTGACATTAGTCAGGGTGAGGGTAAATAAAAAAGCAAACATAACATACCATCCCTTATACTTCGGCTGATTAAAAATCTCCGTAAAAACCCTCAAGATGCGCAACGGCAATTCCAAAATCGACGGCAGCTCAGGCCCTTCACCGCAGATTGGCAGGCCTAGCTTGTTGACGGGCAGGTAGACTGTTTCGGCTGTGTTGGTCGGGTTACGCGTCTCCTGGAAGATGAGCAGGCGGCGTGATGTGGGCGCCTGTTGCGCCAGGGGTTGATTTGGGGGCATGTCGTGTTCTTCGCCTGTGTCTGAGGCGGCTTTTTGCGTAAAGAGGGATTTTAAGAGTGTTTTGCGAAGGTCAGGGGTTGGCCTTCTTTTTCTTGGGGATGAGTTCAGTTTGGCTGTTTTTCTGCCTTTTTTTTTCGTGTTGTTTTGATGTTGCAGGGTGGGGACAACTTCCAGGAGTTGTTCCTTTTCTTCGTTAGGGGAGTTTTATTAGTATCGCGTCTAGGATGGGGGGTTTATCGTGTTTACTGGACTTACGATGTATTACTCGCGTGGCGGGATGTTGTTAAGCTGTGGTGGGATGCGCGGGGCAGAAAGGGGGAAATGATGGAGGGACAACACACGACGAATATAGAGAGTAGATACAAGTAAGACAAGTAAGTAGAGACGTGTAAATAGAGTGGAATGTGAGTTAGGCAGATGTCAGATATTAAGTCTAAATATGACAAGGATACAAACGTCTATGAGTGTAAACAATCCAAGGTTAGTTCTACAGGAATGCAAAAAGCAACATGGTCGTTCAAAACTGTTTACCCACTCCATTTTCTCGGGTGCCCCTTCAAAATATATATCTACCACTTAATGTCGTCTATTTTGGCCTGATTTAATACGATCAAAGCCTCTACCAGAAATTTCTGTAAAAACAATGCTAGTTACTCCCCGACCTTCCTATAATATGAAGCTCCGGAAATAGCGCCGGGGATCTGAAAGCTGCAGTTGAGTTCTTTCTTTCCGGAATAAGGGACGAAAACCCAAGAATTTTGAATAAAAAAAAAGGCTCAGATGATGGGGCCCGGCAAAGAGCGATACTAGGGAATACAGAGGGTTAAAGTGATAATTAAGAACGAAATTGACGGAAATCTGAGAATCCAAATAGAAAGAAGACCTCAGATTATGGGGCCCGTCAAAAAAAAAAAAAAAAAAAAAAGGGAATACATAAGAGACAAAGCAAGTGAGAGAAAGTAAACCTCAAAAACACTGGGTATCACAATAATCCAAACAAATACAAAGTACAAAAAGAGACAAAAAGAAAGTAAATCTCGCCCCGCGATAAATCGTGGTATCGTTCGCAATGCAGAGATGGAATAGATATGGGAAAAAAAGAAATTAAGCATTAAGCGTCGAGTTCGCCCTCCAACACTCTCCGCGCCGCATCTAGCCGGCGCCGTAATACACGTGCAGCCTTCTGATCCGGGTCTGGAGAAGTCGTGATGGCTTGCAGATCCATGCAGACATTGCCCAGGCTGGCGAAGAGCGTTTCCAGCATCTGCGTATCGTCGTCGTTGATGCCGCCGGCGACGGGCGTGCTGGATGCTGCGCGCACAGTCGAGACGAGGGATGAGACGAGGGAGTTTGGGGTTGCGGTGCCGGCGGTGGATGACGAGCGGCCGGTTTGTTTCTGTGGGGCGAGCACCTCGTCGACGGGGGTGAGAGTATTGTCGCTGTGGGCGCGGGATCCACGGGGAGTTTCTGATCGGTCGGGTTCTTGGGCTTCTTGAATTGGACTGGGGCCGTGGTGGGAATGAGAGTGAGTGTGGACATGTCCATGTCGTAGTTCTGTCCAGGGTTAGTGTCGATGTCTTCTTCATTGGGAGACTGTGGGAACGAACCGTGATTAAATCGTCGGTCCCAATACATCACGCTGTCAAGGTCGTCTTCGTCATCTGGGCGTCCTTCTGTTGCAGTTGCGAAGGTTGCCACCGTCGAGTCGGACATGGCGCTGTTGGTGCGCGAGTGCTTTGCGGTGTATGTCGGGCGTGTGGTTTCAATAGAGCCATTGGAGCTGGTGCTCGCGCGGCGGAGTGGTCGCGCGAAATTGCCTAGGGCGCTGTGCAGAATGAAATGCTCGTAGTCGAAAGCATCCTCACGCATCTCGTGAGGCGTCGTGTCCGTGATGGGTCCCTCTAGATCGTCGTCAAGCGGTTCACGGAGGATCTCATCCAGAGCTTCACGGTCGATCTCATCGTCATAACCGCCCTCTTCAGCATCTTCATACATGCTCCCAGCGACAGATTGATCGTCATCGTATTCGGGCCCATGGGTTTGCCAGTTGCCAGCATTCTTCGATGTATTCTCAGCAGGATGCTCGACAGGACTATCCCCAGAAGCACGTCGATCGTTTTGCAAACCACCGTTCGAGACACGCCGGGCGTATTCAGAACTTGTATCGCGTCTGGCACTGGAGCCACGGCTGCTACGGCCATCTTTGAGCTCCAGCGCATTGGCATACCAGTGATCAGCAGCCGTCAACGGACTGGGCGTACGCAAACTTTGCAGACTACGCCTGCGAAGGTTATCCTCCTGAGACTTCACTTTGAGGGAAGATATCTTGATATGCAGACCCTTCATCTGATACTGCAGATCACGCACTTGCAACTGCGACTGCGCGCGACTAGGCGGGCCGTACGAGCTGTAGACAGGACTGAACCTGTCCGGGCTAGACTTCGATCCCTCATCGGAGATCCCCAAGCCCTGCGGTGACTCTGCCGAGCCGTGACTTTCAGAGACAGGCGATGGTGTAGCCTCCGGCTCGGCTGGCTGCTCCTGGATCTGCACAGGAGGCCTGATAGAAGATATCGAGGCGCGGTGCGTAAGATATGCCCTCGTAGGCTCGTACTGAAACGACCGATCATCCGTATGAAGACTGGACGAAGTGCTCGCGCCCATGGCACTAACCGAGCGAGACATTCCCGTCTTATCATTCGACATGCTCGACTCAGACGGGATATTCGTCTCAGAATGGACTCTCGAGTGTCGATTATTCGATGAATCCTGATTCGAAATGAGCGATTGCCGACGCAGCGACGAGTTCTTAGGATCGGTGCGGGATATCGATCGATACAGTCCGCCGACGGGGTGGTGCATGCCCATCGGGGTGTTCCCAGACGGAGAGGGCGAAGGCGAGGGCGTCATACGCGTAGTCGAGCGAGCGCGGGTCAAATTGCCTTCCATAAGCTATAACAGGAGATGTTAGCATTCCCATTCCCCCCTGGGAGTAAGACCAATCGCAAGCGCACAAGGCCAGGTCCACATACATTCAAGCGCTTCTTCGCATTTTCCAGAATCCTCTCCGCCTCACTACTCAGTATCGCCGACGAGAACTCCTCCCCGGGCCCTTTGCCCTCAGCAGCAGCAGACGCGACGGAGTTGCTTGCTGCCAGGGTAGGACTGGCTCCCACCAGACTCGCCTGCGCTTTCACGACCTCAGCCTGAGCAGCCGCCATATCACGATCAATCTGCGGTGACCTCGACTCCGAAGCGCGTCGACTCCCCGCACTCACCGTCGAGCTGGAACTCGACTCGGCCTCGTGCTGAGGTGGGGAACTCGATTCGTGTGCGCCCCCAGACTCGTCGAAATTATCCGATTTCGCAGGGGAAAGCTCTTCGCCAATATCCGACAGTCTACGACTGACATTCACATCCTCGTGTGTCCAGGCCGAGCGGGAAAAATTTTTCTTTTGACGTGAGCCGACGGCCATGTCGTAGTTGCGGGAATTAAGTTGCGACAGGTAGGCGATTTGCGGTGGAGACGGGGTTTGGGACTCGCGTTCGCCTTCGTATGGGAGGATCATGTCCGGGTCGGGCAGCGTGAGTGAGGGCATTCTCTCTCTCTCTCTCTCAGGCCCTGGGGCCTGGTGAATTCACAAAAAAGAGGGGGAGATAGAGGAAGAGAAGTCCAAAGCCACAGAACAAAGTCAAGTCACCCTGAGCCCCTAACGGCTTGGGTCTAGCGCCCTGATCATTTCCTCTTTAGGAGTTGAGGTTTTTGAAGATATTCGCACGTTTCACTTGCTTTTAGGCTCGCACTATTATTTACAGTTGCCAATAGTATTGTCTCAGTATGTGACATGTCATCTGAGCTTTCGATATACTTTGAAATTACCTATATCTTTGTTTCATAGCTATCACAATGCCAATTTCCGTCTTTGATTGGGATTGTCTCACGCCAATGATCCTTCGAGTATAGCCCGCCAAGCCCAGACGTTGAACTAGTAGTCTCCGTATAGAGATAATAGCTGCTGTATGCAAGGACACCTACGTCTATTTCTATCCACAGGTTATATGTGCCTCCGTATACAGCTTCATTTCATTTTATTGTGATTCCCCTTGCAAATAAACAAACCAAACACCGGACGAACCCCTGAGATCGACGATCCCTGGCAAAGTCCACTGTGGAGAATTTAATTTCAGTTCCAGACTTAATTTTGGGCACATGTAACTAACTATACACGGCGCTCTAGACATTTCTATCATAGTCTCAAGGTCGCGTAGACTTGGTCTCAGTATTTCTCGTGCAATGATAGGCTTATTGATGTAGATCGCACCCATACTGCTCCGAGTACGCGACGTCGCAACAAGCATATAAAATTGGATATTAAGGTTTTTAGCTTCGACGACTATTCTAGCTGCATATACCAGTCCAATACCTTAAAGTATTCACAGACTGTAATAGGCATATTTAGACTCACGAAACATCGTCGCTCTCTTTGATTGAGCTCAGGTGTATGAATTTGACGTGCTCGCTTTTCCCCAAGAATATCTTCAGGTGTTGAGCTGACAATATCCTTCAACAACTGAAATTCTATCTGATGCTGTGGTCCTTTTTAAGTTCCAATCATTTCGTGAAGTCTATGCAAGTAATTTCCGTATTCACCAAACACGTCATCATTTACCCCGACTATTCGATCATCATTAAGGACCCTCTTTTTGGAAGAGATTCACTTACTGCAGTCACCAAAGACGTGCCCATCACTCATTATACAAATTTGCGCCCCGAGCTCTTGTCGAAGAATAGAGTATAGCTTCCGAAGTGCCAGCTCCTCGCCGCGGTCTAGAAGAGTTTCAGCGACCCTTTGAAGATCTGAGGACTTGCACGGAGAGGGCAGGAAAGCAAATTCGAATGAAAAGTCTGCGTGAAGTGAAAAAGAATACTTTTTGGAGAAAATAGGATCTGCCCACCGCATCTCATCGCGAGTTTGGCGGGTATAATAGTAGTTCCCTATTGCATAGATCAACCGCCGTTTCTGCAATTGAAGAGCTGTCAAAGTCTCTCGTGAGGTCCAAATGATGTGTCAATTGAGCAGTATTTTATGTAACAATATTTGAGTGAAGTACTCATCAAAATCCGCCATAGAAGATCCAATGCCAGTTGAACGAAGAATGGCCCCTACTATGACGGTTGATCCAGATACCCGGAGTTCATACGCGTTTCCGAAACTCGAAGGCGATGAAGGTTGATCCAAGATGATATGAGATACAAGTCGATGCGAATTGGAATCCTGTGCAGGTAGTTGCTGTTGAATGGCAGCCCATTTTGAACGCACCAAATGGGAATGCCTTCCGAAGCACCGAAACAGGTTGCCGTGATGAGATTTGCTGTACATCGCAATTATACGGTCAGACGTACAGCCCATATATGTGAAGCCCGTGTTGTTATTGTATCAATTGCGGACAAATAAATCCAAAGACAGGAAATTGCGTGTAGGGATTGTTCCTTTATAGGTAGGGTACCTCGAGGAGACAATAGATCAATATTGTAACATAAATCTTCTATTCAATTTGGTCCACCAATACTAGGGAGACTTATAGCTTTCTCAAAGGTGGTGTGACTGAGCTTGAAGCTATGAGAAAGGTGACTGATCTATTCCAGACTATCCACCAATTGGCATATCATGCATCAACACCGCGATCCTGTACTCTTCCTACATCTGCATCGCAACTCAACTCCCAACTGCCTTGGGCAATATGTATCATTGGTCGAGTAGTGCCGTAGGGGCTATATATCTCGTTGCAGGTTTTGCGATGGTGCTCGGGTCAATAAAGCTCGGAATGGAGATGGAAGAGAGCTGTGAAGGTTTTTGGGGAGGGCAATATGTATATTGAGGGGAGATTGGTTAATTTGATTTGGGGGTTGGTTGTTGCTTGTGCTGGGTTAGTAGGTTTCGGGTTCTTTGTTCAGTATGGGATTCATCCTGCGGCCGTTTTGGTTGCTACTTTTTCGGCATGTTGTTTGATTTTTGATTATTGATACCTTGAATATCACCTTGGCTGATGTTGTTTTTAATTGGGCTTGGGATGTCGTGGATCTTCGTTGCTTCTAATGTCTTTTTGACTTCTTGTATTGCTCAGCAGACTGCTGGTGCTTTTGCTTTGGGGAATTTATTGCGTAACCCTGGCGCTGCGGTGGCGGCCGCTGCTGTTGCTTTTTTGGCGCAGAATAGGGAGTGGGGATGTTGTTTTTTTTAGGTCGGGGTGAATCTGGTTGGTATTAGTCTTATGCTGCTTGTGTTAAGAACGCAGTCACCTCGCTGGAGACAAGAAAGATTAGCAAGAGGGATACATCGGAACTAAGCATAAGAATGAACAACTACGGTATCAATTGCTGTAGGATATCAATTGGCAAACAGTATCATCAAAATATGCTTTTTTGTAGACGTAAATTACACAGGCTATGATATGGAATCAGAATCAAATCTTCTCAAGAAGCAGCTTAGCACCACTGCTAGTAGGGCTGGGCTTCTTCTTCCCATCCTTATCCTCCTTACCAGACGCCGAGGCCTGCTCCAGCGCCTTCTTGTTCTTCTTCAAAGTCTTCAGGAGCTCAGCCTTCTTCTCGAAGTCGTCCGATTCAGCCAGAGCAACAATGACGAAGGGGTTGGCACCTGTCGCCCAATCCATTACTTCGTCCTTGATCTGAGCGTACAACAGACCATGGAAGTTGAGTGCGGGCTCGACCTTCTCCACGGACTTGGTAGCTGGGTTGAAGCGGCCACCTTGAACAAGCGACTTGAGGAGACGGCCGGCGTGGGCTGTGTCCCGGGCTTCGGTTTGAGACTTGGCGGCGGCGGCGACGGCCTCGAGAGCGGCGGTCTTGTCACCGTCGGCTTCGAAGAGGACTTCTGAGAGGAATTGGCAACCGAAGGTTGTCTCTAGGAGGGTCTCGGCGCGGGCAGCGATGAATTCGAGCACGGTGGGAGAGGCGGCCTTGATGAGTTCCTCGCGGCGGACGGCGGGGTCTTTCTTGGAGGTTTCCTTGCGGACTTCACGGACCTCTTCGAGGACTTTCTGGGTGACTTCTGGTAGCAGCCACTTGACGCGGTCACCGGCGAAGGGGTAGAGGACGGGGATACGGGCCGTCAGGTCGTTGACCTGGAAGCAGAGTTCCTCGTTGCGGGCCTCGGCTCCCTCGTTCTGGTTAAGGAGCTCGGGGAAGAATGATTTGGCGCTGAGCTTTGTGTCGTCGATGACCTCGTACGCGGCGAGGATGACCTGGTGGCCGTTCAAATCGCCGGCCATGACCTTGACGGTGTCACGGTAGAATCGGAGAAGGAGCTTGCGGTCCTTGGCGTTGGCGTATGCGAAGGTCAGGGCCATGACGCGCGAGCCGGAGGTGGTGAAAGCCAAGTTCTTGACCAGATCACCCTCTTCGTCGCTCTTGAGGAGTTCGATGAATTCGTTGGCTTCGTTGCTGCCGGGCTTTGTGCTGAGGAAGTATTGCAACATGGCGTCGTGGAGCATGGTGAAACCGGTGCTCTTCTTCTGCACCAGGTGGTTGATGAGCTCGCGCAGGTAGTTCATGATGGGTCCGCGCTTCTCGGGGTGGGCTTCGAGGATCTTGGGCAGATCGGAAGTGGTGTCGTTTTCATCCTGGAAGATCACAAACTCGGGTCCGTACCACTCACGAAGAAGTCTGTCCTTCTGAGCCTTAGTAGCAACTGTGCGGTAGATGTCGTCGAGAATCCATGAACCCTCGGGGTGACGGATGAGACGCTTGACGTGGCCGTAGAACTCTGGGATGATCAAATCGCGGGTCTCGTTGTCGCCGTGAACGATCAATTTTCCGACTAAGAACTTGGCGTATCGGCTCTGAGCCAGTTCCTTGTAGCTGCCCTTCAACTCATGCGCAATCTGCTTGCGCTGCTCGAGGTTTCCGTACTTGAGAGCGGTCTGAATGACACGAACGGAGTCGTGCTTGAACACGAAGTCGCGGACGCGGTTGGTGATGATCTCGAAAAGCTCCTTGATAAGCTTCTTTCTCTGCTCAAGCGGCACGTGGGATTTGCGGCGCAGCTGCTCCCACAGCTTCATGGAGCGGGCGATGGTATCGGCGTTGGGCTTGGCGGCCTTGCGCTCTTGCTGAAGCGCTTTTTGCTTGGCGTGAGATTCGCGAGAGGCATTGCCTGAGAAGTGAAGAGCGATTAGTCTTAGTACCGCGGAAAAAGTGGGACAACGACTTACTGTTGGGGTTCTTCTGTGGTGCATCCTTCTGCTCTCTCTCCTCGGACTTGGAAGGCTTCTCTTCCTCCTCATCGCTCATATCATCCATCTCAACATCCTCCTCGGAGATAGCATCAAGGGCATCGAGGTCTTCGTCGGAAACGTCGTCGATGTCAAAGTCGTCCTCAGACTCGGAATCCTCCCTCTGGACCTTCTTAGAGGGCTTCTTCTTGTCGCTCTTGCTGGACTTAGATTCCTTCTTCGAGTCCTTCTTGGATCCAGAGCTGGACTTCTTCACGGGCGCAGACTTGGACTTGGAGGCGGAGACTTCCTTGGTCTTGCTCCGCTTGCCATTGCGCTCCTCACTGCCGTCGACGGCACGCTTCACTCCAGCCATTATAAAAGAAAATTTCAGTAGGCTTAATAACTGAAATAAAAAGTAATGGGGTCGTTCGAGCGGAGACTGCTCGTGCTGGTGGATAATTTTTTTTGGAGGCGGAGGAAGTTTTTTTGCCGGTGTTTGCAGAGTTTGCATCGATAAGGTTGATAGCATCGCATTCCATAATTTCAGTGAGATATTTATAGGGAGTCAAGCTCACTTGTAAATCAAAATGTAACTTGTCATGTACAGTATCTCTATTAATCTCAGCTCTATAGACTGATTCGATCTTCAAAGGATACTGGCGAACAATGCGACCACGTCAGTCGCGATCATGCCAGTCGCAACTTGACAAACAGATAAAACAGATGTACAAAATGCTAATAAGTAACGCGAGTCTTTCAGACTCTCCCAGGAAAAGGCCGCCACTATTAAAGTGGACCCAGTCCTATATAACCATCCAAACGAGTGTGGCTGTATCACTCCACCACCCAGAACGCCGTAGGGGATGTCCCTAGATAAATCAAAACGCATGAATCAGATGTCATCACTCATGGCCGATTATTTGGCGTCTTCGGTCACAGTAATAGCGGCAGGAGACTTCATAGAGCCTAGCTCAGACCCGCCACCACTCTGGCCGCGCTTCCTGCCTGGAATGTGAAACCCGAAGGTCGATGTGCCGGACTTGTTGCCCGTGGATTGTTGAGCATCGCCTGAGTCACCAAACCGAGCGAGGAATCCCTTCTTCTTGGGCTTTGTCTCGTCATTCAAGCCCACATCCTCGAAGGCTTCTTCTTCCATGGTGTCGGACTTGCTGAAACAGTTGGATTGCGCACCCGATGACGAGTTTAACCGAGAGAAGCGAGAATCAAGTGATGTCCGAGTGGGGCCGGCATCGGGGTGGATGATGGGGGAGCGGGCGGAAATATCCTAAATGTTCAGTATTGGCGATGCGACTTCCATTTGCGGGGACATACAAATGATCGGCGGTAGGAGTCGAAGGACTCCCGAGATATAGAGAATGGCTCATTCTCGTCCACTAGGTCTCGATGGTTGGACGATTTGGTGGAGCCAGGGTATCGACGCCAGAAACCTGGTCTCTCGGGGGGAGACGGCTGTTGCAGTTAGAGATCGTCTGGCGCATGAGGGGATCAGCCCATACTGGAAGATATACACCACTGTCATTCACCACTGCAGCGATGGATGTAAGTATATATCGGGCTATAGAATCTCTGCGACAAAAGCTAAGGTGACATACCACTCAATTGATACTCAGTGGGTTCCCCATCCTGGCTGTTGCGGGTTGGTATCGGCGTGGGGGTATTCGGAGAGAGATAGTTCTCGTTGAAACCAGCGGGTTCGCTCGGCTGAGTCTTCCGACCGAGTAAATTGCGAAATGGAGGCATGCTGATGGTGGACCAAAGGAAAAATGTCGAGAACCGAAGTGAAAGTCAGTGGAGAAGAAGAATGAAACCCCAGAATCGTGCGACGTCATCCAAGGAATGGGGCGATGTCTTGGCAAGTTGAGACTGCAACAGCCAATTACTTGACGTTCTGAGTATTTGTATCCTTTTCATTGCCCTGATCCAGTTCCTGAATTTATAGTCTAATTGGTGGTATTTCATACGCTACACCAATGACTGTTTTAACAGCCACGGCTACTATCCGGGGGTTCCGGGGTATAGATCGATATACTTCAGGTCTGCCCTAACTATACATCGATTCATTCCTTGGATTACACTCCATTTGAATATCGGACCTCCTAACCTTGATAGATGGCATCTTTCCTACAGAATATGAGCCAAAAAAGTAATATCCTTTCTAATGGATCTACTTCTCCCTCTTCATCTCATCCCCTAAGAATCACCACGCATCATTTCTTTTTGCCTCAAAAAGTACTATTTAATTAGAAGAGACACCAAATTAATCAAACCAAAAGTTGTATCACATTCAGCAAGTACAATCGCATCGGCTACTTTCTTTCCACCGAAGTGGTTTCCCAATCCAGACTTCTACAGCTGAACCCATAAGTGATATCCAACTCAAGATGTCCCACCTGCAACAGGAGTCACACCCTGGACACGAGCTGTCAACCTATGAAGAATTACCAGTATACAATTACTCGACAGAAATCGAAGAACTCTCAATGGCTGTAGAGATATCGAAATATAAAGAGCCGTCAGTACCCGAAGAGCTGTCAGTATATAAGCCCTTGCCAGTCAACCAAGTGCTGCCGGTATCCGAAGAGGCACTTCCACCTCCGCCACCTCTTTGGACCCTGAGAGTGCTGTATCTTTGCGGCATCCTAGCCGTGATCGGAGTTGCCCTTATGCTATTCGAGATCGCCTTGGGTATGTTTCCTATTATGATACACGTTATCAGAAGTCTTTTCGGTGAAAGTACCTGCGATGGCTATACTGCAAATGAATGGTACAAGGGTGGCTATGATGTTGTTTATAATGAAGCTCTTGCCACTGCTTCAAACAACAAGTATGCCACGATCAAGAGGCGTCATAAATCCGATACTCCAACAATAGTCGAGATCCCAGGCCTCCCCGCGACAGTCCCCGTTTCTGCAAGATGCGAAACCCCCGAGAACAAACTTCATACTCAGGATCAGGGAGAGGAGGTTTCACCGACAACTGTCGTGGGTACCACAGATATCATGGCCAAAGATAGCATTCTCGAGGAAAGCGGGCTGACAGAAAATGAACTTCAGCTCGAGGGACGAGAAGATATAAACCCCCAAGAGAAGAAAGAAGAGGGTCTCCCACCGCCATACGCAAGAGTTTGTGAAGTGAACAAAACATGCCCATTGGGATATAGATGCCTCGACGCCACATGCGTCCGGGGCTGCGACAGCACAGATGACTGCCCGGACGGATACCACTGCAAGTATGGCCGATATGGATATCGATGCTTTGAGAAGATGGGTCGACATCGGGAATGTATGGAACACGGGCATTTCTGTCGTCGGAATCTGGAGTGCTGTACTGGTTACTGTAGAAGACGGGCCAAGGGGGGTGATTTCTTGTGCACGCCTAAGCCTGGGGGTGTGGATGGACATGCTGATGGGTTTGAAAAGTAGTGAAATCTGTGATCTTTTTTTAGATGGGTACTGAGGAAGAGTGAGAACGAGGATATTTTATGCCTGACTTTGCTTGTATGGATCTTCTTGCTTGTCATCAAAGTTGTGATCTTGTTTTGTATGCGTATCATTGCAGTCTGTCATGCGTTCATCCTGTTTTGCATAAATCTTGGAATATCATTATTTGAGTATCAATACTGTAATATGATACGCTGTGTTTACTTCCATGCCTCTTCCTAAGTAAATACATGCACTCCACATGATCCTACAACACACTCCTCTGTTTCATATTGACTCTCCCAGCCTGGAAACACTCCGGCAACCCAGTCTCCTCCCACGCCTTTCCAGTTATTAACTTCACCAATCCTGGAGCACAAGTAAAGATAGTCGCCATCCCTAGCCAAATTAGCACCTATCCAAAAAAAAAGGTAAAGAATTAACTCACCATGTCCATTAAACCCAGCACAAATCCACTGTCCCTCCAACCCCGCAACAGGCCCAATTAAAGGCGCATTATCAGGCGTAGTCCCCTGAATCCCCGTCCAAGCATAATCAAAGCCCTCCCCAAGCCTCAGCGGTTCATCAACAGAATCAGAAGCCAGATTCTCGAACTCCCATTGACTATTCTTCACCAGCGCACTGTTGAAACACCTGTCATCGAATGTAACCAGCGCCTTCCACTTCTCCGTCTCAGTATCCGATCCATCCCTCGTCCCCGTACCCCCGAAGTTAATCGTCCCGTCGCGCAGTGGGTTGACAGAGAAGAAATGGTCCGCGCTATATCGAAGCGCCATCGTATCTTTCAATGTCTCCATGCCGGATAGTGAAGGGCATGGGATGAACGAGTTGACTTGTGAGCGACGTGGTGTGATCAAGTTTGATAGGTTGGGCAGGAGGAATGAGGCGTACGCATTTGTGCAATGGGCGACTGTCTCGGCTGTGACTGTGCCGCGCGGTGTATGGATATCCCATTTTGCACTTGCACCTGAACTGGAACCCGCATGCTTCGTGATTTCTGTGGCTGGACAATGTGTCCACATTTGACCATCCTTCGCAATGAAATCAGTCAAGATCCATTGAACCAGCTTGGCTGGATTGTTGGATGCTGCTGGCCATTCGTATGCGCTGATAGCAGTTGGGACGCGGGTTTTGGCTTTTGCTTCGTCGCCTTCGTGTACTCGTACTTGTGAAATGTCGCCGCCGGCTGCTTTGTATGCTGCCAATGTTTTGGCAGTATAGTCTGCAGCTTCTTGGGTAAGACATGTCTCAAATGTTGTTAGATCAGTGAAGTCAGAGTGAATTTTATGTTCCTTGACGAATTCACGGATGCGTTCAAGAACGATCTGCTCGTTTTCGAGGATCTTTTTGGCTTGCTCTGAACCGTGAAGAGAGGAGTAATGGAGGAAACCTCTGAATGCATCTACAGTACCGTGAGACTGCTTATAGCTTTGATAGGAGGACGTGGGGAACGTGATGGAGGTAGTTACCTGGTCGAATGTGTCCAGCGTTTCGCCCACTGGCGCCGGAGACGGCTTCTCGAGCTTCGAGGATCAATATATCTTTGCCCTTGACGCCCTTTTCGATCAGTTTCCATCCTATCAAGGCTCCTGAAATACCAGAGCCGAGGATCACGTATTTGGAAGACGTTGGAACGGGCTCTTCACGATTGGCGTTTAGATGAGGGAATGAACGTGTTCCTCGGTGCCAGAGCGAGAGGCAGGCAGTCGGAAATGGAAGTGACGGCTCCATTGCACATGTAAATGAGATTTGTCTAGACTTGATTGGAAGGTGCCAAATTTTCTGTGAAAGCAATTGTTGACGTACGGTGATGTCCACCCAAAAATACCCTGAGAGATGTTTAAATGCCGGGTGCTCGGCTGAATATGTAGTCACTCAACCACTTCAAATGGAGACACGAAGATGTAAATCAACCTTAGAAGTTTCTCGTGCCAAAGTTTCCGATTACATACCGAGCCCGACAAGTAAATTATATTCTAATTGGCGCGGGATATACCGCCTCTCCACCTTGAGGGGTTAGATATGGTGAATTGCATATGGACGACGTCTAGATGGACTCCATAGATAACAACATGCGAGAGAACTCTCGGCAGGACTTTCGGTCATGCAAAATCCAGCTCCTTTCACAGATTCAGATGAATGGGATGTTTCCCCCCCCCCCCCCCCCTTCGACCTTTTCGTCCCTTTCGTGAGCCATTAGTATACCGCCTTCAGATTTACAGCGTCTCTACTGGTGGATTGGTGTCCTTTCCTTACAATACGACGTGATGCTATATCACTCTAGATTGGCGAATAATTCGCTGAAAGCTGAAATAGTGAACATATTTTGCAGACTAAACATCTCTCAATCCAGAGGTCTGACTCGGCACTCTGGTCCGAGGAATTCTGCTTTGATGGTTATTACATTCATGTCGAAGCTTCGTTTGTTCCTGATAATGCTTCCAGCGTTAATCTAAGGAACTTCAACGTCAGTTCATCCAAAATCAACCCACTAAAGAGGAATGCGCGAGAAGTAAATGAGAATGGAAAATTGGCTATCTCACACCTCGAATTTCTCGCGTCCTGTCCGCATAAGCTTAAATCTCTTCCATTGATAGGACGCGTAGGACGATCAGAAAACCTGAACATTCCTTGAAATGTTCTTTTTCAGCTTGCAGAGCTTCAGGATTAACAAGAGTCTTATCAATCTTTGTCCATCGTGCTCCCGGAGGAATACCCGTATTTGTCGCATCTTTGATTGGCGCAATGCCTTCTCGAACGGCATGGGAGTCTTCTAGAAAGGATTCTTTTGGTCACTTGAGAATTTCTTAGAATGATTCCTCAGATGTTTTGGTAAGGCCAAGAGGGGTAGCAGTTTGTGTCTTTGATGCTTTTTGCTTCCTGCGTACATTTCATGCTTTTCAATGCAGGAACCAATGTGTAGCAACGGGTGATCTAGCATGGATTGATTTTGGCTTCAATTTTGGCTTCAATACAGCAGCGAGACTGCTACGCGATGTATACTGTGAGAGCGGATCAAGCTACGGTGATGTAGTCAATAATTGTTTATACTGGTCTAAAAGCCAGGACAATGGCTTCGAAGACCCCCAATTCGATGAAGCCGTGTTTGAAAATATTGTCTCACCTTTCCTGAAAGACTTCGACTATTTCGACGGCATCTCCGCCAGGGTGTACTAGGGTATAGAGTAAAGTTTAGCCCCCAAGCACTATGGGTATCTAATGTGTTCAAGTGTGAAGCTGAATTACTCATTATTACTTCATTAATCATAATTCCGTCCTCCATAATTTGTGTATAAATGTCATATTATTGGTGGAGAGGTGATGTGGAATATACGGTAGGCAACGGAAGCACAGAAAACACAAGGTTGAATGTGTATCAAAGAGCAAAGCTTGGTAAGGCTTGTTATACACAAGATTTGCCTAACGGTTCTGGGAATGAGTTGATTCTGTTATATACTTTTCCCCCTTGCCGCAATTGTCGCCGATCGTCATTCAACTTACCAATTATGATAGACCGCCGAGACCGGCTTCATAAACTCCGAGAGGCCCATGTCCAGCACTAAAAGGCCCCATTAATGAAGTTACATGTACAAATGCGCGTCATCCGAGAAAATTCCGGGGCATTCAGTTGGGTAGATAATGCTTTTAGGCTCCGAGTAAGTTGGCCTATTTCTGTCGATGTGAGAATGCGACCTTCTCGTACTAAATTGAAGCAGCAAAATATGTTCATTTACCGTAAAATTCGGGTTGACTTCCTCCAATTTGACTATGTTGACTATATGCATAGACTTGCATGTTCGCTTAGAGCTGAAAAAGCCTTGAAAACCACCATTTGGCAGATCTGATAACTTGTCGGATTTTGCACGTTTTTCGGCTCTTGGCGCGGCTGAACGTAGTTGGCTGTGAATGCCCAAGTCCCACTATTAATTTCTTACCAAGACGCCAAGCGAAGCTTGGAGCGGCTAAGTGCAAGGCCACGGGCATTCGTCCTCTATGAGGTAAAGATCTTGCTACACAAGCTCATGCGGTGATCTGATTAGATCTCGCCACCGGGCGACGCCGGTTGTCGCTGGCCCCCAGTGGAGTTAGGGTCCACGGGTATGGACTAATAACACGCAACGCAAAGGACAGAATTCTTGTTTAGCCCCAGCGCTCCACATTCAATGTGGTGCTGTCCTTCGTTGAGTTTTCGAAGGCTCCCGAGTTCGGGTGTTTTATCTGATCTTTGTCCTGATTCCTTTCCTACTTATTTTTACTCTGATCATCCCTTCCCTGGAGGAACAGCAAATTCCCAGCACATTTTACCTCGAATTACTGGACCTCCTGCTAAGGTGAATTGTCTATTATGACGCTTCGTCCTTTGATTAAAAGGGCCCGGGCGGTCTTTCATCGGACGAAACTCGACCGCGAGGAGGCGGCTGCGAGTAGTTCGATCGACGTTGTCACCAGCAATGTCAACGAGCCAAAGTCTGATCTGACTTACCCTGTGGCAGAGGAGGCCCTTCCAAACAATGGCGCGGAAGTGCCGGGTGTCCCCTTTGAAGAGCTTCAACATGGTGTTAAAGATGCCGAGGCAATTGCTCAGACTTGGTCCAAGCCTGCGCTGATCGGTGTTTTGATCAAGTATGTCAACCTATTTACTCGTCTGATCCGTGCTTATGCAACAATTATATAGTATTTGGTTTCTTTACTTCGTCTATGCATTCGTTTCCTCGGTGAACGGCAGTTTGAGTACTTATGTCGCCAGTTCATTCCAACAACACTCCCTCTCCGGTCTACCCACTGCTATGGCCGATGCATTCTCAGCTGCAGTCTTCCTTCCCGTAGCGAAGATGATGGATACCTGGGGTCGTGCTGAAGGATTCGCGCTCATGGCTACTTGTGCTACCGTTGGACTGGTTCTCATGGCTGCTTGTGATAGCTTTCCTATTTACTGTGCTGCCAATGTAAGTCGGAATTTAGCAGTTGTACCGTTAGTAGATGCTAACTCAACAACTAGGTCCTCTACTACCTTGGCTTCAGTGGCATGGAATTCGCCGTGGACGTTGTCACAGCCGATGTGACCCAGTTGAAGAATCGAGCCCTTGCTTATGCGTTTACTTCCTCGCCCTATATCATCACGGCGTTTGCGGGACCTAAAGTGGCCGAACAGTTCTACGACAACGTCAGCTGGAGATGGGCCTATGGTACTTGGGCTATCATCTTCCCAATTATTGCTGCCCCTCTATACCTCACTTTGAAGTTCAACCTCCACAAAGCTCACATCTCAGGCCTTGTGACCGAGAAAGAGAGCAGTGGCCGGAACTTCTTCCAAAGTGTTTGGTACTGGGTTATCGAGTTCGATTGTGAGTATTGAAAAGCTGTTTTTGATTATCTCAAGGGAGATGAATAATAAGTATCCCTAGTGTTCGGCGTGTTCATTTTCACTGCCGGTCTGATTCTTTTCGAGCTTCCATTTGATATTGCTACCGAGGCCCCAAATGGCTGGGGCACTGACTATATCATCGCCATGATCGTGGTCGGATTCTCAATGCTCTTTTTCTTTGGTTTCTACGAGAAGTGGATCGCGCCGGTTCCCCTTCTGAACTGGGGTTTCCTTACCAACCGCACTGTTATCGGCGCATGTCTGTTGGATGCCACGTACCAGCTTTCGAACTACTGCTGGAATAACTACTTCCAAAACTTCTTGCAAGTGGTTAATGACTTGAGCATTGCCGAATCCGGATACGTCGTCAACACCTTCGACGTGGTCTCTGGTGTACTGTTATTCGGTGTCGGAGCAGCCATCCGCAAGACCGGTCGCTTCAAGTGGCTCCTGTATATCTCCGTTCCTCTCTACATATTCGCCCAAGGTTTGATGATCTACTTCCGTCATCCCGGTCAAAGTGTCGGATACCAGGTTATGTGTCAGATCTTCATCTCAATTGGTGGATCCATCTTCATCATCGTTGAGCAGCTGGCAATTCTGGCCGCTGTTGACCACCAGCACGTCGCCACTGCCCTTGCTTTGCTCAACGTTGTCGGTACTATTGGTGACTCAGCTGGTCTTACTATTTCCACCGCTATTTGGAACAACACCTTCAAGAAGGCACTTATTCGCAACCTTCCCGACTTGACTGATCTGGAGAGTATCTATGAAGATGTTGACATCCAGTTGAGCTATGCTCCTGGCACTGCTATGCGGGAGGCAATTCAGAAGTCGTACGGCTACTCTCAAGTCAGAATGCTTTCAGCTGGTCTGGGCGTTATGGTTCTTGCTTTTGCGTGGACCATCATGATCAAGAACATTGACTTGAAGAAGGTTGCCCAGGTAAAGGGTGTTGTGTTCTAGATAATGATTCTTAAGGCAATTGGACTGAAGCATATCATGATCTCCAGTATATACTTTTCATGGCGTGTTGATTACCTATGTTGAGAATTTGTGCCAAGCGTGATATCGCTTGAGTCTCTTAAAAACGTCGCCCCATTTAGCGCACGATATACTCTTTGGTCTCTGCTTTCCCAATGTGAACTCAAAGGAGCCCTTGGTGGCTCCTGTCGTTTCTTTTCTGTTTGTTCTTCTACCGCTGAAAATCATCTCTGCTCATGCTTTTCAGTAGAAGAACCGCCTTTCAATAAAGTTTAATGCTTTCAATGTTCAACGGAATTGAAATTTTTAGTATAGAGAAATAGATTTCGTATTTACCTCGTCAGTAATATCAACTTGATGCAATAGATTCTATTATTTATGCTCTATACCTCATCTATTTGCATAGAATTTGCTCTACTTGAGTTTCAGCTTGCGTGAATATAACAAGGCGGCTATGTACTTGATTTCCTCTGCCACTTCTTGGGGCCACTTCTCTTTCCGTATTAGTGCTCAGCCCTTGCCGCGCTTTTCGCTCACTGAGTAGATCTGAGCACGCTCTGATTCACTCACTGATCGTGATCTAAGCACCCTGATTCGCTCACTGAGTCTGAGTTAAGCGTAGGGTTGAGCGGCCTTAGTAAGCAACACCAATAAAATGCAACAACACTAGTCCTATCACGTGTAATCCTCCTTTTTTAGATGACCTTCATCGTCCATCATAACAATGCCTTGCATGATCAACGTGATCATTAATCCAAGTCAACTGGGCGGTTCCCTGTTAGGGAACCGAAATAATTCAATTTTGCATGAAATTATATAAAACTCTAAAAATAAGCTCTACAAAGTGTCTCAAAAAACCCAATAAACCAGTAAAAATCTATACACGTGGTTTAGCGCATAAATTATACACCACCTTAAAAACCATTGGGGCCCAGGAACCATTGCGTTTTCTAACCTACAAACCAAAAACCATTGCGGTTTGGGTCGGTTCGATCTTGCGGTTTTGCGGTTTTTGGCGCACTCTAGTCGCAGGGCGTATTTATTTCGGGGAAGAAGGAGTCTAGGAAGGCCTATGCTTTCTCTTTATTACTAGTAAGCTCGCTCGTACCGACCTATAGTGCTAGGTTATACCCCTAGGCATCTCAGTGTTTCATATAGGTGGCCGCTTTACAAAGTTTCCCTTCCCCTGCCTCGTCAAGGAATTGTCTCTAGTGTGATGCTTTAGCTTTCTTAATAGCCCGGGTCCACGCCCGGCGTTTTTCTTGTATCTTTCGGAAGAGGGCTAGAGATGAAGAATGTTCTCGTCCAAGTTAGGCATAGGATTCCTGCCATTTTCGGCGGAGCTAGTTGGCCTTGGTTTGTTGAACCTTAAGGTCCGAGGTAAACCATCGCTTGGAATATAGAGTCGGGCGTACATCAGGCGTATACCGATATACAGCTGCGGTTGTTGCTTCTATGACTTTCTGTGCCATCTCGTCTAGTGCTGGTCGTGTTTTGATTTCCTTCCACGGACCGATTTGCCGCAACACCTCCTCGCCGATCTTGTTCCATTCCGCCCGGTCGAGCGCTTTCCTTGCCTTGGTGGTGGGCTTATACTGAGCTTGGAGATTCCATTCCGAGTACGTGGCACGGTGGTCCGACCCGTAGTAATCGTGGTAGAGATGGCATTTGACGAGTAGGCCTGGTCGGTTCGTCACCATCTGGTCAATAGTGGAGTTCCTCCCACTATGATTACTGCAAAAGAACAGCTTGTATAGAGATAGGATATACTAGTGGGTAATGTATTTTTGTTTCTTATAGCAGGCTTGGCCTTCTGATAGAGGACTAGCTTCTACTGAACTGACTGGTCGTGATCATGCTGAAGATAGGTCCGTTAGAGCCCTGTAACGAGGACAATGACTGCCAAGTTTTATCCCAATAACCGTGATTTTCAGCCGCATGATCTTGAACCTAGGAATCAAGATTCGCTATATGCCCCCACTCCATTATACTACGGTCTCACGCTTGCGCCAATTGAGTCCAAACTATTCCCCCTGAGCGACTTGGCCTGACTATCGACCCTGGGGTAGTCCCAGGTCGTGTTTGCCGTGGGCTTCACAGCAGTCGTCATTGTCTTGGCTCCGTATCGCGTTTGCGAAAATCCTGACCTCGATCTGCTGAGCAATCTTGACTAACCCAGAGAAGAAACGAAAGAGGTATAAACCCGACGAAATGCGGATGATATGAGTATGAGGATGTGGATCTCAAAAAGCTTTGGTGGTTTGGACAGTGTCTTATATGGGATGCATCAATATATTGGTTGAACGGGTTAAAAGTTTTTACTTTGACTCGATCGCATGGTACCAGCTGAGCAGTCCCAATTTTTAATCCCATCGGAGCCCTGCATGGAGCTTGAAAATAGTGGTCGGGTATGGAACGGACTAGAAGGGCCCCTGACGTAGGGGATGAGGAAATTATCAGAGTGGAAGTAGCGAATTATGGTCGGTATCGGTCACGCGACCCATCCTCAGCAGCTTCTGTAGCGGCAACCAAAAGACACCTGATAATACTGTTTTGGACCCCGCACATTTTACTTCCGGTATGAACTTTGATGCTAATGGTGTTTGATGCAGAAAAGAGATCAAAATTGAGCGTTACGTGAAGTGAGCGTATGACTAAGCCCACCTACAGCGGATGGTGGAGCCACGGCTAGGAAGTTTTAAGGTTTACCTACTTAACCGCTGGCTACTAAACTTTATTTGAGACAGGTTAAACCTTCGATGTCTTGATGTCAGCGGTGCTGTCTACCGAGGATATGAAGAGTCCCGAACGTAAAGACCACATGTGAGTTGATGCATCTGGACGTTTAGCACACCAATCTTACCCGTCAATTCTCAGTATTGGAAGCACCGTTGTGTGGATTTCTTGGCATTTATCAGCTGGATCTGAGTCTGGAGAGGACTCAGATTTAATCTCATAGCCCACAATCTGTCTCGATCAGGATCACTTTTCTAGGATGCACGATTGGAACGGATTGGAATGGATTGGAACGGATAACTTGTTGTGGCTGACTTTCGAGCCTAGATAGGGAAGTTCTATCGACAGCAAGATACGGACCACGTGGCGTGACAATTGCTGTTATTAGACTGACCCAAGGATGACCTTATACTTCTGGAAAGCAAGAAATTTCCGGTAATTGAAATTTTTGCCTAAAGATAATCTGCAATCATCGCTCATTGAATTCTTCTACTTTGACAACTTATTCTCCAGTATACATGTTATGATGGAGACAATTCGCGACTCGGCTTTCGGCAAACTAGTTCGTTTCTTTAGCGGTTACAGGCTATTTCTGTACCCGGAAGAAAGGGATGATTTGACTTGGCGACAATACTTACAAAGGCCTGAGGTTTACCAGGAAGAAGAAATGACGCCGGTCAGTAGCAGAGAGTTTTACGAGCTACATTGCTTGTACACAGTTATGTCGCAAGCTTCGCGCCGGAGGCGGGGAAGGCCCCCTCTGAGAAGTGTTTTGGCAGGTCCATGGCGTGGGATGAAGGAGGGATCGCCAGGGGTAATTGGTTGGGGAGGCTCGGATGATAGCGAGGTAGGACGCCATTGAAGAATGCTTGAACGGTTAATGGCTGGCCAGAAGACTTCGGGCTGATATTAGTAGAATCCTCAAAATTGGACCGTCACCAAAAAGGTCTTAGTCACTCTACTTATCTGCCTTCTAACATTTTCTATCTATATTGGTTCCGCTATCTACACACCTGGAATCCCGGGTGTGGCTGTGCAATTTGGTGTGAGTAGGGAAGCTGGAATTCTCGGTCTGACATTATTTGTGCTCGGATACGGACTGGGTGAGCTGCATCAATTTCAATTGAGTCACATCAATGCTAACCTATCTTCGAGGCCCCATGGTCTGGGCACCAATATCAGAACTTCCCGCCGTGGGACGAAGTCCGGTATATGTTGCAACACTAACTGTGTTCGTTTTCTTTCAATTCGCAGTGATCTACGCGAAGAACTTTGGCATGCTCCTAGCATTTCGATTCTTAACTGGTTTCCTAGGCTCGCCCGTTCTTGCGACAGGTGGAGCCTCCATTGGAGATATGTGGGACCCCAGCACCCGCGACTATATGATTGCGATCTGGGCAAGCTTTGCCATTGCTGCTCCTGTGCTGGGCCCTCTCGTGGGAGGGTTCGCCGCCTCCGCCAAGGGCTGGACATGGACTATCTGGGAACTGCTTTGGTTATCCGGCTTTGCCCTGGTGCTTCTCTTCTTCTTTCTGCCCGAGACATTTGCCCCAAACATCCTCAGCCGTCGAGCACGGCGTATTCGCCGGATCACGAACGATCAGAAATATGCGTCCGAGGCCGAGATTGAGATTGCTCGGGTGGCTTCCAGGGTAAGCCTGCGTGGAAGAATCGATTTTCTCTTGCTTCACTAGGAGCGTCTGGTAACTGATAGGCCGGAAATAGGATGTGCTCTTTGAATCCCTCGTCCGTCCATTTGTGCTTTGCTTCCTCGAACCTATTGTCCTTCTAATGAACCTTTACATCGCCCTCATCTACGGAATTTTGTATATTTTTTTCGAAGCCTTTCCAATCGTCTTTGAAGAGAAACACGGTTTTAATTCAGGACAAAACGGTCTGGCATTCCTAGGCATTCTGATAGGGGCTGTTTGCATTGCTCTTCCAGGGTACTTCTATTGGAAATTTAGCTGGCAATCCAAACATATCGGCCCAGACGGCCATCTTTCACCGGAAGAACACCTTCCTCCAGCGTGTTTGGGAGCTGTGTGTCTCCCAATATCCCTTTTCTGGTTTGGGTGGACCGGAAACTTCGCAAGCGTCCATTGGATTGTGCCGATCATTGCTTCTGGTCTGTTTGCTATTGGAGGATACCTTATCTTCAATAGCATTTTCTGTTACGAGGCACAGGCGTATCCGAAATACGCAGCCTCAGTCCTTGCTGGAAACGACTTCTTACGATCATCTTTCGGCGGTGGCTTTCCCCTATTTGCGAGCCAGATGTTCCATAATCTGGGTGTAGGCTGGGCTTGTGTATTGCTTGGTTGTTTGACCGTGGTGTTCATGCCTTATCCTTTTCTGCTGTACATGTTCGGGGAGCGGATCCGGATGAAGAGCAAATATGCCCAGCACGGTAATTAGCGAGGCTGAGTTCTTCGGTGGGAGAAGGGAACCGGTTGACTCAGGTTATATGCTTGTTCGGATGATGTTAAGGTGACATTTGGACTGCTAGTTTTCTTGTTCGTTCTTGTAGCAAGTCACGCATTGCTTGTATATATTCAGGAATCGCACTTCTGCATTGATTCGCCGTGGAGTATTACAAGGATTGCAGTGGGCAGTGAAGATAGGGGCATGCAACCCAGGGCTCATTCATTCAACTATTGTCCTTTTGCTATTCAATTTTATCGAACTCGCTGGGATAACGAAATGGCTCTATCTATTGGTAGGCCAACTTTAGGAGGCCTACCATGCATAGAATATGTTCTGGAGTACTCTGGAGCCACAGGTGGCCCACAACAGAGCCGCTTATTCACGGAACAGCCAGAACCAAAAAGATGCGATTCCCCTCGCGGTACGGAGTAGTACCCTGAAGTACTCCGGTTGTTGTCAATCAAATGCGAATCTTGAAGCAGATTATTCAGCGGATGAGAAGCTAAGCATGTTTCGGGCTTGCAGTTGCACTGGGCTAAGGGTCAAGATCCAAAGTAGGTCGTTAGGGCCAAACAAAGACAGTCCAACATCGGGAAAACTCGAAAAAGCTTGTCAAGGAATAGACGCATGTTGAGTTTTTAATCATCTCATATTTGCATGTTAACCTAATATGCCACTATGGATAGAAAATAGAGACTTGAGTAGAGACTAAAAGGTTATTTTAAGATATGAAAACGAGTTTACATCTTTATGAAAGGTTATCAATCTCCATGACAAAAAGCTCATGCCCCACACAGAACCAAAGTCGCAAAGTCGCTTTGGCTGACAAACTAGACGATAGTGGAGGAGTGACATGCAAACACAAATGATGTGGGATGCTCCTGCAGTTGTCCAAGGTCTGCAGTCCAACTGATCCAGAACATCTCCAATTATCCGGGTGTAGACCAGCAAATGTCACTCCATTCTGGATGTTGGAAAGCACCTTCACCTGTCCAGGAGTATTGCACTTATAAATTCGGGGGTACCAAACCCCTTTGATAGAAGGGTTGATCATTTGGTCACAGCTAATCGCATTATCTTGTACATGCTCAACAGATTTTCTCTCAAAGCAATACAGCAAATAAAACGGATACCGGAATGGCCGCCCCTCCATCCATGACTCCCAGCGGCGAATAGCCGGTTATTAGCCTACTAGCTATGTAAAACTAGTTACTAGCTAACCTACAGCGCTTTTAGTCACCTTCCTCAGGTAACATACTAGTGCTCGACCCTAACAAGTGAACAATTAATTAAAATGAGACAAGCAGCATTTACCAAATATGAAATATACATTCTGAATCACGACCCGAACACAAGGAAGAATCATAAGAATTTAGTACTCACCAGTAGGCAGACCGACAACTGGAACGTGCTTTCCATGGAAACCGAAGACAACAGCACCCTTGACATCCGCCCTGCCAAGTTCAGCCAGCTTGCCAGCATCTAGACAGAGCAGATTGCTCTTGCAAGTCATGCCATCAAGAACAACACTGAGGAGGACGCCGTCATCTTCGCTCACGCCATCTGGGTCAGCGACGAAAATCGGCGCGCCGGGCGAGTGACCCTGACGCGCCCAAAGACTGGACTCCTGGGTGTCGCAATCGAACTTCATGATACCATCTGTAATGGTCGACTCGCCCCGGAAGGTTGTAGCATACGTGTAACGGTATTTCTCGGTGACAAATTTGGAGTTCATAGTCGGCAACTCAGGGGAAAGAGACTTGCAAGATTTTCGCCTACACAAAGCTCAGAATTGGCAAATGAAAGAAAAAATGTTGCTCGTTATTGTCCCTTCTAAATATCTCAATGAATCATCATTGAAACACAGAGGGGCTGCACAGAAAAGGATGAAAGCAAGACATCATTGCTACCACGCGATTGCCGAACAGAACCGATGCGAACTGACTCCAGAAGGTGACACTGCACAATCTCGAAATCACGATCTGTTCTATCAGTCCTTCTAGGGTGAGATACGGGGTGTGCAACTAGGCAGCATATAGCATCTTTCATGATAGCACAAAGACCGTGATAGTTGCTATTTCGATAATACACTGATTGTTCGCTTTCGCCTCTATAATCAGCTCGGCTCAGCCCCTAGGATCACGGGTTCATCAGCATCTTGAGTGCTTTCATCCTTTCACGCAGTCAACAGTGGTTCTGCTAGTCAGACTTGTTCCTCGAAAAGCCGTTGTCACATCACGCATGATTAAACACACTAATAGCGGAGAATGATATTTTGCATGCTTGATGATAGGCGCCGTGATATAATGCAGGATGATTCTATCAGCGCCTAGACCCGAAATGCAGTTCGCCGCCCCGCCTCCCGAAAAGCCCGCTCGGAATGCTACAGAACGCTTCTCTTGACGTACTTCTGCTCATACTTGACTATCTAAACCATTTAAACCGCAAAGTGAATGTATATTTTATTTTCAGTATTGATAGGCCGATTTGAGAATAAAGTATCCGAATAATCCCATTGTGCTCCAGATTTGGCAGCGCTTCGCTTGCAGTACTTTTGAAACCTTCGGATATCCCCGCACCTACAGCCCTGAAACCCTCTTTTAGTATAGACTCCACCCATTAAAAACGCATCTGGATCTAGCTGCTTTGTGTCAACTGACTAGGATTGTTGCAGCATATGTGATCCTTTCTACATAATACGGATCTTGGTCTGAAGAACCAGGTCTCATCATTACGTTTTCGCACCCAAAAAACATGCTCAAAAAGATAATACTTCTGAAACACCACGTAGGCTAATCTCATCGGTAATTTGCATATAGGGATGGGTTCTACAATATTTCAATTGAAATGTTTCCGTTCATTCTCTCCTCAAAGCTGCTTTGTGGGTCAGTGCTAAACGCAAAGTAAACTTTTACTGGCTTCTCAAATAATCAATGCCTCGAAAGTTCTTCAAGTGTTTGAGCAAAGAAAGAAATGATGAAGCCATTTGGCTATTGGCATCTTCACAGGATCTTGCCCCTCCGCGATGGCACCTCAAATGCAGCCAAGATGCCGCTATGCACACCATGGTCATAAATCAAGGAAGGAAAAGCCTTCATTGATGTCAGACAAGGCAAAATTTGCCACGGCCTGTTTTCTTCCGGGCCCCGTTCCTGTACTGAAACGCGTTTGTGGCACGTACGAGTTGAGACTTAGATGACCAATTGTGCCTGGTTTGTTGTTCTTACTGATACTACAATCCGACAATTATTCATTATGTTCATGAAAGACGGAAAATGAACAGAAAGAACTAGGTCTCAGGTGGCAAATGCCCTCTGCACCTGGTCTTACCCGCGTCTTTGCTTGCAAGGTTGCCTGAGGTCAAAGATACTAGATTCATATCACATGGAGCTTCGTATCGAGACAATGTTCAATTGAGGTGCTTTAGACCGACTGGCTCACCGTCTAGAATGGCCTGATGTCTTCGTAACAACAGGGATTCTGTGAGACCAAAAATCTATATAAGAAGACTGAATTCCTTCTTCTCGTTCAATTAAAATATTCAAGCATCTTGATCGCTCTCTACAATTACACGGACTTCCAAACAATTTCCTACAAGGACACTTTTCGTCGTCTTCAGAATGCATTTCGTTCCCGCCATCACGTTCCTCGCTGCCATTGGCACAGTCATCGCTGTCCCAACTGGTGGAAGCGAGTCCCAGTGTACTACAGATCAGGCCAATAAATGTTGCACCAGTCTCACCAATGGAATCCTGAACATTAACATTCTGCCTGCGCTGTGTGTTCGTAAGTCTTTGACTTCCTGAGTTTCTACATACCACTCATCATTTATAGCTCTACTCGATACGTGCAACAACCAGGCGGCATGCTGTGAGAGCAATGGAATTGTATGTCATCTGACCTTGACATTTATTTCGATATTCTGACATCCAATAGGGTCTTCTGAACTGCCTGACAGTGCAGATTTAAGTGTTGAAAGCATTTTACTGGCGGGCCAACAGGCCGTAACGCTGGCACTCGTCTCTCGGGAGACATTTTGGAAGCTGGAAAGCCAGTGATCGTATTACTGGACTTTGACACCCTCTTTTAACGTAGCATTACCATTCAACATTGTGATTGCCTATGAATTATGGACAGACGCGCTCGAATTCAATTTCATCTTTTCATTTTCCTCAAAGTTTCCTTGACTTCACTCCCAAACACACTAGCCCCTTTTCTATTGAGTATGTTGCAGGACCCCCAGAAGTCGTTTGCAGTAGTAAATTACTCAGCCAATGTGCTTGTGATTTTCCGAAATTATCAATACAATTATTGCTCTATAATATACCTTAACATTATTGACTCCGGGGATCGATCGTGTCTAACCTTCTTGAGGGCACCCTCCTCGCAATGATAGAGAAGCCCTCATCAACGACTAGCAGAGCTAGGATTTGGACGTGCTGCTCATTGGGTAGCCATCTATCACCGTATACCAAACCCATGTAAACCATAATACGTTGCGTCTATACCGGCTGACGGTGGAACTTGACGAGGCCTAATTGTGAAGCCTCATGTGTGTCAATCAGAGCCTGTCGACATCCTTTCAACGACAACTGCTGAGCAGACACCCCGACCTGATAGCAGTCAAAATCTGGTCAGCAAACTGATTCTGATCTTCTCAGTCTATATCTCACCGGCGCCGACGTACACGCACGCAGAGCACGAAGAGACACCAGCGGCAACCATATGGCGCGGGCCATAAGTCAGGTATCAATCTACTGATGGCCGACGTAGTAGCGCCGGCCTCGTATTCGTACAACAGGATGATTCGGTTAGATGTTCAGGCCAAGGCACTTCTTACAACTTGCACGAGAAATGGGTTTTGATCTATGTGCCTGCGGGGAAGATTGGCTTGAGAGCAAGCATTTAATTTCTTACGTTGGGGAACACTTGCTTGTTGGCGCCCGTTTAACGCCTGACCCTATTGGAATTTATAGTGAGTTGGGCTCAATGAGTACTATTGGTCTTTCTGCCCATCCACGCCAAGATTCGCCACTCACCAGCAGAGCTCAGTCAGTAATAGCGTCTGGCGACCAGATCGATAAAACTTAAAAAGGATGCGGCACGCCTCCGTAGCCTTGAAGAAAAATACCTCAAGATCGCCTGACCAATACAAACCGCAAGAACACTTGCTTTCTTTTTTTCCCCCTCGCACCTGCATCAGCTAGACATACAAGTGCATTGGACAAATCAACCGATCGAATGATCGGCAAAATTGCACGAAATGAGAAAAGACCCATAGTATGTGACCTTGCGTTTTAATTGGCCGGCGCTGATCTCCTTAATCTAAATCGGTCTTATTCGGTCCTCCATATTTGATCCCTCCAGCCTCTCGTTCCCAGGAAAAGTCTTGATTTCCACTGTATTTTTAAGCCACTTCATGGTGGATGGTTGTCCTTGAAATTATCAGTCATTGGTATCTGGACGATTGATCGCCCGTCACATAAACAAGAAAATGCAAACCTCATTTCCTAGCACTAGTCTTTCATCGAGCGCTGGATTAATCACTCTCAATGCGTACTGCGAGCAATTCTTTCACCAGCGTGGACCACAGAGGCCGCAGACGAGTCATCAAACCTGCTCCAATGGTATCTCTTTGCTTCGCTCAATAGGAAAAATAGAATGTCACTAATGTGTATTGCACGGCCGATAGATCGGAATCTCTCGTCCACGGCATGATGTCCTCGAAACTGCGCTTTTGGTAAGCCAAATTTGTCTCACCCCAAAGGCAAGGGCCTTGGGACATGAATTGACCGCATGGTCCGTTGGGCTTGCGACAAGTGGAGAAAACTATATCATCGACAAGCTCGGTGGCAGACTCTATGGCTCTGCCAAGGCTGAGCAGCTGGCGTTCCTTGTTTTGGAGGAACTTGGTCTTTGCGTAAGTCATGAGATCAAGGAACTAGAAGAATGCTGACTCTAGTAGGGTTTGGATTACAACATGAAGCGATTTCTTTGCGCCCAGGCAATTATTATAAACGAAAAGATCTTTTTGATACCTATCAGTTATGCACAAGGGATGCCATTGGCTGTGATGCATGGAAGTCAAGCGGTAAAACTACGACTGGGGTATTGCTATGTCATACTTGGCGACTTTCGTTTGACCTCGGGGCTTGATTGTCTTCTTGTAGCAAAATACCCTCGGACCTAGGGCCTTGCATTATCGTATCGAGGCTGAAGATTCGACCATGAAATGGCGCAATGTATGTCTAACATACAGCAAGTTTAGGGTGCGGCTAAGGTCAGGAAGGGAATTCTATCGAATTGAACTTTTTTTCCTGGCTCAAAGGCTTTGTAATGCTGATCTTGAACGCCGAGAGGGTTGTTGACTTTATGTCTGTTGTCTCGCGGGGAAAGTGGGTGGTTTATCATAGCAACTTGAAAGATTTGCAATATAATATAGGCTCTTGTGGTCCTAAAATCGTCACCAAGTTGCCTGCTGGGGAGACTGTGCGCCAAGAAGGCCCATGTAGCGACGTACAGGCATGGAATTCTTCATCACTCTCTTAGACTGAGGCTCTTTTGTGCGCTGGAGGTGTTCAATTAGCAGTGACCGGCACATGCTCCTTGTTCTAGTCACCACATCCAAGTGCGGCCCAACGGTGATTAACCTCTGTAGAGCTGTGCAACGAGGTCGCTTGCGCCGACCAGTGAAACTCGTTGAAGCTTCGTCCTACATCGACGCAATTTTTTGAACTTAGAGATATGATCAGATATTTCGATTAAATTTTCTACAATCTCCTATTTATTCAATCTATCTTTTATTTCTTTCCCTCGTCAGAGTACAGGGGGTGGCTTGGAATGCAGAAGATGTGACGGATTTCAGATGTTTTTCTTCACAATTGCGCCGTTGAAGATGAGGTGCCATTCATTACTCAATATAACTTCCCATGATGCTCCATGCCAACAAGCATGTATGTGTAAGCTGTATACTATGTAACTCATCATTTATTTTCCAACAGATTATGCGAGGTGTAAATAAGGCGTTTCGTTAACGCCTCAGGTATTGATGCAAATGGGTTGGTCTTGGATTCTTTTTGTCCTTAGAAGCACATTTACCATGCCCGACCTCTTAACAAACGGCTTGCGTCGAGAATAGAAAAAAATGAACATCATGTCAGGCGGCATTATGTGCAGTCTTGCGACGCGATTTGAATAAGGTTAGTCGGGGGAATTACGTCGGAGGATTGACAGGCCAGTTGTATTGATGACCGTTGCGGTTGAGACAGCCCGAGTAAACTGAGCTGCCCTTCACGAAGTAGGGGTGCATGTAGGCCTGCTTCGTTGAAAGCCGGTGGACGCGTCGTACTCGAGAAGGGCCTCCTGCAGCTCGAGACCAGCTGGCTATATGGGGAAAATTGAAGAATCAGGGAGCTTCCACTTGGGATAAGTGGCTTTGTAATCGGGAAATAAAGTGACGTCGGGCCAAAATCTTTGTCGAGGGTGCCGAGGACACTATATAACGAATGACATGCTTAGTAATTGGCCTATTACTCAGTGGAAAGAAGGATCTATCGTAAAATCTTGAAGATCTCGTCGATGTCCGAGTCACTAGGAAACAATGGCTTGCAGTTGTAAATCTCGGCGAAACTTGCGTCGACGGACTATATATCGACACCAGTAGAATAGTAGCGGCTCCCGAGCAGAATTAGGGGTAGCGATACCACGGTGAGCGTCGGTGAACTGAGACGTAGCCCATTTCAAGAATACTGGGGCTTACCTCATAGGTGCAAGTCCGTAGCGGGACACCGAAGGCTCTTGCTAGACCAAAATCGGCGAGTTTTAGGTTACCATCACGGCCAAAAAGCAAGTTCTGAGGCTTTAAATCACAGTGCAAGATACAGTGACTATAGTAGTAGCGAGTACCCTCAACTAGTTGGGCCATAAACTTCTTGACTATATTATCGCCCAGTCCTAAGGTTGCCATCGACGTAGACTCATCGGGAAGAGGCTTACCACGACCACCCTCGCTCACCGGTAGGGCTTCTATGTATTTCTTGAAATCGAGATCGAGAAATTTTATGACGAGGTAGAAATTGTGGCCATCGGCATAGACAATGTCGAGCAATTGGACAATGTTGAGGTCCTACATTTCCTCGAGCAACGAAATCTCGCGGATGGTGGTACTAGGAACACCCTCATCTTCAGCCTCCAGTCTAATTTTCTTCAGAGCAACAATACGGCAAAAATGGTTTAGTTCACGGGTCTTGTAAACGACTCCATACGTGCCTAGAGACAAACAGACGCGTTAGCTGAGTTTCGACAGAAGCGTATCGGCAAGGTGTCCCATACCGGGTGCTTCCCTGGTAGAGTACGGAGTTTGGCGATGGTGGTTTGGGCGCGATGGCGTAGGCGAATATGGGTTGGCAGTACATGTGCCTCGACTTTGAGCGTGGACGTTGCCACGGTCCGGAAGGCAGAGAAAATCCGGATCAACGCTGCTCGTTGCACCGTGCGTAGGTGTCGCAGGTGCATCTTATCTCGAAGCGGGTCGTGCCAGACCGTCGATGCGTATTCGACAACCGGTGCAACACACGCCTTATACAGCTGGCGCATTTGCTCCGGGCGGAGATGCTACAGGCCCCGTAGGCAATTTTGACGTGAGTAGCTTGCTTGATTACCTGCTGCACGTATTCTTTCTGTCGTAGCTCGTGGTCAAAGATCACGCCTAGGAGCTTAGCAAGTTTTGACGGTGTGATAGCTATGCCGTTCATTGTGATCTAGCCTTGGCATTGTTCGCTTCTCTTTCTGGTACGTTGCAATCTTGCCTAGTTGTGTTGGGCGTGGGGCCGAGGGACGATACTACGGGTAAGCCGACCTCAAGAGCCTTAATAGAGAAAAGGAATAGTTACTATAGACTCAGAGAAGCTGGCGGGCGTTGATAACAGTAGAACTCATTTAAAGAGGCATTTCACAGGTCCACCGTTTACACACACACTATACCTTTTACGTGTCTGCAACATCACCACAGCATACTTTCAGCACTAGCAAACTCATCATGTTTTTCGAAGTCTTCATCAGTGCATATACGTGATCTCAAACCGCCGGGCAAATAAATCTATCATTAGTTGACGCAAGATAAAATCGATTGTTTCGGGCTGTGCCTAGATGCGCACCATGCGCGACAGGGCTGACCCCCAAAGTAAAAGATCAAGATCATACGACTACAATGCTCCTCCTGCATCCCCAACTGGGACTTTTCTTAAGAAAGAAGAGATTCCGTGACGTATCTATAGGCGCTCTTGATTTCTCTCCAGCTTAATGAGCGCCGTACCTGATCTTCCCCACCACGACACGTTTTGTGTGTGACCAATAAATGAAGATCACTACCTCATTCTGCAAAAGCATGTAATTTCTTCGACGAACGTTCGGTCTTAATTCCAAAGCTATAGCAAGCCCAATGGTCTACTCTCTTCGCTAACTATTACTGAATTTTCCTGGCCATCCATCGGAAGGAGCGTAAGCCGGAATCCATGATTAATTGACTTCGGCCCCCAAAGTTGTCTCACTTTACAGGTCTCCAGGTTGATGATTGGTGCCAAGCTTCCTGCAGCGTATTGCTGTCAGCGCCTTAAAGGGGATAACTCGGGGGCCACCATTCGCATATACGATCAGATAGTACGATCAGATAAACCTGACAAGCAATTCTGAGCCGATCTCGGATACATCTTATGACTTTACGATGAAGGGCCAACTGGAGAAATATAAATAGGGTCATGTTTGGCTGATGATATTACAACTCATCATCATTTGTTACGATTCCGACCGCAATCATACATCATACTCGCAATCGAAATGAAGGTCTTCAACATCGTTCTTGTCGCTATTTTTGCAGCTATCACCATCGCAGCTGCTGTTGCCGATCCCGAGGCTGCTTTGGCAGACAGCATCATTGAGAAGCGTTGCAAAGCCAGTATGTTACCCTAATAACCCAGGGCCTCTCATTTAAATTTAAATGCAAAGCTATGAAGCGACATGCTAACTTGAAATCCTATTTCAGCTGGCAACGCTTGCACTCTTGGTACTCAGTGCTGCAACGGAGCATGTGTTGCCACCGGTGTCAACAAATTCGCCAAACACTGCAACTAAAGACAGTGATATATCGCAGATGCCAAGTGATGAACAAGCACCAGCCGGAAGAAAGCGAAATAGCTCTTTTGGCCCCAATACCAAGGTCAAATATACAGAATGGTGTAAAGATAGAATCTAGTTTCTCAGTCGCAGTATTCGGTCATAGCTCTTTAAATTTTTGACGCATTATCCAACTGTGTCCATGCTATTTGAGTCTTTTTAGATATATTTCCCCACATTTTGCGCGGATTGAAACGATCATGTCTTTATGCTACGTGAACTATATCACAATTTCAACACCTAGCAGGTGGACTATTAGTCACTGCTTCATTAGTTTTCTTATAGATCGAGTCACACATGAGATATTACGTCCACCTTCCCGATTGAAGCTCGGGCTATTCGTTCTTATACAATGCTGAGAAGTATTATCATATTCGCTAATTACAGGTCTTGGATCAAGTGGACCGTTCTGTTTGTTGTTGTCCCCCCTGCTTGGATCCGTCTTTTTTTGCCTGTTCTCAAATATCTCGGATTAATCATCCAGAATTTGTGAAGGGGCGTAAAATAAACCATGACGCCAGTTGTGCGACAGCCTATGAAATGGTATGTGGTTATGCCAGCCACCAGCATCTTTGAAATATTAGCTTGCCCAGAAAAATATGAGCTTAGAGACCAGACTCAGGCTGTACTCTGAGTCTACCAGTGGGGTGATTGGCCCAAATTAACCATTCACTACGTCTACAGGGCTATTATTATTCTCTACGGGTATGGTGGCTAAAGCAGTTAATATTTCATTAAAAGATTTTGAAGGCTATGCTATTCTAAGGAAACTGATTTATACATTTGATGACGCTATCTGAGGGACTCAAATATTTAGTCGGACTGGCATGGCAATGAAGAAAATTATCGGTGATAAAATATAAAAGGGAAGTACACAGAATGTCTTCCATGGCCCCAGCGAGTTTCTGTCGTTTTGCAGTGTGGATATTGTCCAACACATTTACGTCTCTCAACTCGGTCAGCTCAAGTCTGATTATACGGGCATATCTGCTGAAATTGCATCTGTCGATACTATTCCTAGACACGTGGCTCGAACAAACAGGTCTAATGGATCTGCATATCGGCAGATAATCTCTGCCTTAGTAATGAGTTTGTTCTGAATTATCGTGAATGCAACAAGCCCTTCCGCTCAATGCTGAGAAACTGAGCTTACGACTGGTTTTTGAAGTGAGTACACTCGCTGATGTATCTTGCGGATTCTTACATGTTGCTCCAGACGTTGGATTATCAGTGAACAGTGAATGCTTGATTGCCACGATGGAAGGTTTCTGGAAGATAACGACCACTGCATGCTGCAAAGGAACGGTGCCAGACATTCTAAGATGTACATGTTAAGGTAGATGGATTTCTGGAACAAAGAAGGCAATCCTCGACTAAGAGAACTTAGCTAACAATGGCATTCATAAAGTCATTTGTTGCCATTGTTTGTTTTCGACAAAGCAGTAATCCAAAGTCATGTTGAACTCAGATTTTGGCAGAGCCCAGCGCCTCATGTGTCTGGACAAAAAATAATAGCAATAATTGGAGAAGCTCTACAGCAGCTGTCTGCTGTCCGCTGTCCGCGGAAATATGATGTGATTCACAGATATCTTTCTTGGCCAAACGAGAGCCTATACCCACATTAGGAGAAGTGCATACGCTAGAACCAAGAGACTTTTCACATCGCCCTTAGCTTCTTTTCGTCGACCAACATAAGTAACGTTGCATGTTTATTTTTGGCCGTTCCGCCAAACTACACCCGGGACGTTACGGTACCGTAACGGCGTTTTTGCAATACTGGAAACAGGCGTTGAACGGCGCTTGAACGAAGAAAAGTCGCACAACAAGGAATTAATTTAACTCGCGGGCTAGTCTCGGTATGCCAAGGAGCTTGTCTCAATCAGAAGGCAAAAAGTGTAGCCCCGAATATAGCCGATCTGATATGCCACTCCAAATGGAACCAAAGCTCCGTCCAGTCCAAGAAAGCCAACGGAGAAGCCCGAGCGCGAGCGCTAACGCTACATTGGTCAAAAAGTAGATATGAACCCTGCCCCTCTGGTGTCTAGGTAGTCGGACGAGAGATCCGCGAGTCGCGCCAGATGCGCCAAGTCGTACCTCGTGCCACCCTTGACGAACGGGAGAATTTTCACCTTCAGTCCTGTCTTGGCCTCGTTACTATATTTTTTTTTTCGCTTAATCTTCCTTGAAGAATCTTTACGCCCGATATCGGCTGATGCAACACTCGGAATATATAAGTCTGATCGTCGCATCGTGGTCAATTTTGTGTCCAGACCATTGAACATCTCTCCACGCACTTGACTGGTAGGCAGATCGACCGCAAGATGGCAGCTGACCTTCTTAATCCATCTGAGAAGCAGGGTGAGCAGATTCATACCACCCAGGAAGCTGGAGGTACTGTTCCTGCTACAAATGGCGATACATCCGATCAGGATTCCCTCGATCAGGAGGCTCAGGCTGGTGTGAAGGGTATCCAGGCGGCTACCAAGGTGTGGACCAAGGGGCATCTTATCTTGGCATATGCAATGTGAGTTGAACTGATCTCAACGTCTCTCAAAGCTTGGCTTATTGATTGTTCCTATGCAGTATCTGGTTCATCTACTTTGTCACCTCCATCCAGGAGGTTGTCATCCGATCCTTGAACCCTTATGTGACCAGTGCCTTCTCCCTCCACTCTTTGACTGCGGCCACCAGTATTATGGCTAATATTATCGGTGGTCTGAGTAAAATCCCACTGGCAAAGATCCTGGACACATGGGGCCGTCCTCAGGGTATCAGTTTGACGTTGTTCATCTGGGTGGTTGGTTTCATCATGATGGCTGCATGCAACAATGTGCAGACCTACGCCGCTGCACAGGTATTCTCTTCCGTGGGGTAAGTGATCGATGGAATAGAAAATTTCAACGTTCTTAACTAACTTGTACTTTGTCTAGATCCCAAGGAGTCAGCTATTGTTTGACTGTCTTCATCGCCGACACATCGACACTGAAGAATCGAGCCCTGATGCTGTCTTTTGCCACCTCGCCCTACATTATCACAACATGGATTGGCGGTCCCATTTCGCAGAGTGTCCTGGAAGGACCTGGCTGGCGATGGGGATTCGGGATTTTTACCATCATCGTTCCGGTTGTGGTCTCACCACTATGCATCCTGTTTTTCTGGAACCACCAGAAGGCCAAGAAGATGGGCCTGCTCCAGTCAAACCGCAGTCCTTTGACCCTGCAATCGGTCAAAAAATATCTTATTGAAGTCGACATGCTTGGAATCCTCCTTCTCGCTGGTGGTATGGCATTGTTTCTTCTTCCGTTCAGCCTGTGGTCCTACCAAAAGGACCAATGGCGCTCCGCCATGATTATCTGTATGATCATCTTTGGAGGAGTTCTGCTCATTGTGTTCGCCCTCTATGAAAGATTCTGGGCTCCAGTGACCTTCATCCCATTCAAGCTACTGATGGACCGAACTGTCTTCTTCGGTGGACTGATGTTTGTATTTGAGTTCTTCAACTCCATGGTTTGGGGCAGTTACTTCGGCTCCATGCTTCAGGTCGTCTGGGGTCTAGATGTCACTGAAGCCAGTTATGTCTCCGCCATTTACCGAGTTGGATCCTGCCTGTGGTGTCTGCTCGTCGGATATCTGATTCGCTGGACTGGTCGCTTCAAATGGTTGGCAGTCTACTTCTCATTCCCTCTCATGATTCTTGGAGTTGGTCTAATGATCAAGTTCCGTCAACCCGATGCGGGCATTGGATATATCTGCATGACTCAAATCTTCGTCGCCTTTGCAGGTGGTACTACAGTCATCTGTGGCGAGCTCGCTATGATGGCACCTTCTGATCACCAGCACATCGCTGTCGTGCTTGCTATCTTGAACCTTTTCAGTAGCATTGGAAGTGCGATTGGAGGTACCGTGTCTGCAGCAATTTGGACTAGCGAATTCCCCAGGGCTTTGGCGAAATACTTGCCGTCGGAAGTCAATGTGGCGTCGGTCTACTCAAACATCAATGTCCAGCTGTCTTATCCTTTCGGAAGCCTGGAGAGAAATGCTATCGCCCATGCCTATGGAGACGCGCAGCGTTACATGCTTATTACCAGTGTGTGTATGCTGGCTCTTGCCTGGGGTTGTGCTGCGATGTGGCGTGACATTAAGGTTAAGGACTTCAAACAGGTGAAGGGAACTGTGTTCTAAATGAAAAGCCCAGATGCTGTGCATGTACGAGCATATCATTTGCCAATTAATTAGTAGATGAGAGAGGGTAGTGGGAACATATAATGATTCAGGGGAACAAGAAAGAAAAATCCCAACTATAAAGTTTCAATGTTTGACATCCACGTTCAAAGTATTCAATTGAGATATATTCCCAGTGAATGAAATTTAGTCTTAAATGCATCTTATGTATCACAAGTCATTTGACTCTAATTATGTAGCACACCGCCATCTTCTTCTGCACACTTCTTTCAACCCCGATGAGCTTATAGTACATGATTGTTGTTTCTCAGACTTGCTTAGCACTGAGCCTGAACATGCACGGTCTTCGAGACTCCTGTAGTAATACCACGTCCATGAGCCTCAACGCGGACATACTTAAGACCTCCCTTGACAGAGGCCCTGGTCTCAAAGCCGGTCTTCGGCGCCACTCCGACCGGGGGAAGACCACTCTGAGTAATGCCCCCAAAGACCTTCCACTCCTTAACCTCAGTTGCACCATTCCAACTCATGTAGACATTAGTAGTATTGTGAGAAGCGTCGTTGCAAGCGAATGCATCAGGAGCCGTGTTAGGAATGCCAACCCAGGGGTGACGATAAGCCCGGTAGCTGGAAACCACACCATCCTCGCCAAACTGAACTGTCATAACAGGGGAGCCATCCGCATTATACTCCTTGAACTTCGGGTTGGAGCCGTAACCGATCAGAACATGGTCTCCAGGCAATGCTTGCACAGCTCCCATGGAGACGGAAAAGATCTCGTCACTCGAGTCATCCAGGAGACGGAAGGGAGTGACCTTCTTTTTATCCATGTTGACATTCATGAAAATACCTTCGGTGTGGTCGGTGCCGTTTTCGACGTCGGAGTTGGCGTTGTCGAAGATGCTGATGATTAATTTGTCTTCAGTTTCTTCCTGAATACGTGCGTCGTGCTGGTAGGCAAAGTTGACTCCGTCTAGGGAGAAATCGCCGCCAGTTTGGCCCTATGAAACATATATTAGCACAAGGGCAAGTCTTCAAATGTCAGAAATTATGTAAGGCTCACCTGAAGGGTCCAGTCAACAGTTCCATCCTTGGCAATCTTGAACAAGGAGCAGTAGTAGCGAGATGAGATGAGGAAACTACCATCCTGGAACTTCTCAACCGAGTTGATGTGGAAGTAGCCATATGGCGCACTGCTGTTATATCCCCAGTCATTGATCGGGTAGAAAGGCTGCACATCCTCCAAGCTAATTTGATCAACGTGATCCTTAGCACTCCAGCGGAACAAGATGTCATTGGTCTTAACGTCGATCTCATAGAAGAGCGAGTCAGCAATCCAGCCATGCTTGGGGCCACCGACAGAGCTCAAATCAGCCCGAGTCACGTTGTAGCCGGTCAAAAGCATAGTGTTGTCTGAGGTCATGGTGCTCTCGTGAATGTCGAGCCAAGAGACAAAGCTCGAGCTGTCAACGGTACCAACGGCAGTGTAGTTATCGCAAAGAAGCGAAACATTGTAGATGCTCTGGTAAGACTGGTCGAAAACTTGGATGATACCGTATCCCCAGCCAAATGGCTCAGGAATACCAATGCCATTGAAGTAGGTCAAGACCGGCTTTCCATCCAGCATCTGCACACGGAAGTCCTTCAGATCACCAAACGGACTCTGCCATATGAGTTCATTCTCATCCGACATCATAAATACACTGTACTGATGGGCATCCCATGATTGATCGAAGAACAGGTAGCCAGGAGCGGTAGGTCCAGACTTGGTGATCTTGAGGTTGGGAGGCTCAAAAGCGCTGGACTTGTAGGTTTGCCAGGGCCAGCTGTCGTCAGCCGCCACACAGGAAGTAGCGTGCAGCCCAGATAGGACGGAGACAATGGAAGAAACACGCATGTTGGATCTGAATTGCGTGAAAATCGTTGACAATGACAACGCATGTTTCACCGGCTGACTACAAAACAAATATACTCGACAGGGGGTTTGAGAACTTGCATGAGTCTAGCCGATGTCGGATCATAGTTTCGTGCTCCTGTGAGTGAAATATCGCCAAGATGTATCAGGATCGTCCTCGGCTAGAGTTGAAGGCTCACCCTGTATACCTGCTCGCGCTGGCGGCGCTGGCCGACAATCTGATAACACCGGATCAGATAAGGTCTGCGGTCCCACCCGTAATTCGCGTATGATACCAGGTACGCGTGTCGTATTACGAGATATACACTCTAGATTGGTAATTCAGTCGAAATACACGGGATGACATTCCCACCGTTACAAGCGGAAGACTCGGTTAGTCGACTTCGGATGACTCCAGGGGCTGATGGGCACTGCCAAGCGGATGTGCTGATGAGCGCAGGGTGGGCCCGACTTACAACCGACCTCGTCGCTGACGCCTCCAAATACGAAACTACGGGTAGCTGTTGATCTCTTTCTTTTTCTCCATAGTCATACACCCAAGCATACCATGGGTACGCAGTTAGTGGCGTCGTTAGGGGAAGTCAATTGTTGTCAGCTTTGACCAGTCAATGGAACCGCCGGGTGTGGCCAAGCCACTTCCGTCCAGGTGAGCACTCTGTTTTTGCGGGCCTTGATCAATAATCTATGAATCAGGCTCAAGTTTGGGTCAAATTACCAGATTGATAAAAAGGCTTCTGCCTGATTGATAATTCTTTATGGTAAGATCATCTTGCCTAGAATGCGCCAAGCGTTGGCATGAAGTCTCTGTTCGCTTGGACCCTTGAGAATGGCTAGGCACGCGAGCCCGAGGGAGGCTGCCGACATGTATTGGGATTTCCCCCCTTACTAGTAAGCATCAGTGATGGGGTCCGATATCCCACCTAGAAATGGTATCCACCAAGGATTGCGTTGTCGGAGAATAAAGCGTGACTCCGGAATGAGTATATCATTAAAAGCCAAGTCCTCTAAACGGGTAAGTGTTGCCCCTGGCAGGAAGTCAGAAGACTCACCGATGCAGAGTGGCTTGCATCGAGGCCCGAAGGAACGCTATAGTGCATCCTGGGCTAATATGGAGGCTACAGCTGTAAAGAAATTGTATGCAGGTCTAACGCACAGTCTATTCTCAAAATGGTACTAGTCTAACAAGTTTACGTGATTAACGCATCGAGACTATTCAAGTTGTTGAGGGCGTGATATCTGCCCATTGCTCAAATGTTGCGTTGCCCGCGCCCTTGGGCATCTTCACCATCAATGGTGCTTGAATATCCTTTTCAAGCCGAGTGACTTCTGGTTTGAATACAATCGGTTCCGCAAGCGTCTGGAAACCAAGCTTGTTATACAAAGGAACACCGTCCACGGTGGACTCTAAATAGATCGGGACATTCAATTTCTCTGATGTCTCAAGACCCCATTGCATAAGTTGGGCACCAACGCCACGGCCTTGGTAGTCGGGGTGTACTGCGACAGTATGGCAGTCTATAGCGGTTAGTACGCCATGCTAGCAAAGTTGTGTTGAGATCACATACAAACATGCTTCTTCGGTCCCACATATTTTTCTCTTTTTTCCCAAAGCAGCCCCAGAAATCCCTCAGCGCGCTTGCGCTGGTCTCCGTCAAGCCATCCAATCCATGGCTTAATGCGCTCAGCATCGGTTCGCTCGCGCCAGTAGACCTGCCAGGTCGCCATGCCAGCGACGCGGCCAGTTTCGGTATCAATGCATTGGAATGTGTGTTCCATGCTCAGCCCTTGCCAATATCCAAGGGTACCCTCGGCATGTACCTTGCGGAAAGCTTCATCGTCGACATCACTTCCAGGGTAGATGAGATCGAGAATCACTTGGCCTTTGAAGGCGGCGAACCAGGCATCGTAGATGGCCCGAATGTCAGGGAGGGTAGCAGGAACAACAATGAAGCCCATTTTGGAGTGAGGGGTAAGATAAATATCAGATGGAGAGGTAGGTAGCTTGAAGAGCAAACCCCAAGATGTTAATACTTTAACAGGACGCATAGTTAGTAATCTTGGCGCCAAGTGACCCCGAGACCGGATCTGATAACATGGTATGGTATGGTATGGTATTGGTATGATGTGACATTTGATTGACAGGATCCGATGTCCTATGTACAGCCGTTGTCGGATTTTTTTTTTTCTTTCTTTCTTTCCTTTCTTGCTCTGAAGATTTGTGAGAATACTCAGTCAGGACACCTTTCCATATATACACAAAATGCCTGGAATCGAAGAACAACCCTATAAGGTCCTCGTCATCGGAGGTTCCTACGCTGGTTTGGCCGCGACTCTGAATCTGATCGATCTGTGTCATGGTCGGAAATGTCGCTTCAACCTGGACCCCAACGCAGCCGCACCTGAGAAGAAGATTCCTGTGCAGGTCACCATCGTGGACGAGCGCGATGGATATTGTATGTTTTAGTTCTCACCAAACGCGACACAAAACTAATAGAGCATACACCAGACCACTTGATCGGCGTTCCTCTCGCACTCGGTTCCAACAAAGATGCCAGTGACTTCTGGAAAAAATATGAAGACATTCCCGCCCTTCAGTCCCCGGACATCAAGACAATTCAAGGACGCGTAGACTCCGTGGACTGTAAGTCGCGAGTGGCGCGCATTCACCAGAGCACAGAAAACGATGGTCACAAGATTTTGGAGGAAAGATATGATTATATGATTGCAACCACTGGTCTACGGAGAGAATGGCCGAGTGCGCCCAAGTCGTTCAATCGGGAGGCATATCTTGCTGAAACGGCTGGCTCGGTTGAGACCATTGAGAATGCTGGACAGGGTGTTGTAGTCATTGGTGGTGGTGAGTACTATTCCATACTTAGTTATAACACATTACTAACAACAGTCTGTCTAAGGTGCCGTCGGCATTGAAATTGCAGCAGAACTCAAGATGCTCCGTCCACAGGGCAAAGTCACCCTCATCCACTCCCGCCAAAACCTACTTTCATCCGAGCCCCTCCCAGAAGATTTCAGCTCAAAGACACTCGAGCTTCTCCAAAAATCAAATATCGAGATAGTTCTAGGCGTAAGAGTCCAGGAAACAGTCGCAGCTAGCGACTCAGCCCCGGCCAAGTTCACACTCAAGCTCTCCAACGGTGAGGAATTATACGCCGACCATGTCATCAACGCTGTCTCCAAGTTCACCCCTACATCTTCTTACCTACCTAATGAAGCGTGCGATCCCGAAGGATACATCCGCATTACAACCGGTCTTCAGTTCGCTGGTGATGTTCCTAACAAGGAGTACCACTACGCTGCAGGTGATATTGCTTGCTGGTCTGGTATTAAACGAGGTGGAGCGGCTATGCACCAGGGTCACTTTGCTGTTGCGAATATTCATCAGAAGATGATGGCTGAGAGGTATAAGATCGAGCCTAAGTTTGTCGAGTTGGCTGAGGTTAAGCCTATGATGGCTTTGGCTCTTGGTGCTACCGCTGTTGGCTACTTCCCTGCTACCGGTATTTCATCCGGTGATGAGGTGCGAAACATGTTCTTCAATGAGGACCTTGGGTACCAAAGTAAGTTTGAATATCTCAGTATTGTTTTCATGTGGCTAATTAGATTAGTTTGTTGGAAATGGATGCGTCTCGGAGAGACAACTGCTTGAATGATCAACGGTGGGTGTGACCAAGTAGCAAAATCTGATATGATATGAGTATAGACATAGAATGTTTTTTCTTTCTCTTCCACGTTTTCAACGTTAAATTTTGTTTTTATACATATGGAGTAGTAAGCCATTCACGATTTAAAATAAGCTTGAAGCAGGGTGAACTCAAAGACCAATTCCATGCAATTAGAATATATAAATCTAGGTATCAAGGCATCTATTTCCGTACTTTATTGAGAGAACCAAAATCTACCCATCAACCGCCTGGTTCAAGGCATTAACCCGGTAAGACTCACTCCGCTCAACCAGCTGAGCATGAGTACCCTGTTCAACACATCGCCCATCCTCAATCAAGAAAATGACATCAGCCTTCCGAATCGTATACAGACGATGGGCAATTGCAATAACAGTCATTTTTTTAGTGGCCTTCTCTAGACCATCCTGAAGAAGACGTTCGGACTCTGCATCCAGGGCACTGGTCGACTCATCGAGTAGCAGCAACTTCGGCTTGCGAATCAATGCGCGGGCAATTGCAAGTCGTTGCTTTTGACCTCCAGAGAGACGATCGCCGTTGGGACCACAGGCTGTATCGTACCCTTCGGGTAGTTGCATGATCGTCTCATGAATGTTTGCCAGCTGACAAGCCTCTTCCATTTCGGCTTGCGAGATGTTGTGGCCTGGTCTCGCGCCAAGGGCGAGGTTGAAACGGATACTTCCTTCGAACATGACACTTTGCTGTGGAACATAAGCGATCGAGTCGCGGAAGGAGATGTCTCCGTGAGAGATATCTTTTCCGTCGACTTCGACGATACCCGACTCGGGGGTGTAGAGTCGTTCAACGAGGGAGATGATGGTGGACTTGCCAGCACCACTGGGTCCCACCAGTGCCGCGAATTGACCTGATTTGACGTTCAAGTCTAGTCCATGAAGAACGCGAGTATCAGGTCGGGCGGGATAAGAGAACCGAACATGCTTGAATGAGACGCTGGTTCCGCTGCGGCTATCATCGACCTTTTCGCGCATAGTGGCCGTGGCTTCAATATCATCTGTGGAGCCTTCGAGCAGTTCTTGTGGACCTGCAATGGGCTTTGAGAGGTTCTTCGTGGACCCCAGATCCAGAAGGTTCAGCAGTCGGCGGGTAGCCTGGAAGGCACGCGCAACATCCGGTGCGAGAGCAAATACCTGACCCCATAGCTGTGAGCTGACAAGGAGAGCGAGTTGAACGATGAAGAACTGGGTCTGAGTATAGCGACCCTCAATGATGTTCTTCGCTCCCCACCAGTATGCAAGACCATACAGGAAGTTGCTCAGACCGTATCCAATAGCAAGCCAGAGGTTGACCCAGGCACTTTGACGGGTCATCTCCTTCATTGGGGCTGCTAGCGAGCGACGGTATGTTCCCATAATTTCGTGCTCTAGGGAGAGGGACATGACGGTCTTGATTGAGTTGACCGCTTCAACGGTGATGCCGACGGACCGAGCAAAGGCTTCCAAGTGCTTTTCTTGGAATGTAGCGAGTGATGTTACTCGCATCCATCCAGCACCCAGTACTAAAGGAATGACAGAGAGGCACACCACGGCCATACGCCAGGCAATGATGTGAGTCATGATGATAGCAGCGACCAAGTTGACGCAAATGGAAAGGATTGTACAAACGACAGAGCCCGTCAGACCTCCGAGGGCATTGCTGTCAGTAGTGATCAAGGATAGTAGCAGGGATGGATTGCGGTCATTTGATTCGTGCCATGCCAGGTTTTGCTCGAGGATGGAGCGCAACGAGAGAACTCGTACTTTGTAGATGATGTTCTCTGCCATCCAGCCGAATAGAGACCAACTGAGGAAGTTCGCAAAGAATTCAATGATGGCCAGGACGAAGAACATCAGACCGTAGAATTCACCAGCATCGCGGATATTCTGTGGGTCTTCACAGCCACTAAGCTTGCTAACGACATTACCGAAGATCACTGCTGATCCACAGTATGTACCTCCAATAACCACAGCGCCTGTCACGGCGAGGATTAGAACAAAGGTGTAAGGACGGAACATGGAGCCCAATGACCCAACTGTCGCAGAGAATGATCGTGTAGTTGCAACAGCACCGGCCTTCTCCTTAGGCTTGGACTCTTTGACGGGTGCTGCAGCGACCTTCTCCTCATTGTCGGGAAGGTTAGAAACGGTAGAGATATCTGTTTTTTCAGCTTTCTCGTTGATTTGTTCCACTGGTGAAGCAGATCTAGTGGAGGATCCTTCTCCAGCGCCGTGGACATTGAGGTTTTGTAGACGGACGAGTTCAGCATATGCACCGTTGCGAGTCAACAAGTCCGAGTGGCTACCTTGTTCAACCAGCTTTCCTTGTCTCATGACGATGATATTATCGGCGTTCTTGATGGTTGAAAGACGATGGGCGATAGTAATGACGGTCCGACCGACGGCAACACTTTCAATAGCGCGCTGAATGCGCATTTCTGTGGCGGAGTCCAGGGAGGCAGTGGCTTCATCCAAAATGAGAATTTTGGGGTCCTTGACTAGAGCACGCGCCAAAGAAATACGTTGCTTTTGTCCACCACTGATCAGATTTCCACTGGAGCCGACCATGGTGCCATAGCCTTCTTGCAGCTTCTCGATAAATCCATTGGCGTCGGCTAACAAAGCAGCATGTTCAACAAGGTCCACGATCTCTCGTGCGTGATTTCCATGTTCCAAAGACGCGGGCACGATTCTTTGACCATCCCTCACAGCCTCAGCAATTTCAGCCAACGTCGTACTGGTCAGGATCGGTTTAAGATGACCGTGAGTTGGAGAGTTGATCAATCCCAGTGCGATGTTTTCAAAAATTGAACGATCGAGGAGGCAAGGTTCTTGCTGGACCAGACTGATGTTGCTTCTTAAAGCACGAACATTCAGGGACTTCACATCGTGTCCATCCATGAAGACAGATCCTTCAATCGCATCGTAGAACCGAGTTACCAGTCCCGCCACGGTAGACTTTCCACTTCCAGACAGTCCAACAATAGCAGTTTGCTGGCCAGCGGGACAAGAGAATGATAGATCTTGAAGCACTGGCTTGTCTTTGCGAGAGGGAAAAGTGAAAGAAACATTGCGCAATTCAATATCGCCCTTAACGTCCGACAAGACATCGCCGGAGTTCTCGTCGGTTCCATCGATAGTAGATGAGTGATCGATATCGGCACGTAATTTGGTGAATGCGACCGACGCGGCGTCGAAGCTTTGAATGAAGGGTGCGACTTGACTGAGGATCAAGGATGCTAAAAGACAACACAACAACACAATCAGCAAATGGATCTAAAGTACATGTTCTTTTCACTCTGCTTACCATCCACCAGAATAAAAATGACCGTATATGTAGCTCCAACAGTCATGCTGCCACCATTCTCGACCGAATCCGCAATCTGCCTCGAACCCTGCCAGAACGCCAAGGCATTGGCAGAAAAAGCAATGAAGTAGAGCAGCCCAGCTTGACTAGCAGTCGCAATAGACTTACGAATGCCGGCAACTCGTCCGGGGTTCAAGAACTCAATAAATTTCTCCTCTAGTCGCACATTAGCGGAGAAAGCATGAACAACCATAGTATTCGAGAAAGCCTCCAACGCGACCGAAGATGCCTTTGTCATGCTATCCAGAGCGCGACCAAAGTACTTCTGGACAAAGTACCCTCCAAGCAGGGACATGATCAAATATGCCGGAGTCAACGAAACTAGCATACCCGCCAACTTGGCGTCCTTGATAAAGGCAACGATGTATGCAGTCACGAAAAAGGCCAATGAGTTCATCATAATGCCGACCTTCTCAGATGTGCCTTGCTGCACAGTGGTAATATCACCAGAGATTCTGGAGGATGCCTCACCAGCAGGAAGATTATCGAAGAAAGCCGCGTCCTGACGGAGCAACGCCTTAAAATACTTTTCGCGGAGACGCTGAGCGAGTCTTTCGCCCGTGATATTCCATGTGAAGACATAAATATAAACCAAACAGAGGTAAGCGATTCCAATATAGACGATCATCAAGACCTTCGAATTGATTCCGGCCTGGTAGGACGCGCCATTCGTGCTGTTCGCATTGCAAGTTGTCGAGTTCATTTCATCCACCAATTGACCGAAGACGATGGACATGATTGGGAATGGAACTCCCGAGGCGATCGCTGAGACGACTGCCAGCACAAGTAGGGCGATGTCCGACTTGCTAGGCTCGCCATAGACGAATAGTCTGAAGAAGACGGCCCTGTCCCTCCACTGTAGATTGGATTAGCTTGTGGTGATCAATGATAGGAATGCTGGAGTAACTTACGGTGCGCTTTGGCGCTACATCTAATTCACCCATGTTGAATGATTTCTCTCAAGGGATGGATGAAGAAGAAACATCATCATGGTCAACTTTCAAGAAAGTTAGACAAAAATGCACGCCCCGCTGGAATACCAAGGGAACGGTGTATTGTCAATGGGGTGTGTATTATTGTATCTTTTGAAACTTTGGTATGTTTGACTGTACTGTAAGTTTGGACCCTTATCAGATCGACATCCGCGCTAGTAACATCGAAATTGTTTGCCGAGAACTCAGGGTCTCCACCAAGTATCAAACTGGGGAGATCGTTTCCCTAAGAACAGTAAAGGGAAGCCGAACCCGAAACCCTGTCGATTACTCCATTCGGCAATTTCCGCTAGTTTCGGGGTTAATGTCATGCGGTGATACTGTTCACACTATGTGTGTGAACGTGATTCATAATCTCTCCAACAAAGACAGCGGCCCGCTAACCTTTTCCTCCCAAGCTTCTTGGCATTTTTAATATGGCGCATATGTTCAAAACGCACTATTGCAAACTGGGGCAACTTCGGCTACGAAGGAATGTCGGGATGACCCGGCCATGGCGTACCTGGTTTTGATCCCGAATCAGATTAGATGGTGCTGACGCGTTATCGCCCAGAATTGACTTTACTTGGCCGAGCTTGGCAAAAGTGAAAAGAGATAAAAAGGTAAAAACAAGTCAATGCGCTTGCAGGGGTCGTCGGATTTAAGCGGATTTATTTGAAGCTCCGTTTTTTTAAAAAAAAATTGCCAGGGATACCCCCTACTGGATAATGGATTCATGAATAAAGCCATAGTATAATTCTACATATTTGTGGATTCTATATACATCATAGTTTCAACGAGCGGAACGGGTTACGGTCCAGCAAGTCGGACCCATCAAACCGCACGGGAGCAACGTGGAAGAACTTTTCCCGACTTCCAAGAATTAGTGCAGACCGCTTATGAGGGAGATCCACAAGCCTGTCCAGGTTCATTCCTGTGGCGTGGTCGTAGGTCAGGGGGGCTAGGTTGGAGTACTTCGGCTCGCCGGTGACGAAGTCCGTTCGAGGCTCGTCTAAGAAGATGTAATGCATCAAGCTAGACCACCATGCCATTGTACGGTGTGAGCCGCGGAACTTTTCGTTGCCAACTAGTGAGTGACGGCCACGATCCCAATCGCCTGCGTCATAGTAGGCGCCTAGGTGGTCCTCCTGGAATGAGATTAGCAAGATTTGTTGTGCAGTGATGGCAGTAAAATCAAACCTTAGTCCAGTAGAGCTCATGGTAAGAGAAGAAGGTGTCATTGAACTTGGCAAGGACAGCAATCTGGTGAGGATCCTCTTGGACTGTCTTTAAATATTGGCGATGCTGGTCCAAGGTGCCAGTTTCATTCCACCCCTGCGCTACGCGCGGGTCATTTTGCCAAGTGTTGAAGAGCCGGAGGTGCTCGTTGTTTGTGTAATCCAGTGCAAAGACTGAGAAGAACTCATTCAAGTGTGGGATATAGCGACTGTAGATGCGCGATCCGGGGGCTGGCTTCGGTGAGCGTACAGGGTGGTGGGCATGAACGCGTCGCTCAGGGAAGCCAGTAGTAACAGTGTGTTGGCGAGGACGAGTGGGATATTCGTTCAAGGGTTTGCGCATGAAGCTGTAAATACCGGGGTCAGCTACCCATGCAGGACGGGTGCCGAAGGGTGAGCCGGCTCCTTGCCAGAAGCTGCTGCGATAGAAGACCAGCTGGCCAATGTGATTCGTGGAGACAGGGATGGGTTTTCCTGGTGGTGCAGAAGGTTCAGGGTGTGCGATGGCAAGGCCAACACTTTGCAGCTCGCGTGCAAGCAGGGCACTATCCTCGCCGGAGAGTACAGCACGGAAAATCTCAAACTCGCTGCGCAGTGTCTCAATTGCATAGACCACATTCCAGATCTGGCCCACCGTGGGTGTCTCCGAACCTGACCATGTGATATGCGTGACAGGGCTTCTTTGGGCACGAGCCCAGGGAGAGTTATTTCCATCATCCGGTGTGGAAGCAGTGTCAGGCTGCGTCAGGTCTGTGAACCTCAAGGAGGCATGGTGAAGTGGTTTCGGCGGTGGTACCCCATCGTCGGCGCGGGGAGATCTACGCAGCTGGAACTTGCGCAGAGAGTGCTCGGTAGATACAACGTCCAGCTCATAGGTGGTCTTCCAGGGCTCTGGAAGCCGCACCAAAGGTAGAGTGTTCAAGGTCATTATAAAAAGTGATATCAACGCTGATGAACTATGAAGAGGAACCAGAGGAACTAAATAACAAGTCGATCACTGCACCGGATTTGGGGGCAAATTCGTCAGAGGGTGCTCGGGTCGGAGATTTCCATGTGTATAAGGAATTGATAATACTCGTCTAGTGTGCTCTGGTGTGCAGTAGCCAGCGAGGTCCAAAAACCGAGTCCTTGGCTACCATCACAGGCAACAGGTACCGTACATTCGTTCCGATACTTGGCGCTGACTAGTCCAAACAAGTAACGCAGAGCAGACGCCTCATACGACGTTGAGACCACCTGGTGATTGTTTTGGAAAAGGATCATCGTGATCCATCTCTGAAGGATCCGATGTCGCATGAAAGTGCTGAAACAGACCCAGGAAACGGAAGTAATCAAACAGGCGTTCTGGCACGTATGCATGTATACAGTGTATACTATGTCGAAGCACGAACGAATCCGCCCAAGACTGCCTGTCATGGCTCAGATCATCGAAGATCACCACTGGACCCTGCTAATTGATTATGATTGATTACTGCGAGGCAGTGCATCTGGGCGTTTCTTGGCAGGATCCGTATGTGTAAGTTACCGTATGTTTCGTATTTTTCAGAGTGAAAGAATCCACTTTGGTATATTTGGAGTATACGCCTTGGCTTCATTTCTTGCAAGGCTCGGCGTAAATCGGTTGGGCCTTGTCCGTTGTGGTTCTATGATCATAGCGCGGCTTGCTGAATTTGTTCCTGAAGATCAGCGATACTTAACCCTTTTGTTTCTGCAATGCGGGCAGTATCCTTGGCAAGGCTTTTTCTTTAGAGATACTGTTCAATCGACATGGGCGAGTTCAGTGAACCCAGTGCTGCCTCTTGGGCTAGAGATGTTTCTGAGAAGCCAGACGATTTGAAATGGTCGGATTGTGTGGCTGTTCTTCCCGAGGCCGATCAAGAGCAAGTCCTCGTTCTAGCGTGGGTGCTCCTTCTCCATCGCGGGACTGTGCAAAGTGAAGATGCTGGATTTTCATGGGAGAAAAATGGGAAGCCCCAGGGAGCCCACATCAAGGATGTAATTGAGGGGGATGGGACCCTGCTAGGATCGGCTTTGCAAGTCATCCGGGGATTGGGTGACTTCTCCGGAGCTGGAGACATAATATCTTTGAAGAATTCTAGTGCCACCACCGAAGTAAGTTTTTGGCAATTCTGCAAGTCATTCAGCAGCTAACAAAATTAGGCAACATTTGCACTGGAAGCAAAGATCTCACAGGGCAACCTATATATTCGTGCAATTTCGAAAGCTCTCACAGCAACACAGCCCGTTAACGCTGTTCTACCTCATATCATCGCTGATATCCTGCTTTTTATCACTGCGAACCTTGACCGACCTACTTCTGAGGCTATTCAAATTCGAAGCCAGGAACTTTCACAAGTATGGAAGTGGAACGGCCCGATGCCCCCCACTATCGATCGCTGTATCCAAGATATGATCAGCGAAAAGGCGCAAAGCCAGCTTGAGCGTCCCTCTGTCGTGTCATGGGACGGGGAGATGACCTATGCACAGCTGGAAGAACGATCAACGTGGCTAGCAAAGCATTTAGTTCACTTAGGCCTGCAGGCTGACCGAGCTGTGCCTTTGTGTTTCGAGAAGTCAATGTGGACCATTGTTGGTGTATTGGCAGTCATGAAAGCAGGTGGCGCGTTGGTCCTCATGGATCCTAGTCAACCGGAGGGACGACTGAACACTATCGCTACAGAGGTGGATGCCGAGTTCATCCTGACCTCGGAGTTGCAGACCGGTCTCGGCTCTCGCATCGTCCCCGGTGGAAAGCAGATCATTGTTGGACCGAGTCTATTCCAACAGGAGGTCGAGCTACCATCTGTCAGTCTACCAGTCGTACCAGCATCATCGACCCTGTACATTCAATTTACGTCTGGCAGCACCGGAAAGCCCAAAGGTGTGGTTATCTCCCATTCAAACTACACTAGTGGTGCAGTGCCTCGTGCTGCAGCAGTTGGTTATGGAGAGCACTCACGCGTGTTGGATTTCCCCTCGTATGCATTCGACGTCAGTGTCGACTGCATGCTGTGCACGCTAGCCAATGGCGGATGTATATGTGTGCCATCAGAAGACCAGAGAGTAAACGATCTCAGTGGTGCTATTCGTAATATGAGCGTGAACATGGCCCACATGACACCATCAGTTGCGCGTGTGCTGGCTCCAGATATCATGCCCTCATTGGAGGTTCTCGGTCTCGGCGGTGAAGCGATCACTGCCAGTGACGCTGCCGACTGGGGCCAGAAGACGCATATTGTTATTGCATATGGTCCATCGGAATGTACGGTTGGCTGTACAATCAACAATGATATCCCCCCTGGTCGGTCCTACACCAGTATTGGACGGGGTGTTGGAGGAACAACGTGGGTAGTGGACCCATCCAACCAGGACCGGCTGGTTCCCGTCGGCGCTGTAGGAGAGCTTCTTGTCGAAGGCCCAGTGGTCGGTGACGGATACCTAAACAATGCAGAGAAGACAGCAGAGGTCTTCATCGAGGACCCCGCCTGGTTGATTCAAGGCGGTGGAGATTACCCAGGTCGCAAGGGTCGTCTCTACAAGACTGGTGACCTGGTCCGATATGATCCCGATGCCTCAGGTAGCATTGTTTTCATCGGTCGTGCAGACTCACAGGTGAAGCTTCGCGGTCAGCGGGTGGAGCTTGGTGAAGTTGAATATCACGTCCGCAATTTCCTTCCCGCTGGTGCAAATGTTGCTGCCGAAGTGATATTCCCAGGCGGAAGGAAGTCCGATGCCACGCTAGTCGTGTTCGTGGCAGAGGAAAAGAGCGAGAAGACGGGCGTACCTGGCGAGATCACCTCTTTCTCAAGTGCATTCCAAAAGTTTCTCGCCGATATCGATGAGGCTCTAGCAACAGAACTCCCTCGATACATGATCCCCGCTGCATACATTCCACTTGACCAGATGCCACTCTTGGTGTCTCTCAAGACGGACCGAAAACAGCTCCGTGCTCTGGCAAGCGAATTGACGAGGCGACACATTGCCGAGCTGAAGACTTCGACAGCAGCCAAGGTGGCACCTCGCACAGACATGGAGCGCAGACTTCAAGGTCTTTGGATTAACTTGTTTGGCAATGACTCTGAGATCGGCATTCGTGACCATTTCTTCAGTCTGGGAGGCGACTCGCTCAAAGCCATGAGATTGGTAGCTGCTGCAAGAGAGCAACTTCTCGCTGTTCAGGTCACCGATATCTTCCAACATCCAACCATCGAGAATCTGGCCCTAAATGTGATGGAAATCAAGAGCACGGAGGCACCAGATGTTCCTGCATACTCACTTCTTCCAGAAGGCTGGAAGCCCGAGGAAGCCCAGACGGAGGTTGCATCTCTTTGCAATCTGGACTCTGCTGAGGTAGTTGATGTATATCCATGCACACCTCTCCAAGAAGCACTCATGGCTCTCTCAGCCAAGTATGCAGATGCATATGTTGCACAGCGAGTGATTGAACTCCCTAATGCCGGCGTCGCCGAGCAGCTGCGATCTGCTTTCGAGAGTGTGTCCGCAGACTCGGGGATTTTGCGCACAAGGATTGTGCAGGTTCCCCGCCGAGGATTGATGCAGTTGCTCATGCGAACAAGCTCTCCCTGGCTCGAGAGCTCTAATCTTTCCAAATACCTGAGCCAAGACACACTCAGAGGAATGGGTTTAGGCACTGAGCTCGCCCGTTTTGCTATTGTCAAAGACGAGACAACGAACAAGAATAGCATTGTGCTGAGCATCCACCATGCACTCTATGATGGCTGGTCTATGCCATTGATTGTGGATCGTGTTAATCGTGCCTATCGTGGTGAGGGCATCGGCAGCCCAACGCCTTTCAAGAACTTCATCAAGTGGCTCGGTGATACGGACGGAGCATCATCCAAGACATATTGGACAGAGCAGCTTCAAGGCGCTACTTCCATTCAGTTCCCTGTCATCCCATGGACTGGATACCAAGCTCGCGCCGACTCTCTGCTTGAGCACTATGTCAAGCTTCCCCGTGCTTCATCCAACTCGACGACCAGCATCGCCACTGCCATTCGAGGTGCCTGGGGTCTTCTGGCATCGCAATATACATCATCGGATGACATCGTATTTGGAGAGACGATGACTGGTCGCACAGCACCTGTAGCAGCCGTGGAAGAGATTGAGGGACCAATGATCACCACGGTCCCTGTTCGCATTTGTATCGATCGCAAGGCTCGGGTCTCAGAATATCTCCAGAGCATTCATGATCAAGCCCTGCACCGCATTCCTCACGAGCACATGGGTTTGCAACATATTCGTCGTTTGAACGCCGATGCTCGAGAGGCCTGCGAGTTGCGCACTGGCATTGTCATCCACCCAACCGTTGAGGAGAGTGCTGTCGACTTGGAGAAGAATCCTGATACCGCATTCGTTCCCACTAGCGAGGCAGAAGCCGCCCGTGAAGCACTGAAGTTCAACTCCTATTCCAACATGCTGGTCTTCACGGTCGATCCTAAGGGATTCCTTATCATGGCTAGCTTCGATTCCAAGACGATTGATGTCCCCCAGATGGATCAAGTGCTGAAACAATTTGATAGCCTGGTACAGAAGCTCTTCAACGACCCAGCTCAGCGCATCCAGAATATCTATGATGCCACCGCGCAGGTGGATATGACAGAACAACAGCGACTATCCACACTCGGCCCGGCACGTCTACCTGCAGAGAAGCTTTACGCTGATGTAAAGGGCACTTGGATCGTGGATCCCAACAACTATGAATGCTTGGTTCCTGTTGGCGGGGTTGGAGAGCTCCTCGTTGAGCGAGATAATGAATCGGATTTTGGTGAACTGGTTACCACTCCAACTTGGCTTAACCATTCTCCGAAGCTGTACTCCATCAACCAACTGGCAAAGTACACCAACGACGGTTCAGTCATTATTGTTCGCGCAAAGGATGCGCAAGTCGGGCAAGTCAGACCTCGTGTCAAGAGACATGACAGCGGTACAGCCGTAACGACCGTCCCACAGCAAAAGCTCCAGCGACTCTGGGGACAAATTCTGGATGTTCCCTTTGTGGACATTCTTTTGGATGATGATTTCTTCGACCTAGGAGGTGACTCGATCCGTGCCATGAAGCTGGTCTCCGAGGCACGGGCTGAAGGTTTGCAGCTGACTGTGACTACCATCTTCGATCACCGAGCCCTGTCTGACATGGCTCAGCATGCCGTTGAGGCCCAACCGGCGGATGCAATGGCTCGCGAATACGTGCCATTCAGCACACTAGACGTGACTGACGTGGATTCTTTCGTCGCCGATATTGGTCCCAAGCTTGCTCAGTCCGAGTGGAAGATCATCGACGCGTACCCAAGTCGTCCACTCCAGGAAATCGCCGTCCAAGGTACTGTCCAACTTCCTCGCTATTCAGTGCGATATGAACTGTTCTATATGGATATCGCGGTGGACCGCGACCAGCTGTTCAAAAGCTGCCAGGAACTTGTTTCTATGAATGAAATCCTTCGCACGATGTTCGTCGAGCACGACGCGACGTCCCTCAGCGTGGTTGTGGATGACATCAAATGCCCAATCGTCGAATTCGAGATTGACACTGACATAGAGAGCTTCAGCCAGAAGGTCTGCGAGGTAGACGTTCAGTCGCGCATTTCGCATGGAACACCCTTCGTGAAATTCATTTTCGTGCAACATGTCGACGGACCCAGCAGTCTACTCATGCGAATTTCGCATGCGCAGTATGATGAGATCTGTTTGCCAATCTTGCTGCAACAGCTTTCGGCACTCTACGAGGGAAGACCAGTACCTAAGAGCTTGCCGTTCTCCTCATATGTCGACCACGTTCTTCGCGCCAACATGCCGATCAGCATTCCGTATTGGCAGAATCTTCTACAAGGATCATCCATGACAAAGATCCAGCCAGACATCCCTATTATCTCGGGCGCTCACTTCGCTATCTCCAAGGATGTCAGTATCGCCAGGCGACCGAGAGACATCACAGTCGCTACTCTGCCCACTGCAGCTTGGGCACTATGTCTCGCCCGCCGTCTCTCCCTCAACGACGTGACATTTGGTGAGGTAGTCAGTGGCCGGAACATCGAACTCCCCAACGCTGACGCGGTTGTTGGGCCATCATGGCAATATGCACCTGTGCGCGTAAAGTTCGCTGATGGATGGACTGCAATGGACCTTCTGCAATTTGTGCAACGGCAACATCTTGAAAGTGCGCAGTACGAGGGCATGGGTCTCAAGGAAATTGTCCAGCAATGCACCGACTGGCCGGAGACGGTTGACTGGTTCGATTCCGTTGTCCACCAAGATGTTGAGCACATTGAAGATCTGTCTTTCATGGCGGCCAGCAGTCGTATGCAGACCATCTACCCGCATTTCGAGCCCTTGCGCGAGATCAAGGTGCAAGCATTCCCCAAGGGCGATACTCTTTGCATTGAGATTGTCACTGTGGAGTCGTGGTCTGACTTTGCGGTGCATTTGCTGGATGATGTTGTTGACACAGTTGGCCAATTGGTGAATCAAATTAATGAGAAGGTTCTGTGAGATTTGTGCCTATTTTTTGTTATTTAGTTAGGTTCCCTCTTTGCATACATTCACGTCTGCCAGTTACATCCGTGCTAGTCCTCTTCGTAGCCAATATCCTCCAGCGACCACAATAAATGCTCGTCTTTATCAGGATTTTCGAGAATCTCAGCATTTGGGATCATCTCATCGACTCCTTCGATCTCCTTCAGTGCCGTATGTCCTTAATCGAATCGGGCCATGAGCGCTTCCACCTGCTCATCCCGAAACTTGTATACCCATTTCTGGTATCCCCTGATGCAGAGATATTCCAGACTGTCTGGCAAAGAGTCTACCAGCATGGTGTTGGCCCGCTTCGTTTGAACCGTCCCGCGGAATCCATCGGCAAAGAACAGCAAAAATCCAATCCCCATGCTTCGCTCTTTTAACGCTACAAAGTCTTTGAGCACTCCTTTTTGTTCAAAGAGTCTGATGAGGAATTCACGTTAATTACGTTCATAGTCTTCCTCGTCCTCTGGGTCTTGTAGATACGGATCTATCAAAAGACAGTCATCGAAGTCCGGCTCACGAGTACCTGCTAACTTCAGCTCCTAGTAGTTGGCCTTGAAATAGAACACATGCGTCATTATCGATGTCAAGAATTTCAGGTGTTTCCCTGTGTTCGCATAGCCGCTTCATAAGCGCTTTCGGGTTGAAGCTGAAGTCCCCCTCGTCGAAAATTCCTCTGCCTCCAGTAGTGTATTGGAACTCCCGGAGTGTTTTGCAAGAGGACAACAACCTGAAGAAATGTATTGTTTTTGTAACCGCTGGGTTAATCCAAATCCTGCTAATGTTGGACGTTTTGTGCTCGTACCCTAAAGTTTCATTATTGAAATCTTCTTCAAGTAAGTCAATCCCGACAGACTCGATGGATGGAAGTCGATTGAAAAGGCCAAGGCAGGCAATTATATTGAATTGCACAAAGTCACGGTTGTCATGCCCGTGTTGCTGTTATTGATCAGATACGCATGGCGTAAGTGAAGATAGTGCTTGCCCTCCGGGTTGCGGTTAAATTCGCTCAGAAGTTCGACAACTGGATATTCCGTTTGGTTTTCGGTGGTATCTTCGAGTTGCTAATGGTGATTACAAGGCTGCGTCATGCCCAAGAATACAATATTGGGCGATACGGAAATTTAAATGCAAGCTAACGCCTGCACGACAAATGCTGGACGGGCCGTTCAGTTAGTTGTCTGAACGGAAATTGGATTAGATTCTCTCACTAAGTGATAAAGAGTGGTCCCATTTAGTCGGGGTAGTCTTTATTTGGGGTTTTCTGCATCAGCATGTGAACCATTCGCTCCTGTTTGGCACCGAGGGACCCAGCATCTCGGGCAGCAGATCTGAGAAGAGCCATTTCTTCTGGGCTCAATTCACGTTCATATTTTCTCGCCGGGTAGTCGCCGCTATGCTTTGGTGTCTGAATTAATTCAATCCTCTCAACAAATTGGCCGACATGAGGTCGCTTCAAGATATCCATGAATAGTCGAAACGCATGATCAATGCTTTGATGCTCTCCAGTAATACGAATATTCTGAAAGTTCTTGCTCTCATACATGTCACAAAACGTGCGGATGCCACATCTTGACCGAGAAAGGCCAGGAAATGCAGTCCGGTAAGCGAGAGAGAGGCCAGATCTGGAAAGCAGGCGCGTTGTGTGAAAAAAAGCCCCACACCCCATCCACGACAGATTGACGCTCATCTTGGAGATCATGCGAAGCACTGTTGACATTTGGAGCATCAGATACCAGGGTAGGCGTTAATGTTTAGAGGTCACGTGCCTCAAATCGCCCCTGAACCTAGTGCTGTACCCCTGAAACATAGATGAATGGAATAGCTCTGCCCAATTGAGCGCTTCTGGCTTCAGCTTTTGTTTCCTCTGGCTGCTGTGTGACTTATCTCGGAAACAGTGCAGTCAATGAGTTGGAGAGCCGGAGATACTCCGGAGAGAACGACGATCCCATACTAAAACGGGGGGTTGGAAAAACAATAAGCCGACAACAGGCTTCCCCGAGGTTACTTTCAGGGCGATGATTCACGACAATTGGCATTCTTCGCGCATTTGACTGTATTTTGGTTGGAGCTTCGGTCATCGGGCGGAGACTGAGTCAATTGGAGCGAAAAGCCCTTCAGGAACCAGTTTGAGCATCGTCTTGGCGTCGATTCCCCGCCACACCATCGAACATGAAGAACATCGCTGTAGTCACATTGGCCGCTCTTGCGGCCACAGCGTCATGTTCAGCCCCAGAGCCTACTGGGGCTAGCTATGCGTCTGGGTTTGACATGAAGAAGAGCTGGGCCAACCTAAGCCCCTACAAGGACGCTGAAAGCTTCGGTGTTCCCAAGGGCGTGCCGCAGGGCTGTGAATTGTCTCAGGTCCATGTCTTGCATCGTCACGCCGAACGGTATCCGACTGATTATCCTCTGGACGGTGAGGGTATGCAAGATTTTGCGACCAAGCTGACCAACTACACGAAAACCCACCCAAAGAAGCAGGTGGGCTCGGGTCCTCTGACTTTCCTGAACAACTGGAAATACGTCCTTGGCTCGGATGTCTTGATGGAGACTGGTGCAGCCACCGAGGCGACATCGGGAGCCCACTTTTGGACCAAATATGGTAGACTGCTGTATCGCGCTGACCGCGACACCATGGCGGCTTGGAATTCTTCTCTCAATGTCTATCCCAATGGCACCGATCGCCCTAAGCCTGTCTTCCGTACTACATCTCAGGCCCGTATTTTGGAGAGTGCTCGTTGGTGGCTCAGTGAGTTGATCATTCCTTTCGTTTGAACGAAGCACTGACCGGTGAACAGGTGGATTCTTTGGTAACAGTGGTGCCAACAGCTCCTACAGTGAATATGAGCTTGTTGTAATTCCCGAAGAGTCTGATTTCAACAACACTCTTGCTTCATACGAAACATGCACGGGTGATTACGTAGAAGGGTAAGTTGGCATCTCTCACAAAGTTCAGTGGAACGCATATTGATTGAATCATTCAGTGACAACTCAGCGGAGAAGTTCATCCCTCGGTACACGAAGAATGCGCGCTCTCGTCTGTCGACCTTTTTGCCTAGCGACTTCAACCTGACTGCACACGATGTGCTTGCCATGCAGAATATTTGCATATACGAGTACACCAGTCTCGCTGGGTCTTCGTTCTGCACCTTGTTCACCGAGCAGGAGTGGAAGGACTTTGAGTACAATGTCGATGTGCAGTACTATGGAGACTATGCCTGGGGATCACCCACTGGCCGTGCCCAGGGTATCGGCTACGTCCTCGAGCTCGCAGCCAGGCTTCAGCAGAAGCTGATCACCTCCAGTGACACCAGCATCAATTACACATACGATAACAACGAAGCTCAATTCCCCTTTGATCAGCCGTTCTACATGGATATGTCCCATGACGATATCATCCTCTCGGTGATCAACGCCCTCGGCGTCGACTATTTCAAGTACGGTCCCCACGGCCTGCCAGGCGACCTCGACCACGCCCCGAAGCGGAACTTCTCTCTTAGCGAGATGACACCCTTTGGTGCTCGGTTCATGTCTGAAATTTGGACTTGCCCTCGCAACCACTCTTTCACCAACTTGGACCCGGTGCTCTACGAAAACCCCGCTGTAGATTCCTCCAATGATGCCGCCAAGTACATCCGTTTCGTCCTCAACAGTGCCCCTCTGCCTCTTGAGGGTGTTGTTGGCTGCGAAGGAGCCAGGAATGGCTTCTGCCCTGTTGATCGGTTTTTGCATGGTGTCCCTACTATGGAGCATACTGCCAACTATCAGAAAGCCTGCTTCGGTGACTATCCGAAAGGAAGCCAAGTTGGAGACGGGGCGCCCTCTTCATAACCCGTAGGCTTGTTCCACGCCGTCTTTTCCGCTTTCGTTTTGTATATATAACTAGACGACAGAAGATGAGTCAATACGAGCATATAGACAGAGTCTCTCCCGGATATTTCCCGAATTATAATTATGGTTATTTTTGTGCACCGTAGTTGACTTGCGCAAATTGCCGGCTAAGCCCGCGGAGACCCCTGCGCCCAGGGACGCGTCGGCGGGGCTTAAGGGTCCGCTTACTAAGTCATCCCGGCCCACCGGTGGGGTGTGGCGCCCGGTGGGTGTTTGGGAGTTCCAAACAGACCAGTTTGCCAAATGATAATCTATGGCGTATGTAACTTGACGCGAATACTCAACGCCTTGATATTTATTCATGCAACGAACAAAATGAATGAAAATAGCAAGGAGACTATTTTGCAGCCAAAGCGAACAGAGATAACGTAGAATATATATCGTCCTGCGAGCCACAAACCTAAGCCATCATTTCACGCGATGCCAAGTCTAACTCTTACCATCCTGTTCACCATAGGTATCAGCATACCTTCCAGCAATCCACTCTTCGACCGAAACAGGCGGATATTTCGCGCCATTCGTCCCCTCACAACTGGGCAAGCATTTAACAACATAGTCTGGATTGCCAGAGAAGAAGAATGGAACAGAATAGCGCTCCTTCCCGGTTTTATTGATAACGCGGTGTAGATTGGACATGTAGTTATCGTTTGTCCAGCGCATCATCAAATTCCCTAGGTTCACAACAAAGGCCCCCTTTCGTGGCTGTACGTCTACCCATTTGTTGTTGGCTTGGTTCATGACTTGGAGGCCTCCGATCATGTCTTGGAGGAGGATGGTTATACCGCCGAAGTCTGTGTGGGCTCCGATTCCTGTTTTGGATGAATTGTTATAGCAAGTTCTTTATACATCATAGTCTTTCTTCTAGGGTAGGAAATCTTACCTCGCTCATCGGGGGATGCAGTAGGCGGCTGCGGAGGATAGTGTAGAAGACGCAATGTAGCAATAGGTGTATCAATAAAGTCATCGAAGAAATTCTCGTTCAGGTCCAGCGTGGCGCCTAGAATGCGTAGGATGTCGTGGGCCAGACTTTCCAGGCTTGCAAAATAGTTCTTCACTGTTGATTTGAAGACCGCCGGGTCTGATACATCTTCGGGATACTTGTTCGGTCCAAAATTGAGTTTGCCGGCGATGACATATGGGTGATCGAGGGGTAGATCGGTGCCAAAGTAATAACCCTCCTTTAAGTCACCGTCGGTCTTCTTCTCGAAGTTCTGGGCTCGGAGGCGTTCATATCCAAGGTGGCGGCCGCCAATGTCTTGGGGGTCGCCGAGTTAGCATTGTAAATTGTCATCAAGCTTAAGGACTTTCTTCTCACCTTTGTTATACTTTTCCTTAGTTTCTACAGAAAGGCTGAAGAAGTCTTCCGATTGCCGGAGTATATCTTCTTGCAGAGAGTCCGGAACATTGTGATTGACAATCTGGAGAAAGCCGAATGTTTTGCAGGCTGAGCGGACTTGCTCTATAAGGCTCTGCTTGGCGAAATCATTGTTTCCATAAAATGCTAAAGATATATATATTAGCAAAAGTACTGTCATATTACCGTGTGAAGGTCTCTTACCCGAAATGTCAATGATTGGGGGAGACTCTTCCATAGTCATGATTACGATTGCTTAGGTGAACTGAACGTGGGGTTAATTATTCAACGTCAGAAGTATGCTACCATTCTGAATTTCTCTTAGATTTATAGGAGGTAAAATTACTATCATCGCGAAAACAGACACGCGGGGTGCGCCGAAGCTCTTATCATTTGAATTCCCCGCAGATTACACGGGTTAAATTGAGCCGATTATCATTGCCATTTAGCCAATCTTATTGACAGTATTACACTTATGAGTTATCGTAACCGCCATCAATCCGAATTTACGAACTTCCGACTCCCGAACTCCTGCGTCCCGAATATTCAGGCCTCTATGCAATGTAATACATGTGCCATACATGTCATAGAACCCACAAATCAAAATGATAGTCGTGAGAGATTAGGGATCCCAACAGCACCGCAAAAGACAGGCTTATCGTGTTTTCAAATTTGCTGCAGTAGCTCCAACGCTTCCGCCTTAGTCCCCGTGGTACGTAGCATACTGAGATAGTCGCAACCTAGCTGCAAATGGTCCCTCGAAGTCCAACTGATTCCATGAACGAGTTGATTAGAATTACAGGCCATGGTTGCGTCCGTCCCCGATATTGGCGAATCAGGCAGGGAGGCTAGATGAGCGCGCATGGAACGCCGAAGCCCGATCGGCAACCAGCCGCAATAAGGACTACATGCTAATATCGAAAGTGGTTGCACTAGAATATGACTTTTCCTAGCTATGTAATTATTCAAGAAACAACGCATGAACGAGTCGGAAAAGACAGGAAATGATATGAATCATATGTATAGACCAAATAATCCATTTTCTATCATAATAGATAAACAACAGTATCTGAGCTCACAAAAAAGGGATATATCAGTACCAAAATAAAGTGGTCAAGCCTCCTGGCTAGCATTCAGCGGCCACAGAATTGAAATCCGACAAAGACAAAGATAAGCTCAAAAGGGAGTAGACAGAAGAAGAAAACTTGAGCCATAAATGGGTTAATCTTCCTCAGCAATAATCCCCTTCAGTTACCAGCGGTATGCATCAATTAAGAGGTGGTGCGGCGACTACCGGCAGCGGCCGTGGTAGAAGAACCAGACATGCCAGGGGGAGAGCCATCCATACCGGAGCCAGAGTTCTCGTTCTCAACACCACCCTCCTCTGTGTAGTAAGCAGCAGGGGTAACGCTCTTGTCCTCGGTGGGGTCTATACCCATGGAGATCCAGGCAAAGATACCGTCCGACACAGAGTCACCGAGGTAGACGTACTCCATGAAGGGGTCAATGGTGTCAGCCTCCTCGGCGAGGATCCAGTCGTCGGCGTTGGTGGTCAGCACCTGAGTGTTGGTGTTGTAAGGGGCAGTCTTCTCCACGTCGGTGATCAGGTCCTGGTCGAAGAAGATCTGGCCGATGTGCGAGGAGGACGAGCTGTACAGGCCGGAGATGGTACCGTTGGCATTAACGGTTGTCTCATTGACTGGGTGGGTGAGAACTGATTTGGGATTAGTTATTTGATATTGATTTGGGGCTTGCTGGTATGTGGATAATCTTCTTACCGTGGATGTGGATAGCGCGGCCAGTGTAGTGGCCGGGGAAGATAGACTCCATGTAGATGACACCGTTCTCATCACTGGGCTGGATACCGCGGAGCCAGGTGCTCTCGATGTTGGTCTCGTCGGAGGAGTCACCGTTACCGCTGGCAACGATGCCGGAGTAGACACCGGTGGCGTTGCAGTGCCAGAGGTCGGTGTAGATCTCAGGCATGGGCTCGCAGGTGTTAGTGTTGATCAACTGGATGTCCATGAAGAGAGGGACACCCTCCTGGTCCTCGACAATGTTCTCACGGATGAGCTCGCCGGTGACGTAGTAAGGGCCCGCAGTGACATCGGGGCCGAGGATGCAGGTAGCCTCGGATCCGAACAGGACGGCGGGGTCGGTGGAAGCGCTGACACCAACAAGAGTAGAGTTGTGGTCGGTGTTCAGGACGCTGTTGAAAGAGCGGGCCTTGTGGAAGTGGGCATCTGCGTAATTTAGTCTATAGGTACTTCCAAGTACATCGATCAAAACTCACTGTGCTGCAGACCACGCTTCTGGCGGATAGCCTTGACACGGTTGGCACGGCGAACGACGTTGGCGTTCTCGTGGCCACGGGCCTTGAGCTTGGAGGCACACTGCGCGAGACTGCGCTGGTGAACCTTGGCGTTCTTCAGGAAAGAAGCACGCTCGGCGGCCTCAGCATGAACATCATGGCCGGGATGAGCAGAGACAACAGCCGTCAGACCGATAAGGCCGATGGCGAGGGCGGAAGTAAGTTGAACCATTTTATAGATATACTTTCAAGGTATTGGAAGAAGAGAAAGACGAATTGAGTTGAACTGATGCGGATGAAGAAAAGAGAACCTTCGACAACTGATCTCCCTGCTTTTATATCTATGCCATAGCCATTTCCTGGGGATGATGCGTATACTCCTTTCAAGAGACAGCTGACGAAAAGCGTGGGCTCCTTCATCAAAGCTCCACGAATTAGAAACACAATGTTTCTCAGCGACACAATGACCTGCTAGACCCGCTGCGGGGGTCCACAGCCTACCAGAAATAGTGCAGACAGGTTTAGGTACAAGGTATCGATTGAAAAGCCCCTGATTGGAAGATCCAGGTGGATCCGTAGGCGAAAGAAGCACTAGGATGTTGCAAAGTTAGGCTAAGCAAGTAGTCTACTGTGGATTCCCCATGAGCCCGGGGCTAGTGTGCCAAGAGCTTTGTTTTTAGCATAAGGAGTTCGGTAGGTGGAGGATGATCCGAGGGATCTGCAGAGATGACGAGGCGACGTGCATTCCGAAGCTAATTGACCAGGCACAGGCGCTGCATGGGTGCGCCTCCTTGTTAATTCGGTACATTGCATTGGTGGATATAGAGTGGTGATGATTCATTTCCCCGATTGAAGCATCAAACAGTCAATAATTGCGTACGTTCCAGTCTTGTCACGGATGGCAGATACGGCAGATAGATTGCAAACGTAGTCAGTCATTACCATGCACAATGCATCTCAGCCACACTGTTACCATGCTGGCTGGCTGAGGAAATTCAAGCTTCTAACGTAGTCAGTGTACGTACTCTTTCTTGGCGGCCCCGTAGGCAATACCCCAACAAGACCCTAAAGAAGGGACTAAACAACCTACGCGTTTCAACCAGGTCACAGAGGAGAAAGAAGCCGGTTCGAGCCACACTGTAAGGCAGAGCACATGGACGCAATCCGCGTAAGTTAAAGCCCTGGATGTCACAGAAGTATACCGAGAGATTACATAAACACCTGGATGTCTTGGCGTTGCTTCATATTGGGAGGAGAGGAAAGTGTTTGTTGGGAACATTCTGGAAGGGCACATGATACATCTTTTGCAATTTGCCTGAGATAGACTAATCAATGATTGTTTGATGTGCGTGCATTTCTCCGCCACACTATCAATCACTAAATGCCCAAATGCCCTCTGACCAAGACGGTGCCTGGAGCCAACTCGAAATGATCGACAAAGCCGGTGACCCAATCAGGGGATCATATCAGACAAGGCTCCGACACCATGCCGAACCTAAAACTATTATTCAGCGGGCTCAATATCAAAAGCCTCCGGTGACGTATAGGGGTAACGTAGAGGGATTTTTTCATGTGCAGGCTGAAGCAGGCGGAATAATTTCACCGAACAGAGATGCCCAACCTGAATCCCCTCCACAAGTCACTTTTGCTAGATCCTGAGTCAACTCGACGATCGATGTGAGAATAGCTCGAAGTGTATGTTGTACTCACAATTCAGGGACTACGGCCGGCAATAAACATGAGCATCCGAGCATTAACAAGAATACTCGAGCCTGCAAGTTGAAGACCAACAGGTCACATGAGCTGAGCCACACAGCACGGCTTCATGATGGTAAGACATCCAGCAAGACCGGGAGGTATCTTGCTTCTATCAAGCACTTCGGTAATCAACAATCTACATCCCTTAGTTGTCGATGGAATGATTGTTTCCAAACCGGGAGGCAAAAGACTTGCTTCGGTCATTGTCAGAACTATCGGCCCCGGTATCGTGACTGCGACGCGGAATGCAATCTTGAGCATCACCACCAAAACATTCGTTCTAGCTCGCATGCCCATGCTCATGCCAACCTATTCATGGGGTGCGACAAGTAGGTATTGGACCATCCTTCCTGCTCGCTTCATCAGTGCTTTCGATATGCCGAGGGCAAAAGCAGGACCTGCGAGGTTTTTGAATCTATCTGGGTCCTCGGTTGTCATCAAAGACAATGGAAGTTGAGTTGAGATTGCCGTGCCAGCCCTGGGGAAATGGACATCGCACGGAACCACAGAAGTGATTCAGTATATCAATGGTTGCAGAGACGCATGTCTCAATATGTAACTCTCCAGGAGGGTTGTGATTCAGTGGTGGACGACGTAGTAAAGAACCCACAGTAAGAAGGCGGTAAACGTGTTTCCCCAGGTCTGAGCATGATAAATGGCTGGGATCGCATTTGTGACGTCTCGGAAGATTGGTGTTTGTTTGACGTTTCCACACTTTTCCTCCTTTTGAGCTACCTCTGCATGGGCTATCTCGAGGATCAACAATCTATCTACCACATGGCTGAGGTAATAACGCGTCTAGTCAGAGTCAGTCGTGGACTATTTGCTTGACCAGGAAGAACAAGAAAAGCAAAGACGAGACGAAAGCCCTACCACCATTCAAAGTGCTAGATGAAGAAGGAGAACCGGGAGAGAAAAGATGGTGAGCTCCCTATCAGGATGTGCCGAGGACAAGCAGCATCCGTTTGGGTTTACAGATTGCCATAACCATGCGGACTGAGAAAAATATGGAGCACCAGCGAGGGAAATTGGCGAGCATGCTTTGAAATATGGCGGACCCCATTTCCTAGCACTGATCTGAAATTTGCTCTGGTTTTGACGACAGACGCGAAGGAACTCAGGAACAACAAAGATAAGTTTGGTGATCATGAGAAGTGAGAGAAATGAGTAGAGTGGTGATTGATTTAAGAAGAGTCGAGTCAGGTGCCTTCTGGCTGCCGCGCTGATGTGCACACAAACATCCAAATCGGTAAAAGAAGTTGATACTGCAGTCTAATTGGAATCAGTTAATGAAAATCATGACATTTCTGTCTCCGCTGTCGCCTCAGATCATTACTGTAGGTATCAGGGGCCTTAAGTTCTCGGCACTTAGCTCGTTCAATGGCACACCCGCGGGACCTTGATACTAAAAAAATGGAGTTTGACAGCCGACTTCATTTTAATAGTCTATAATAAAGCTCAGGAAGCTAATCTCAACATCACGACTCCTCCCAATTGGAGTTCGAGTGATATAAGAGCCAAATTGCCACCAGTGTTTGGTATGTAGTACACTCGGAAAACCTTGATTTCAGGAAGTCCACTACTTGATGTTACTTTCAGCATCAATCCCCAGGTCATCATTTCACTAGGCCTGTTGGATACACCCTGAAAGCCAGGCGGGGGATGTTTTCTTGGTTGGTATTTGAAATACCACGTCAGCTCAACCTCCATCAATTCAATAATTGACAAGTTTTGCTACTCGTTCACCACAAAGGTATCTCAGGCAACCTTTGAGAATGCCCCTACTTGTTAAAGACTAGATCCGTCATTAATCTCTCTCAGGCCATTCTTTGAAGTCTCGACAAGCGAGAGACGTGGTGCTCTACCATCAGGGGTGACCAACTTTATATAGAAGTGCAGAATCATCTCTCGGGATGGGATATACCCTACGAATAGGCCTCGAGGATTGACTGGAATTCATCTTCGGGCAAAACTTGACCATACGGATTAATTCACCCACTTCGAAGGATCGAAAGACCAGTCATGGTTCAGTGGAGTAGTGTACATGTTTGCGTTGCTAGCAAAAAACTTGATCCACATGGCTTTGGGTTTTTTGCCTCTGTGTATCGAATATCTGCAGCCCGGATCTACAGTATAAACAGCCCTCATGTGCTACTGTACTCCGTACGAATCGAAATTCTCCACGATAATCTGACTTCGTTATGTATATCGCGCAGTCTCGATTTCAATAGTCACACTCGCGTCTCGGGTGACAGATCGATTCTGTTGACCAACTGGAAAGTGACCCGGGTGCATAAAATGAGTCTGCCAGCTAGTCAGATGAGTTTCCCATCGCAGCAAGTCTATATCAGGTTTAAAAAGTTGAAAATATACAAAGCCGACATGATGCTTACTCGGGATCCCATCTCTCGGGCATCAGTACTTGATGTTACTGGTGAATGGTTGCGACCAGCCGAACATAGCGCTATCCTCGACCTTGAACGCGACTGGGGGGCAAAGTGTGGGGCCTGTCCCTTTCCTATAGTTTGTCGCTAGTTGCATTTTCAGGTGGAGACTTTGAGGGGGCTTTCATTACAAATTTGTTCCGTCGACACTGCATGGCAATAAGCGATATGCAGCACTTGTCACGGTGGGAAATATGTCTTACAGCCGATAGCTGACTTGTCACATTCATTGTCTTGATCACACCGCTGGTTGAGGGATGCAGGAAGACGAAACTAAAATCAAAAGCAAAGCCATGAGCGTCCAAAATTAACGTGATACAAGTCTCTCACCTTCATCAGCGGGTGTATCGTAAATCGATACCTTGCTGCATAAAAAGGTGTTTTTGACCGCGTCTTGTCATTAAAATACCCCTGTTTGGACAATTTTCAACACATCTGCCTTTCGTACTTTTGCGATGCACGTGGTATACAATTAATTTGAAGTATTATAACAAAATGTGATCGGTAATGGAAAATACCGATCGGAGCTGATGGGTGTGAGCTAAACATGCAATGGAATCCCACACTGCAGTAGCCAGCAATGTAGCTGCCCTAGAGATCCTGCAGATGTGGGGAAAAAAAAAGCAGGAATTGACTGCTTCATGATTCTCTCCAGGTTCTGCCCAGACAATCCAAACAAATCGATTCGATCAACCATGGCCGACGGCACATATTCTTTATCGCAGGTTCTGGAGGTAGCCAAGATTCATCCGTTCTATAACAAGAATGTAGAATATCCTCCAGACTCAACCGCCGTCCAGAAGGCGCTTGAATTAGCTGCTGGTGATTCAAAAGAGCAAGACCTCAATGTGTTACCATTGCTGCAAAAGGAGAACTTGTAAGTTGAGCTTCGCCAGTTTATACATACATTTCCTCTTACTGATTACCCGCGGAGCGTAGGTATAGAATCATTGAGCGCCTCAATAACGATCTCAGCCCTCATAATACCTACCGATGTAGCGCCTACATCAGCATGACTGGAGGCGGAACCGGGGGCTTACCACTTATGTTTGCCACGGATACCAAAGAAAATCGCACACAGAGGGCAGTGTTTGGAGATCTGCTGAGAACTTGTGGCGTAATAGCACCTCAGGACTGGGTTCTCACAATGCATACTTCGGGTTATTTTTACCGGTACGCGCGCTTGCAGCACACAGGGATGAGACCGGAATGAGAAAAGAAGAGGCTGACGACGTCAAATAGTGCTCTCGACCTGACTAGTGAACTTTTTGAAAACGCCGGTGCCTCGGTTCTTTGTGCTGGCAGTCGCATGACACCTGCCGAAGTAGTTGAGGCTTTGGTGCATTACCACGCCAACGTTCTTACCGGCGACAGCACTCAAATCGTGAAACTCGCACACTATATATCTACCCTCCCCGATAACGAGCGCAAGAATATCCGCCTTAACAAGGTAGTTTACACCTCAGAAGCTTTGACTGAAGCCCAGGAAGCCCACATCATCGGCGTTCTTGGCGCAGTACAGATATTCTCCATTCTGGGAAGTGCCGAGGGAGGTCCATACGCGCTCGGCAACCCAAGTCTCACAGGAAATGACCAAAAGCCGGGCACGCGCGACTTCATCATCGACACGAGAAGCGTTCACGTTGAAATCCTCCACCCGTCAGCAATCGATGACCTTGCTGCGCATGGTAATACTCTGCCTGAGTCAGAGTCGGGCATCATCGTCTTAACCTCTCTTCAGCGTCTGCGTAACCCTTTGGTCCGCTATATAACCGGTGATATCGGTTCGCTGCATCCCATGCCGGCGACTGCCAGCGGTAAAATTCCAGATGCCGACTTGCCGCACTTCCGTGTGCTTCGACTGGCGGGTCGGGATCGTCGCTTCAGCTTTAAATGGTTTGGCGACTATTTTGAATTTCACAATCTTGTGAGCTTGATGCAGACACCCGGGTCGGGAATTCTTCAATGGCAAGTTATTCTGGGTTGTTTGGAGTCGTCGCCTCAGGCGACGCTAGAGCTTCGCTTGCTTCGCGCCGCATCAGGAGAGAACCTTCTTTCCCAAGACGAATTTGTGGAGCTGGTGGAAGGGTTCTTCCATGTCTTCCCGGAAAGCCGCCATTTGTTCCGCATTAACATGGTCGATAATCTTGAGGCATTCGAGCGAAGCAGCACCGGAAACAAGGTTATGAACTTTGTGGATCGATTCCATTGATTGGATTCGGGTGTTAGAGTACCGGGGAGAGGAGGTCTTTCGGTATTTGATCTATGAAATGATTCTCATCAATCCCATAAAGTGTATAGCCTGCTGTTGAAATTACGTATAAAAAAAATTAATTTGAATAAAACTCAATTGTTCATGTATTGTGTCTACGTGAAAGCGAAAGTGACGCGTAACTTGAATGAATTCTTCATATATTTTAGCCAAAGAAACTAGCCGGATTTTATTCCCCAATCTTCTTTGAGCCTCTTAATCCAATCGTCGACCGACATAATCTTCTCTCCAACCTTAACATTTCCGACGCCGATTTTCTCCATCTTGACCGCATCATAAGCTGGGACGTGGATCATCTCGTGGTCCTTTCCACAAACGTTGATTTCCAAAGTTCCTTTGCGTAACTTGTTCAAGCAGGCTAGGTCAAATTGTACATCATCACATTCTCTGCAAGCGTGTATATCATTGGCGAAGGTCCACCTTGTTCCGCATTTTCCATCACACGCAGCATATAATGGCCCGTTAGGATCCTGAGAAGAGCCTCCATCCAATGACTCTTCATCTTCATCAGATTTGGTATCAGTGGTCGGAACAATCAACGACCACGCTGCAAGACAGTCATCATCCTCGCCGACATACATCAAATATGTTGCCAGTCCCTCATATCCTTGCCAGTCGTTGAGAGGATCATCATCAACGAGAATATTGAGGTGATCCTTGACATACGGGCGTATGACATCTTTAGCCTTTTCTTTATCGCCTTGAAGCGCGTAGAGCCGCGCTAACAAGCGTGTTGGATACGTCGAATAGCACCAATCGGCGGCGACACTGGCGCTTTTCAACGCAACAAGCTGTTCCAGTTGCTCGACGTATTGGCCAGCAGCCTCTGTATCCCGTCGTGCTTCAGTGTAGCAGACACTAGCAAACTTAGAGCGCACGTACGGCTTGATGCTCGTGAGGGTGTAGTCCCCGGCCGAATCCTCCATCTGCAAAATGCGCACCCACTGATCGATTGCAATTTCCTTTCGCTCGGGCTTATCGGTACTGTTCTCGTAGCAAAGGTATGCGAGATGGTGCATGAGCATTGCCTGGCAAGCACGGCTAAATTCTTCTTCTTGGCTGTCCCCTATCTTCCTTGCCTCTACGAGTCGTGTCTTGGCAGCAGTGATGGCTGCCTCGTAACTCTCAAAAATAGCATCAAACGCTTTGGCTTCGGAAGCAACTGCGAAAATTGTTGCGTGGTACTCCGCGCTATTGTAGTGTGCGTGGAATGTTTGTGTGCGTCGGTCCAGTCCAGTCCTTTCATCAGTGGATTCTTTGAGAGACTCCAGGAAGCGAAGAAGGCCCTCGCGGTTTTTCTCATTGTGGAAAAGCAGAATGAGCGATAGTGCTGTCTCATAATCGTTGGGATCAGCCTGCAGCAGAGATTCGTATATCGCAACGGCTTGGTCGATATTTCCAGCATTACCGTTCCACTCAGCCAGGTCACGATCCAGGTCTGGAATGGTCGCATGGTCTTCTTCAATTTCTGCAGTCAGGATAATCTTTTTGGCTGCTTCCACGGTCTCGATTGCGAGTGCATAGTCCTGCTTGTATGCATAGCAGGTTGCCAGCCCCCATTGCGAGAACCAGTTGTAGGGGTCGAGGGAGAAGGCTAGTTTGAACTTTTCGATGGCCTCGGGATACTGGTGATGCTCTCGAAGAGTGCGCGCTAGATTACGGTTCTCCTCATAGCCGAGTATGTCGATCCCAATGTGCTTTCGAGCGTATTCCGCGGTGTCCAAAATTTGAGAGGCATTCACAGCGCCTGGGCTTGCGTCGCTGATAAATCTCTCGAATGTCGAATTTTTGCGATTCTCAATCTAAATGTGATCGGTTATCGAGCCATTCTAAAGTTGCTTATTTCACCCCCAATTTCATTGGGCGTACCTTTGTGGCATATCCATGGAATGCGGAGAAAACCTCGGTGACACCCCAGGCAGTTGACTGAAGCCAAGTGCGAGCCAAGAATCGTCCGATGTGCTCGATGATATCTGCATCGGGCTCTGATTTCGAACTTAAACTCTTGACCCACTTTGTTTGTTCTGCAGATATATTCTTAGTGACAGCTGAGTCTCGTAGCCATTTCAAAGCAACATCAACAAACACGTCGCTATAGATCCAGTCATGCCTGGGCCAGGGATTATCTGCAGTCCACCATCGTTGAATTATCTCATCGTCGTAAAAGAGGCTCACCAGTCGGGGTCCAAGAGCGGTCTTTTGATGAGGCTCTGTCAATGATGGATCTACGTTCTGAAGATGTACGGGGAGAAAGTTGACCGCATAATCAAGTAAAGGAGCGAGACCGGAGGACTGCTCGGAGCAAATGACATCCAGACAAGACGTGAAAATCTTGAGGTGGGCGCTCTGAATATCGACTCCAACTCTGGCAGTCTTTCCTTTCAGCTTTCTTTGGAAGAAGTCATCAAACCCGAATTTGTTGAACAATTTGGGATCACAGACCGACTCAAGGAACCTCTTCACAATCCTGACCTCAAATTCGTTGACATCACCCGTGAGATTCAGGTCTTCTTCATCTTCGGTGCCTTCAGTCTCAGGCTTTGTTCGCAAGAACTCTTCGATCGAGTCAGAGACTAGCAAGACTCTCGAGGTGGGCGGGATAATTTTGGTTGAGGGATTTGGGTCACCCAAAATTTTGAACAGGGAGGAATATTGATCTATGATCTTCTCGGCCAACGGGCGCAGAGAGGGCTCACGGGCCTTGAGGAAAAGGACTGCTTCTAGTTCTTCCAAAGTGAGGGAGCGCGAAGCAAACACCACCCAAGTGAGGAGATCGTTCAGGTCAGAAATATCTTCATCACTGAGGGTTTCATTTAACTGTTCCATCTTTCTCACAATCGTGTCGGACCGGTTTCCTCCCGAACGGGACAAAATGTCGCGGATTTCGCCGGGGCGTTGTTTGCCGCTAATCTCATGTAGCATAAGACTGACGTTGACGAAATCACCATGTGTCTGCGTTGTGAGCGCCTGCAAGATTTCGCAGCGTAGTGAAAGAACTTGGTCTGACGAACCGCTCAAAATCTCCATCTTGTTCATTCGGTCGACAATGAATTTCTCCATGTCATCGGTGTTCTTCGAGGCCACGTCGAGGATTGATATACCTTCTCCCATGTGAGTCTTCACCCTGCTCATCGTTTTGTCCCGCCCAGAGAGAAGGATACGGAGATTGAAACGAGGCCAAGTCCTAGAGATAGCTCCCAGTTCTGTCAACAGCTGCAGAAAGTCTTTGAGATGATTCTTTTCCATTTGGTCAATTTCATCAAGCAAAAGGAAGAAGGTTGAGTCGCTTTTATAAGACTTCGCGAAAAGGACTTCCCAAATATTGTTGATTTGATTAATGCCGTCAACCTTGGTGGAGCTTAAATCTTTGCGATACACGACATCTGTATTGGCAATCTGCCATGCCAGAACCTTCAATGCCTTGAGCAAGGAGGCTTCGCCTTTCTCTTTTTCAAAGATGTGATAGGCAGTCGAAATACATTTGAGATCGTCGGCAACATGCGAGTGGGCTTCCTGCAGGTGCTGGACTACGGCCGCAAAAAGGAAGGACTTGCCGTATCCCTCGCCGCCAGAAATACCGAGTATAGAACAGGACGAGTGCTGAGGATTTGCCCATGTAGTATACAAGGGATCATTTCGAAGCCACTCCCCGCTTCCAGGCACTTGGTCATCCAAAAGCCGCCTGTAAATCGTCTGCGAGGCCTTGTGAGTCTCACTTGGAGTATCAAGGCTCGAATCAATGTTTTTGAGTAACCGTTTGACCCCGTTGTCCGCGTCTTTCTTCTTCTCAAAGGTGAGCAACTTATCCACGGTGGTATTGATCTTCTTGGTTCCTTCTTTACTTTCAATGATATTCCGTTCACTGGTCTTCTGTGACTCAAATCCTAGAGTTGCTCGCATCTGAGACTCACGTTCAACTAGCGTAGTCAGGCGACCCAGCTGGCCACTCACACCCTCATCGCTGTCAAATGCAAACACCCTCAGCGCGGTGAAGACTTTGTGGCCCTTGAGCACTTTGATGGACAAAGCGCAGATGTCGACAAAGCATACCAGTTCCTCGTTGATGATCTTGCGAAGCGAGACGTCCACTGCATCCGCAGGAAGCCGCATATAGATCTTGCAGCGTTCCAACACGTCGGAAATACGCCGGAATAGCTCGGCAAGACTGCTAAAAATGCGCTTGTACTTTGCTCCGGTGCTGATGAGATATGAAATTGCATTGAAGCACAAGCTACTAGGAGCAAATACCTAATTCGCGATCATCAGTTACCACTTCCTTTTCGACTACTTTGGTCACCCACCATGCTGGCGCCTTGGGCCGCTATGCCACCTAGGACCATAACGAAGTTCAATGTCTTGCCGATCACATCTTTTGCAGTCTTATACTTGATGTTTCTCTCGTCATCGTCATCCTGCTTCGTTCGAATTTGGTCAAGCACTTGATCGACAGTAAACTTTGGCGCTGCGGTGAGGTCAACCTTCGCTGTCTGCGCGAAGGAGGTGCATGCCCTGTCCCACGCCTCCTGCAGGTTGTATTCGTTCTCGACTGGGTCAGACATTGTGGACTTTGTCAGTGGTAGTGTGAATGATTGCAAGCCACGGTCTAGGTGTTTGCTTTCCTTGGCAAAGTACTCGCTATTCTTCACAGAAGCTTGATTGGACCCTCGGTTGAGGTTCAGCTGGGGTTTACGGGCGTCTTATACTCCACAGTTGAACAGGCGACTTGAAACCCATCATGTCAGAAATCGCTTATTTTGTTGGGGGGCATTGCGGCTGAGGTTCTCTTACTATATGAGGGGCATTTTGCGCCCATGATGGTGATAGGGCGCCACGTTTGTCCCGCGTCGCTAGTGGAATTGTTGTGAAGGCCCCTACTCTGCCAGCCCCCTCAACTTCCGAGCAGATATCTGAACAGGTAGTAGTCTGGCACTCAATATTGATTGCTTTGTAACGTATTGAATTTAAATTGGCAAGAGGTGTTAGGTGGCCGAAAGACCGCACTGTCTTGCAAGAGAGGAACTAACGGAGCCTCTTTTGCGGTCAAAAAGGGCCTCAAGGGCCTCTTTTGTAAGTGATCCGATCACCTTTTACCCTTTACGTTTTCTTGCTCTCGCTCTCAGCCTAGTGCTGATTCGCCAGGCCCTTGTTTTCTGCAGGCTTTACGAGGTATCCACCGAGGCACACATCGGTCGGATTTGGAATGCAGGCTAGCGGGCGCTAGAAATTACGGCGCCTAGGCAGACAGCGATTTCTTCAAATGCAGGGGTATCTGCAGAAGTGTTCTCTGTAATCTTTTGATGTTTGCGCCCAAGTACTCGCTAAAAAGCAGACGTCCACGGGTCGCGACGCGACCGATGGCCAAGCGGAGACGATGCTTCCCTGACCTCAGGAAACCACAACATCACTACTCATCAACGCAGAGAAATCGCAAGTGTTCAACCACTTTACATACTAGATTTATTTTCAGATACAGACAATCTCATCGTCAAATCGCTCCGTGCGCCCTGCCAGGATCGATTCTCCAATTTTACTTCTAAAGTCACGATCTTAGTCTGTTACTTGCATTCGATTGACAGAGCTCGATGTTCTGATCATCGAAAGAGCGTGCGCTTCATTAAAATCACAATCTATCTTGTGGGTGTGATGGAGTCTCTGATCTTCTCCTTTAGTCCTGGAATCTCTGCGTCGTCATCGACTCTTAGTCCCTTCATCAACCGAGCCAACAAAGCATATATACCGATAACAATGATCACCTCGACGACCATATCCGCTCCAAGGAGTTCCAAGGCATCCTGAATCGTTTTTTCCTCGTTCGTATACGTGGCCAACTGCTCATCCACCATTCGTAGCAGAACCCTATCCCGGGCTGTCCATGGGCCTTGACTAGTGTCATGGATGACTGAAGCTGGACAGCCCATATTGTCGATTTTCTCTTGAGGCATGTTGTGAACCTCGGCAACAGGCAGATTGACATCCCATTCGTATTTCGCTTTGAGAATCGTGGAAGTCCGTAATACAATCAATTGCCACTCAAGTATGGGCAGTCCTCGCTGGGTACCATCGAAGCAGGCACCGATGAGGCCCAGGAAATGGGGTGCAAGACCATGGGAGTTCGCAATAGTCAGAATAATGTTGCGACGAAACGGCAATATATTCAGCTTATCGCGAAGATTAGGTGGAAGATCGTCGACGTTAGGGTACGGCACAAGACAAGTCTTGCGGAATGGATCATTGTCGCCGGTGTTCATGATTATTTCTGCTCACAGTTTGGAATAAGACAAGTCTTGATATTTGAAAAATGATTTAACTGCAGGTCTGGTTTCGGGATTGATGAAAGAAGGATGATTCTGTTCTTGGCTCCATCACACATATATACTGTATTCGGGAGGTAGCACAAATGTCCAAGCTTCTTGGTCATTGCCACCTTCTGCACTGGTAAACTTTACATCCCCATCTGCCATTCGCCACCTATCGTTTAGGTAACCTTATTCAATCCGGATGTACCACTATACGTCAAATACTTCCAGTTCAGGGGATTTGCAGAAAACTCTGAGTTACAGAATGGCCGACAAACAAGTTTGTTGTGGACGTCGCTTGTCATTTCAACGCGATCTATCGATCACCTGAGGCCCGTGCTTGTTCCAATTTGGAGTCGGGCATATAATGGCTTGAAGGGGGCCAGTCAAATCTTTGGTCGGAAGGATTATACTCAATGCCAGTGTTGTGTGGTTTCAGCTCATGGTGTGTGGAAGGTGGTTGTTGCACAAAAAGGGTATTATTATCGTACATTTGCTGTTCTGAGTGAGACCGACAGGGCTGACATACTTCTCGCTGGTCATCTGCTACGGCGTTCCTTGCTAGAGCTTCTCATTCTCCGGTGCCAAGCACCCACCGCCCTGCTGTTGTGTAACCATGCGAATTGTAGACAAACCTGATCATTTACAATTTGATGACTCGATCTCCGTTCATCAACGCTTTTGATATGTCAAATCTTATTACAACACTTCCTGCATTGAACTTCTGGATAGTACAAGATCAGCATGTATTGACGTCGAAGGTATGTCCTATGTCACTGTGCGCTACTAGCGAGTTCCATTTCCGTTGTAGCTTACAATGGAAGATATAAAAACGCTGTTTATCAACAAATCACCCATAACATATAATCTCAATCACTTCTTTATACATACACAGTATCGCCTTATTTACTGCCCATCATGACCAAGGACAATGGAAGTCAGCCACTGCGTGAGCTTAAAATCAGATGGCCAAAGCTTGATGTGACTGTTACAGCCAGAATGCATGATTTGAATACTGCACTTGTGGATCTTCTGTGGGATACGCTCCCGTATCGCTCTCTCCAAACGCATGCTGTTGTAACGGGTGATCACCTTTATCATCTTGTTCCGTCGGAGCCGTTGCTTGTGAGTTATCTCTTTCAGCTGGCTTTCGTCATCTTTTATCCTGATATCACATAGTACACAAACCCTGAGCACAAGGTCCCCGACAGAACACAAGAGCCTGATGGCACTGTTTTTCTTTCCAAGTTTCAGCATTTGGCTATAAAGTATGGTCGCGTGACTGAGCATCAGCCTGCAGCACCTTGTGGAAACGTTATTCCTGAGGATTTGGAGAAGCTCCGCTGCGTTGGAAATGAGATTTGGAAAAGTCAATTTGAGACAAAAGATCCAATTGAAGTGATTCTTTGGGATGGTGCGACTCCTGAGCCTGGTGTTGAAAGGCTGTCCCTTCGTCTTCAACGCACTGGGGTGACAGAAGAGGTGAAGAATGTTGTTCAAGAGATCCACCAAGAGGTATGCCTCATGTTCTTTCTCCGGGCTGTTTGTGCAAAAAGCTAACATATTCGGCTCCATTATCAGACAGACAAGTCTTGGTCAGGGGTATCACACGATGTCCAAATAATACATAGCGGTCGTGCTTCTTCAAAGCCAGGAGCGAAGAACTCTTACTTTGCTACCATGCTTTTCTGCAACAGTGAGGTTCGCACTCTGGGCTATTACCACTTAGACAATATACTCGAGATCGCTGTCTCAAACCCTGAGTTTGATCTCAAACATCTGATCATGCTTTATCGAAAGCTCGTCTCCACTCCTGCTGAGTTCCTGGGATACATCGGCCAGGAATACCTCCATAACAGCCACCGCAAAGTCAATGAGCTTATCACCCTCCATGTTGAAAAGAACCCCAATCAATCGGACGCTCGTGAGGATTTGCTTGCCATGGTGAGCGTCTTGGCGCAGTATATCAATCTGCTCAATGCCCAGAACCTGCTCATGTTCCCCTGGAAACACACTGCGGAGTATACTATCCCGTGCAACTAACGGGTACGGCTTATGTTATGAGAGATTTTCAACAATACCTCTCGGTTACCAAGGCTATGGATGCACGCTATACAATCGTTCAGTCTAATTGTTTATGTTTCACGGTGTCTTCTCGCGTAAAGTGCCTCGCTTGCAGATCTTTCCGTGTACAACATCTCTAGTGTGTAAGATGACTTGGACTACCCAAATGAGTATATGCCGCGTCTATCCCACATCAACTACTATCGGGCTCATTATTCCCTCCACCAATGAACAGCCTCTCGATGCATTTTGCCACAAGGCTGATTCTACATCGTATCTTGGCGGTTAATTCTAATTGCCGTGACTCTATTGTCATTGCTGTGGCACTAAGTTTCACGTTGCTGTTTCTGGTAACAATCCATGTCATCACCGATGAGTTAGCCTCCACTCCGTGTCCTTTGTCGGTAGGGTGGCTGTCATTGGTATTCACACTATAAGGCATGCCAATAGCCAGACGCTTACGGGTTCAGCATTCCGGCGACGGATTTGGGGTATGGTTAAGCTTGGAGCAGATCGGGAACTTCTTGCTACGATACAATTTTAAAAGCTAAGTTGTATTGACAGCGCGATTTTTAACTGGGCACTGGCTTTGGCTGGTTAATCGGTGGGCCTGTGGATTCTTGACAGAAGCCAAGTCACGACCAGGAGGATTATCAGGTGTTTGAGACACGATCTGGAAGATCATCAGCATTCGCATCCAACAGGAAGCCAGCAGCATCGAGCTTCTCGCGTAGTTGCTTGTAGTCAACTTCCTGTGAGCTGTTTGCCGCTGTTTTGATTGCAATATCTGCTGCAAATGCACTGACTTGCCCCATAGTCATAAAGGTATGCTCGATGCGGAGTAAGCTGAAACCGAGATGACTGCTAGAAGGAGCCGTGGGGACAAAGAGGTTGCTGCATTGAGAAGATTTGGGCACGATTGCTTGGTAGGACAGTAACCATGGCTATTGTAAAGGTATTTGTTAGGCACAGTAATTAATTCAGTAGAGAAGAGCTGCAACTCACTTTCCAGTCAGGTCCTTGCTTCCATATGAAACCTTCGTCGTAGATACTTCCGTTTCGCACAATGCGTCGGGTTGAGTGTATATCCTATTAAAAATTATCAATTAGCGAAATTTCAGGAAAGGATCTTTGCAAGTAGTGGTTGCTTTACAATCGGCCATAGATTGGTGAGGATGGGATCCACAACTGCAACTTCGGGGTAGCCATATTGTGAGTTGTGCATCGTGATCAGGATATCATCTCTCATCATCCGTCTTGCATCACGAACATACATCGCTCGCGGGAAATGCTCGTTGTCCACAAATTCATCCTTGGGATAGCCCCATTTTGACCATTCAGTACGAGTCGTACTCGGCATTGATTCGTCATTTGCGAGGAAGTAAAGCAACCCTAGAGTCGAGAGTGACTGTCATTAATGCTGCAATCTAGAGCCAAGGTGCGTTTTTTCTGGATTTAAGATATACCTTTCTGCCACTGAGCCAAGTCATCAAAGAGCTTCGCTCTCTCAGCGTGGCTTCCCTCGGGATACTCCAACGTGCGTCCCGGCATGTCAAAGCCAAGCCCTTCTGTGGCAATACCGATCATGTCCGTCTTGTCATTTGGTAACACAACGCTTGGTTTGAAGATTTCTCCACCGGCTGCAACATATCTTTTGTAAATCTCGTACTGTGAGGGGTCATAGTTGCTCGGCCGATCGAAAGGCACAAGATTGGATGTCTTATTTGTGAGACACAGTCGCCACGAATAGGCTTGTATATTCTTATCACTGTAACAGAGGGGGCAGATCAGTTTCAACAGAACTGTGTTGTTGGGGTAGAAAATACAGACCCAGCGCCCGCCTTTCCAAGAGCTTGATCTTGAACGGTGGGAAGCAGTCCACTTGATGTGTTGCCGGGAACAAGATATGGATCAACCTTAACGGTAAGCTGCGAGAAAGTGGTGTTGTACTGAACTCCAGCGAGACTTTCATTGTAGGGGACAATGGATTCACGGCCAATGGTGTAAGGCACACCTGATGCAGCAAGAAGATCTCCTTCATAAGTCGCATCAATGAAGTAGTGGGCAGAGAAAGTATTCCCTTCTTCTGTCTCAATCATACTGATTGCTGTACCTGACTTAGATACTCCGTCACCATTCCCGGCCCCCTTGAGAGCAGTCTCTAGAAAGACATCTAGATATTCTTCTTCGGCAAGCCAGTCTTCAATCACAGACTGTCCAACATGGCATTCAAATCGCCACAAATTTTTAGCTTTGGTGTGGTTTCTCCACGCCTCATCAAAGGCATCCGTGTTGTTATACCGGGCGGCGACGCGTCGGTAGAACTCGAGCGCGAGAGGACCAACTGTCACCGAGTTCTGAAAGGAACTCTGTGCCGTGAAGCGGGTTAGAGTCGAAAATCTTATGCAGTGCACTGCACTCCAAAGGACAGGGTATCACCTGAGAATCAATGTCCGTCCCGCCTGCACCCTCGATGGCAATTCCTCCAACGTGCTTCGAGGTCTCAAGAAGAGCAACCGACCGATTTAGCCGTGCGGCTTGGATCGCTGCAGAGTATCCCGCTGATGTACCCCCGACTACCACGATATCATACTCATGGTGTTGGTGAGCTAGGACACTGGGTGCAGGAAATGCAAGCGAATACGCTAGAGCGTAGAGAGTTACTTCCTTAGCCAGATACATATTGAATCTCATCCTCAGATGCAATTATGAGACCAATTCATATATCTCAAAGAGGATGAAGCCTTATGATATTTCAATTTGGTCTTCGCAGGGGCCAACTATGCAATACAAACCCACATTGATCTGCGCGGTTGCCATGGAGAACGATCCGTGAGATCTCCGAATTTCCTCACCGTAGGTCTGGAAGCTTGAATTATGCCCCGAGAAGAACCAGAATCTCGGCAATAGCTTAAGCTGCAGGACTTTACTTGTCCGGTCTGATTGTGTATTCAAGAATGCCAAGCTCCCCCTTGTAACTAAGATAGTGCTGACAAAGGGGTAAAGGGGAACTAATCAAAAGCCGCCGGCGTACTTCACGGTGACCGATCTCTGTTCGACCAAAAAGTTCCTTTTGTATTTCCGATCTTCAGTGCCGGCTGCCGTGGTCAAAATACCTATGAGGCACACGTCTTACATTTTGGCTCCTATTGTGTGCATAATTATCCCACCATTCCACATACTTATTGGATTTTGCGGGAAAAGCAAACAACCGCTGGCAACTTCCTTCCTTTCCGAATTTCCGACAGCTCATTTGAGATTCGTCTATTTCTAATATGGGATTGATAGAGTGTATGATTTTGACGATAAAAATGCTCAATACGTAATTGGAACAGAGGTTGGTAACTCAACTAAATGCATTTAGACCAAGCTGAATTCCGATTTCCCCACCAAAGTAGCGTCCAAAACCGCTCCCTAACACAACCCAACAAAAGTTATCATTGCATATTGATTCAAATGGAAAGGAGGTTCCTGTGGCGATATGGACGCTGGACAGAAAACTGGCAAATAGAAGCGCAATGTAAAGGTTCCTTGCTGGTCAGAGGATTTGCATGAATATGTGGTACGGAACAATTTCAAAGACAAGGCCGACTACACCGCACCAAAAAAAAAGGTAGGAATGCAAGATCATAACTCGCCTACCATGATGATACGATGCCCTGTTAGCTTTAAATCCCCTAAATCTATCGATGGTCTTGGAACTAAAACACCCACAAGAGTAGACTTCCGCATAACCCATTTTGGGCCGAAGGTTCCGGCCCAGAACCCAATCCAGCCTGGGTTGGGCCCGAGTTAGGCTGGGTTGCGCGGAAGTCTAGGTATATTCCAGGAGGGGGGGGGCGATGCCGAGTGGGATGCAACGGTGCGGTGTTATGAAAATCGCGGGGACCATCATCTCCTTGAAAGAGCCCGTTCTCGCTATTTACGTTCCACTGCTTTGAATTTGGGGGGACCTCGGTGTGTCAAATGCCGGAACCAACATTGTCGCGACATCCAGAGTGATCGAGGTCTCAGAATTTACAAAGTTGCCACCTTTGTGAGAAACTGGCGATCTTATGTACCAAATTGTCATGCACTTCTCGAAAGTGTTGGAAGTTGGAATTTGGGTCTCCAGTACGAGATCTTAGCTGCACAGAACTCCTGCAACTGTTATTTCAAGACGCATGGGGCTGTCTGTATAAGCTTTGCCGGTCTAGTAACCGGGTACAGTACGTCCCGAAACTAGTGCGACCATCTACACTCTTCAATTGTTTCCTAAACACTATTGACTAATTTACGCTAGTAAGTATTGGAGTTTTTCTGTTGTACCCCTGCTAGTAGGGCTTGTATTGTTTCATACATTGAGTAACACCATAGTTGGCTACATACGCTTGTAACATTTATCTAACACCTCCATACCCCACCACGACCACTGTCTTCATCCTTGGTACTCCGTACGGGAGACCTTGACAATCAAGCCACTACCAGAATAGCGCCAAACCTAGCCCTTTCAAAGCCTGAGCTTATCTATGATATAATCCGCAGTGGAGAACTATCTATATCGCAGATGGCAGAGGCAGCTGGCTACAACAGGAGTACCATCCTAAGAATCTCTTCCAATATACGGATGTTTGGCAACGTCAAAGCACCGCCTAATAAAGGTGGCCGACCACGAAGCATTACTCCAGTCATGCTAGAAGCTCTTTGCGATCACCTGCTCCAAAAGCCGAACCTATATCTCGACGAGAAAACCATTCTTCTGCGGGAGGAGTTCGATATTCAAGCGACAAAATCTAGGATTAGCCGTGCTCTCGCATCGAAAGGCTGGTCAAGAAAGACTACACAAATCAAGGCTAGAGAGCGCAATCTAGACCTACGTGATAAATATTTTCACTTTTTCTCGGATTTCTGTTCGTACCACCTTGTCTATATGGATGAATCCGGATGTATTAAAAGGATAGGCTTCAGGCGGACGGGGTAGTCCCCACTTGGTAACGCCCTAGTTCAAGTGTCTAAAATTTATCGTGATCAACGATATCAGATACTGCCTGCATATACCCAAGATAGCATCGTTTTATCTCGAGTATTCCAAGGCTCGATTGACGCGTCCTTCTTTAAGGATTTATTGAGCAGCTTCTCTAGCAATGTGGGAGATGGTTCGAGCCGAATTCCGTGTTACTGATGGACAACGCGTCTTTCCATCACTCCTACCGGATAGAACAGATATTTGGAATCCGGTGTAAAACTAGTGTATTTGCCTGCATAATCTCCAGATTTGAATCCTACTAATCAGTTCTTGCTGAGCTAAAGGCCTTCATTCGGCGGAATTGGCAGTTTCACGAAGATAATCTCGGTCAAGCATTTGATAACTTCCTCGACTAGTGCGTTGACGTAGCTGGTGCAAGGGGGAAAGCGCAGATAGACACTTCCGGCACGTAGGTCTGGTCATAGGGACATCGCGCACCTACTATAGCGAAGTCCGAACATTATCTCCACGGTTGACTCGAACAGATTTCTTTATGGGGTTTAGTGCAAGTCGCGCTTTATTTTGTATTTGAACAGTATCCATAGAAACTCGCAGCGTAAATGCTTATACTATATTATTACACCAACTAGTAACTTTAATATAGAAGTTTTGTGACTAACGCACTGAATATAGTGGTCGCTTCATGTTAAGTGCTCCTCTTCGCTCCTTGGAGTCCGCGCCAAGTCATTGTGTCAACCCATCCCAGCAACAGACCTAAGACGACGAGGACCATGAATTGAGACCGATTTTAGCTATTCTGCTCCTTTGTCTTCCATGTCGTCGCAACTTCATCACAATCCTTCATGATCTCATTCCACTGCATTCGACTCCACCGCTCCGGCCTTTCGACTGCGTCCACAAAATGTTTCATTGCAAGCACCATCTGCGCCGACCAACGCTCCTTACTAACCTTCCCAATACCAGCAGCCTGGGGCGTCATCAAGAGACGATTTATTTTCTCTTCAGAAGCCCGGTTATGCCCCTCGACCTGACATAACAAACTCCAGACACTCTCATAGACAATCTCCCGGTCCCAGACGACATTCATCGGCTCCCGCATAGTTGGACAGATAGCCACCCAGGCACAGCGCCGGGAATTCTGCACAAGCGGCACAGGAAACTGCACAAGCGTGCATGTGCCTGGCGGCGCGAATCCTCGCCATTTCTCGTATAGCTCCAGCTGCACTGCGCGCATTAGGGCTCCGTAGTCATCGCGCGGGCTGAAGGCTAATGAGATAGCGTCGTCAAAGCCTCCATCTAGACGGCCATACGAGTTGGCGGGTGAGACGATCAGGTCAAAGGTTACAGAGGAGTCGAGGCGGTTCAGGCGCGAGTTGATGGGGGTGATCGTGAGCTTTGATGGTAACTCGGGCCAGTGCTCTTGCTGCGCTCTTGTTAAGGCGGTGATGAAGTCTGCGTCCTGGCAGAGCAGTATGATCTCCGGGATATTGGCATTCATGTTTTCGTAGTGTTGACAAATGACGATGCGGTCTTCAGCGACTCCGTGCGGCTTACGTAAATCTCCGGATCTCGTCGAGAAAGTAATGATCCATGCAAACATAACAAATAAGATGGGAGAGCCTAGCACCCGGTTTGTATGGCGATTTCTGATCCCTCGAGCATGGAAATGACACGCAAGTACTGATTACATTTACCGAAAGACCTGAAAGGTTCTATCACTCATTCATAAATAAGCATTATAGTCTGGTATCCTAAAAATTATAAAGCGCAAGTGTGGTTAGACTTCCGCAAAGCCCATTTTGGGCCCAAGGTTCCGGCCCAGAACCCAACCCGGGCCCAGCACTAGGCCCCTAGTAAACCCAGTTTGGACCTAACTCGGCCCAACTTTTGCATTATTTCAATCATAAAACTGCTTAGTTATCAAGATAACTCACTGTTTTTTACATCGGTTTTGATCTATACCTTGAACCACTATACTTTTCTAGTATAACTGGAGTGTGTTCAAAGCTATAAACGCGTAGAATCAACCTTAAATAAGTAGTTATGGTTCTTTAGGCTTAGAAAGGTCAGATTTTGCTATGGTTTTCATAGTGTTTGACTTATGACCTTTTTATTGACCTTATATTAGATATACGTAGATAAGTTCTATAGGCGACACTATAGGTTTTCTGACGGCCGTTAGAATTGTATACTTTTTAGCTAGGGCATTAGTGTCAGGACCCTCGACTACTTATGTTGGTACCTGAGGCACGAGTTAGTGCCTCAGGAACCGTGGCAGTATAGTACTGCTCACCGCCCGGAAGCTGGGCCAGCCTATATTTAGTTCATCCCCGCTAACCCTAGGGAGGGTTCGCGTTTAGTCTCTTCTACAATAGAACCATATTGTACTACACGTCAGCTAAGGCTTCTACTTCGCTTACCTAACTAAACCGGAGACTCTGCGTGGTCTCACAATTCTGAACGCTTACCGAAACACGGTTTGCCCGGTAGAACCTTACCAATAAGCCATGAACTCGCGTCGCTCCTAACGCCTCACCGAAGGGCTTTAAGCGAGCCAATCTAGTGAGGACCCCTTGAATAGGCTAGCTAGGCACGACCCTAGGCCTTAGGTCACCGAAAGCGTTGAAGACTCGACCATGGAAACCACCCAAGAACCGACTGGGCTATTCCCGCCGACCGAACTAATACCTCTCCGGGTACTAACGCCAATAATCGAACAACAATCTTCTATAACTAGGGCAGCTTAGGGAGCGGTCACCGAATAGGAGATACGAGAACTAGAGGAATTGGAGAGAGAAGTATAAAATCTACGGAGAGCCTAGGTTATAGAGCAACTTCGCCGAGAGTAGGGCTA